TTGTTGTATTCGCACTTTTCATTTACACCCATCCACGTGAGTGTGGTCGATTTATGCTTTAGTTCATCTTTATATTTTCCACATTCACGAATTAAGCTAAGGACAGGGTCGAGATGGAAAGAAGGTACGCCATTGTCCTTTTAGGTGGTGTTTGCTAACCGCTATCTCAGTATTTATCTAATGAAGACATCAGTCCCAATATTTATTTAGGTTCTGAGATGTCAAGATTGTTTGTAGGCACAACTCCCTAAAGCCTGATTTGTCCAAGTAGTTTCCCTGTAACCTTTTAAATTACAGTGCAGCAACGGCTCCCTTACACGAAGCGTGTATTATTTGCAATTACTACCATTGATTTATACAAATAAATGTTTCTCGTTTATATGACATTCGAATACATTGGCAAATTACAGAAGTATCCACTATCGAGAAGGTTTGAGTACGTGCTTGCTGGAAATGCTGGCTTGTGTTTATTGAAGGATGCCTCAATTGTCTTGGATTGGTTTACAGATTAATTTTATACGTATTATCAATGCATATTATTATTAGGTATTTACTATTTTTGTAGCCCATTTCCAAATATGGATCACATACAATATGGACGTTATATATTAAGACGAAATATCACCTCTCACGGTTTATCAGACTGGTTCAACCTTGACTTAACTAATCGTAATAGAAGACCCAACGCAGAGCGATCATGGCTTATCAAGGTTCATGGGGCTGCCATTAGTAGCCTGTTCGGTTTCTGAATAGTGCTGCAAAATAAACCCCGTTGTGACACCGTACCGATGCGGTTTGCACACAGCGTTCGCGTTGTTAATTCACGCTCACAAACAGACAAAAGAGCTAAAAATCTCTAATAAATCTTGTTTTATGTTGTTGTCGCATTTTCAAGTTTCACAAAAAAAATACCCTAAGCGTGCAGAAAACTTACTTGATAGAAAATCGAGTCCAACAGAGAACGTGGGTAAGGGTGATGACTGAACCGATCACTTCTAATACATGTACGTATCTAAACGGTTTCATTGAAACTCCTAAACGTTTTAGATTTTATGCACCCCACTTTATAGATCAATTATTTCAGATACGAAGCTACGGAGGTTTCTTTAATTTATAAGGAATCGTTGCTCCACTCTTAAGCATAGTAATGCCACATCAAGGAGCAGTAACTCTGAAATAAAACGTAAAAAGTAACAATGCTTTGTTTCTTATAGGGAAGGAAGGGGCTATAAAGGTCAAAATTTACTAAGCGCTATCGTTGAGAAAAATCACTGTCATAAAGAATAAAATTATACCAATGTATTTACCGAAGACTTTCCTATTTCGTGGCCAGAACGAAAATAAATCGTTACTAAGAAGAAATAGTCAATTAGAGACGCCAATGCCCTCAGCTTATATAGCGCCAGCTGCTGAGGCTATATAGGTCAGAAATGGGGCTATGTGAGCCAGCGATTGCTCTATGCGAAGAAGCTAATTAAACCTATCGAAGCCGTCAAATACCGCTCTTGTATTTCTAATTGGAAATTTTTTCAACACTTCAGGTATAGTTTTCCTTATAAAGAGAACAGATGTTGACACACAAGTGACCAACACATTTATCTAAATAATATAGTTGAACGTAACTGGTTCTGTGAAACAGCTGAAGCGAGTGATCCTATATTTTCGAAAATGGAGCTGCTTATGTTGTTTTGTGAGGATAAGGGATGATCTACCGGCCTTGCCTCTTGCTCGTTGCGATAGGGCGGTAATAGGTAACATAGCTGCCCACATCGGAGCTCCCGTTTCCTAGTATCAATGGCTGTCCCGCTAGAATAATACTCTATAATCGTTCCGCAGCTCCGTCTACATATCAGCCTCCGCCACTGACGGAAGAGCGTCATCTTTGTGAATGTTTTTGTTCAGCGGAAAGATACTTGTCTTTAAAAGTCTTCTAGCAGTATTTGCTGTCGTAAACAATTCCTCGTGTGTACTTTTTGCCACTATGTTATTGATTGTCATCCTTCTACCGTAAGTAGTAACGAAGTTCTGTTGAACTGCACGAAGTCGACCTTTGCATGGCCCAAAGCCGTCATGTCTGGGGGTTATAGCTTCTCCAAGTAGTCTGGAAAAGTGTTATGATGTGAGTACCGTGTTGTAGAGTCTGCGTGACCACACTCAAGCACATGTGAGTCTCGGGTTTATAAATGATTAAGTAAGTACGGCTTCTTTAGGCAATGGCAAATGGTCGGATAAAATGCTGAAGACAATCTCGAAGCACTTCCTTTGTGACCCATGTGAGCAGGTTTCAGAACCTTGGCTCCCAATGCGTGCACCAAGAGAAGACAAAGCACGGCAGACCTGCTTTCTTTTGGCGAATATTGCGAACGAGGATTCCGCATTTATATAATGGCCTCTGAGCAACTAGCTTCTTTTTTTAAAAGGCGTTAGTTTTAAGTGGTCCATTAGCGTAACAAGGGACTTCTCGCCTAATAGGTATCTAAAAGCGTAAAATTGTATGATTCCATTAGAATCGTCACGGAAATTTCGATTGATTTATTATTAAAGCTCATTGTGCGTGCAATGGGCACATTTTCGATTTTTTGCAAAAAAAAGCTGACCATGCCGTACTAAAAAAACCATTATTCGTTCTTTCCTGGCACGCTGGCCACGGTACCAATCTTCCGGTTCATGTATATTCAGTCACTTAACAAAAACATACGCAATAGTTTCGTCTTATGGTACAATTTTACATGATCCTTGCACATGTAACAAAATATGCTGCTGATGTAGCCTCTTAATGTGTCAAACGACCCGAGTAAACGTATGTTGTAGCAAACTCATTTGGAGCACCAGCAGCTGAAGCTTTTCCCCAACCTGAAGCAGTTTTTGCAACAGGGTTCTGCTCATTCCAAGGACACCATCTGCCTCCCCAACAGAAATGCCTCTGCCATCTGCAATAGCTGGTTCTTGCACAGTTCGTCCTCTGTCCGTGTCAGCCATTTTCTATGTGCGCACTATCTTGAAATAGTAAATCCTTTTAGCAGCTAAGCGCTACAGCATCTTCTACGAAACGAGGCAAGAGTGTGATCTCGCTCGCTCCTGAACAAGCGATATAAGCAACGATGAAGGGTACGAGATTGGGTTGTTTTTAAATAATCATGATAACATCTAGCGTTGGGCAACAGGACGCAGCGTTTAAGTCCTTTCGAAACACGATGCATTTAAAGTATGATACATTTAGAAAATTGGTACATTTGTCGGAAAATTTACTTAATCTCTATTATGGGTAATGAAGTCAAAGATGCTTCAGTGCTCTTAGGATCGGCGAATGAATTCAAAGCAGTAAACATGTCTGTAGAAACTTGAGAATCATAACATTGGAACTTCTAGCGGATTGAGCATCCTAATCGTAAGCATGCTGTGCTTATAATTTAATGTTTGATCGGTCGTGATTCTCTTCGACGGTGCGCCTCGATCTGAATACCCGCATCGTGGTTTCTTTGAAAAATTAGTATAAAAGCACAACAATACTAAATGTTAGCATAGTATTTCATTTATAGTAAATATTAATACGTCCATTACGGTGAGTTATACTCAGAGGCAGTTATCTTCTGCTAATTAATAAACAACTAACGACATTTCATTTCGGACTCTTCCCTATATATCGGCGGCTTGATAGGCTGATCTTGTATGAATGCATAGGTTTGCCTCTGACTTCACAAATCGATTCTGCAACTCGATCGTTTCCTTCTCAGTTAATGGCCTCCTGTACAGAATTTGATATTCGCCTTATCGTGCCACATCCGTAAGAGCCCTTTGATGTGTTCGGCTTAGTTCCTCTAGAAAGATTAGTGCTAGTGTTATTACTTTCGTCTGTATTTTAATCAGGCTGAACCTCAATAGCGTGGTGGGTTTTTGCTAGCAAATAAAAGTAGAGATCACAGAAGATACGGACTACATAAGGTGATTCGTACGCCACCATAAGGCATTGTTTTGCATTCATAAAAATACACATTTCTAAGCTTTAAATGATTAAAAACTACATCACTTGCCAAATGCCAAACTAACTGAAAAACGCGGCTCATTCATTCGCGTACTCTTAAGACTTTTGTTATCTTGTTATTCTTTTTACCATATTAATGTTATCATGAAAGAACTCTGTTGTATTAATCTGTGCCGTTTTTTGGTACTTGCTAAATTACACTTTCCAGGTAGCTTACTAGAAGTTTTGTAATAAACGGAAGGCGATGAGTATAGGTTATTTCCATTTGGGCTGGGCTGAGTTCATACAGTCGTCCTATCAACGTTCGCTTTTTAAGCGGTCTGTTTTATTGAAGCACATGCTTTTTAAAGGTCACTACGCTACTTTATCGCAACTCAAAAACGTAAATTTTTCCTGGCTGAGGAACTAATACATTCACGAATCTGTTTCAGCTACACTGATAGCAATTCACGAACCGAGCGGCTTTTCCTTTAATAGAAATTCGATCTCACTGTTCGTCAAGTCCCCTCTAAGGTTCACAGAGGCAATTTTACGGTTTTCAATAAAAAAAAAAAGATTTAATTTAAGATTAAGATTTTGTGAAATTTTTCCATTCTTGGCTTACTGATTTTAATTTGCTGCGTAGCTACGTTTGTATAGCACAGGAAGCGTGAGTTTACCTGTGCTGTACAAACGTAGCTTCCTAATATCTTTATGACTGGTTTCCATTGCAGCACAGGCGTTAATGTCTATAACGAGAGCAAGAGTTTTTCAGAAATTTCAGCTTAATTACATAAATTAAATCTTGATAATATAAGAATAACCATTGATTACCTCACAGTGTTGACTCACATAGGTGTCGAATTGTTTGTCGCGTTTTATAATCACCAGTCTCTGTATAATGACGTATATTAAGTATGTTACTAGACATCCCTTTGCAAATGAAGCCTATTTTTGGACACATTTATTTCATATTTGATCTTATTTTGTGAGGCAAATTCTAATAATGATCAATATTGTCCGTATGTATTCCGTTTAGATGGTATCGATGAAGCTTCGAAACCCATACACAACGGCAAGCATCTGGTCATCGGGAAAGATCACGTGCACGGGCGCGACAAGGTAAAACACCGTTCGGTCCTTGTTTCGATGATAGTTCATTGCAAAAAACGTGCTTACTTTTTCTAATACGAACGCATTGTTTGCGAATTTACAAAGCCAAACAAAAAGACGAGCTTCAAACTATTGAATTTTATGATTTTTCTCAATTTCTTTAGTGGTCAGTCAATGTTTTCTAGTTCTAGTTATCGTTCGTTTCCGATCATCAGTTGCGCATTATTATCTACGAGTTTATAATTGAGTATTTAAGGTAATATAGTTGAATCGTGACTCGAATTAAAACATAATAGTATTTGTGTATTTGAATTTTTCAGTGAGTTCACTTCGAAGATGGCTGCACGACGATATGCGAGGGTCCTGCAAAAATTGGGTTTTCGGGCAAGGTTCAAGAATTTCAAGATCGTCAACGTGCTTGGCACGTGCACGATGCCGTTCGCCATCAAATTGGTGCCTTTCTCACAGGCCAACAAACCCATTGCACAGTAAGCCCCCCAAATACATCGTTTAGTTCCGTATATGAGTCGTATGTTTTTATTCGTATCTACCAGACGAATGACGCGGATACGGAAAAGCTAGCAGGTTGTGAAAATAATAAAGCTCTTTTGCGTGTTGTTATTAGTGTACTAGTCATATTCCAATGAGTTACGTCAGTTTTTGAAGATGATTTGCTCAGACTAATAATTTTACGGACGTACCCGGGTAATGCTGAATTTATGTCTACGTAGACTGACAGTTAATGCTGTTTCAGTTGTCTCAATTTACTCAAGCTAGATCTATAACAACGCGTAGTCGACTGCGGATCTATCTTGTAGAATAAGAGTATTGCCGTATCCTAAGTATAAAGAATGTATATTACCAAGGTATTAAATGAGTCTATTATGTATGAGATTAAATTTAGGTATTGCAATGAGCCACCAGCAATTCGAAAGTTATTCAATTTTGAAAATATATATTGTACACACGAATGGCCTTGTTTCGGTCATCTGTACTAGTATACAGTTAAGATCGCCTAACGCTAAATATAAAACAATCTTAGCACTCTGAAGAGTAATCTTTGCGGCTACGATTTTCTTTTTTTGCTTATTTTTTGGGACGTTACTCATTAAACAGAAGGACTGTGGGATTTGTGCTAAAGAGCCAGCAGAGTATATTGTTTTTAAAACTGTATCTATAATTTACTCAGTGTGACCCTCGATAGTGTTATTTGCTCAATGTGAATTCCGTTCAGCGTGATTATATCTGCAATTCTGGACCTAAAACATACATCCATTAACTAATCTTTCCCTAACTATTCCTTCTTTAATCTGCACATCATTCCTTTTTAACAGTGACCACTTGCTAAGCCATGTCGGTTGCTGTAGACAAATCGGTTAAGTGTTGCTCAAGTGCGCTCTACACAGAAATTTAGCGGGATTAAATTTTCGGCTAATGACAGGCCAAAAGACCCGAAAAATCTAAAAGATGTAAAAAAAAGGCAAGCAGATTACAAAGACTACCCAGTAAGGATTATCTGGATGACTCAGTCGACGATAGGTACTCTGCTCCCGAACATGGCCGTTCATTTCTTTATAAGAGAAAAGATTTCTCAAGTAATTCTACTTCTTCGAATCTTTTCAATCTAAGCCCTATTGATGATCTTCCGGTTTTCCAGTCTTCCCCACTTTTTTGAAAACTGCATGAAAACTGACAATGATTTAGTAAAAAATAAATTTGTATCTTGCCGGACGTTCGTCCATATAAAGAGGTTGGATAACAACTGTTTTTTTCTGTAATGACGGTACACTCGCTTCCAACACGTCGGCGGGTTTGTTTATATCTTCCTTGGAAAGAGCTTTTGTTTAGTGTTGCTGGTTTCGGATGAGCAGACTTGTAACGCCGCTGGCGATCAGTTGAAAACGGTTCGGATTTAGCCGGTAGACTCTGTATACAATATTAGACTGCGAAATAACATGTAATTAGACAAACATCTTACCAACTGTAATGTTATTCGATAGCTGCTTGTACTAGGTTGTAGCCAAGTGGCAACCCTACCAAAACAGAGATTCCGTTAGATCCTGAAAATTTCAGCTGAATTCTTATTTAAAGTATTACTAACGCCAGAGTGAAAAGTTTTGAAAAAATAAACCGAACCGTGCTACTGCCATCATTCAAAGTACTTGCTAATTGTGTCTTTGGCTTGAATGATATTTAGATACGAACCTGAGCTTCATCCCGGCGTAACATATAAAATTCGCGATATAAAAGCTACGCTCAAGATTTTTTCAACGGGCAGTATTACAGTCACAGGTAAGGTAGTCTTTCTTTTTTTTTTTAATCTTGACTAACTTTTGATGTGCACGCATATATATAAATTATTATAGCTGCTAGCTGTTTGTCAAAATGAAACATACCACAAAGGGTAATGACCTGATATGTAAATTGTACATGTATGTTTAGTTCTTTACGTTAGAACTGGCTATTCTTAACTGAGATTAACCTGCTCAACCGACGTTGCGTCTTGGGTTTTACGCGGCTAAGACCAACCGTTCGAATTCTGTTGAGGATTTAGTTAATGTTATTAGTCTTAAGAAAATCGCCAAACGATCTTTAATTTACGTCCATCATTCGGACCACAAAGCATAATTGATCCACATACACGCTGTGTTGTGTTATTGAAACAAACTGAGTTCGTAATTGACCTATTGATGCAAAAGACTAATAATTCGAAGGTTTACGCTCGACTGATTGACACTGAAGGAACTGTTGTACTATTTACATTTTTTTTTTAAGTTCTAAAATCCTTACTTTTTTTTTTTATGAATATAAAAGTGAACCATCTTCGGCGGGCTATCTTTCATGTTCGTAGTGTATTTTTAATATGGTTTCTTTTTCATTGATATGTTTGCAGCTCCGTCAGTGTCTGCTGTACAACAGTCAATCGAACGTATCTACCCGTTAGTATTTGAGCACCGAAAAGCTCGCACCTGCCCTGAGGATATGCCCAGATCTCAGAATCCTCACGCATTCAAGCATCGACCATCCGCGCGCCTCATCAACTCTTCATACGGCGGTTCCACTCGTAATGTTTATGGGAGACGGGGTGGCGGCGATGACGACGACGATGATGATGACGAAGATACTGATGAAGAGGACAACGACCAAGACGATATTATGGACACATTTGACGGTGGAGATGCCGATGGATGTGAATCGGACCAAAGTTGGGGCTAGAGAATAACACAACTAAAAAAACAATGGACAACTGCCGGGGGGAAAAGGAGCGAATGAAGGATGGTGAGATACGAGATATAAAGCTTGAGCCACATCGATATACCGACATCTGCTAACTAAGCGTGGTAAAGCAAAGTGGCAGAGTTCGGCTGGAGAGGAATTCGTCACAGCCCACACGGTTGTATGATATTTCCGTGAAGAATTTAGCGTAACTAAAAAATGGCCATGTACGATGGAAAGTGAGAAAGAGCGAGGGCGTAAAAAAGACAGAGGAAACAACTAAGAGCAGACGATAGGTAGCAATGATAGAGAGTATATACATAAATAAACATAGATAGGTAGCAGACGTAGTGATACCGGGGAGGTATAAATAGGCAACGAGAAGCAGACACGTACTGTCACTAGTCCGCGATGAGGTGGCAGCGAAGCGAGATATGGAGAACTAACTTGAGATGATGGGACGGGAAGCACCAATGCCTAAGATGATGATATTAGTAGAAACGTGATGAAAAAAAAAAACGTGATTATTGGCACGTTTAACACAAAGAGTAAATTCGGCAGGACTCTAAGATGTGAAAGGTTAACGACTGGCAAATGAACTGAGTGTAGGAAGAAAAGTAAATGAATAGGATGGGATGGAAAAATAAAATAACATAGTATAATTATTATAATTCTGTGAGGTAATGAGTTAAATGAAAACGAAACCGTACCGCACCAGAGGCATCTAATAACACGCGGTGAATCGGTATCGGACGGATTGTATTTTCGCCAGCAACCGTATTAATACTTTTGGGGACGCCAAAATGACGCCGGAACGCAAGTGTCATGTGCTTGATTCGAGGTCCCACTAAAAATCTCGATGGCGACAATTTTACGAAAAACCGATGGCCGACGCAACAGTGCTGCCTGATAACTATATATATATATATATATATATATATACACGTATCCGTGTGAACACATAGTCGAACCAAACGCACTCGTGGACAGGAGAATAGCCATATCGGCGCTCCTAGGTGGTAATCAAGATCGCGATTGCCGTTGAGTATCACTGGGAGAGTGTAATAATTTCCCATCTAAATAATCCCATTCTCCGTGTCGATCATTTCAAAGAGACGAAGGGAAAGCAGAGAGGCAAAAAAAAATGCGGTAACTTATGAAATTCGGCAAGTTCTTAAAATTGCGCAGGCTTTTCTTGTTGCAAAACAAAAAGAAAGGAAGTGGCGCCAATAGTTTGAAACTGGTAGCATCTCAACATCGCACCAATAGAAGCAGACAGCTTTAGCGTCATCATGATTGTCACAATCTATTCTAAAAAAATGATGTATCTGAGCCATTAGGTGCCCCGTACACATCAGTATGTAATAAGTAAATTAATCCTCAATTGCTGTAATAGAATGTTATTATTATAATTACTATAATCATTTCTATTTTAGGAATATTTATTAACTGCAGGAACTCGAGAGATATTTTTGTTCAGATAGCTACGACGTGTAAAATAGGGTAACTATTATTCAATAATTATCGCGTGCTTAATATTGATAATATTATTAATATGACAATATGTATTATTAGTATTGCTGATGAGAGTAGTTCATGTTAATTAAATTATTATGAGTGTTGATTGTGACAGAAAGTATCCTGAAAAATGTGATTGTAATTATTTAAAATGAATGGTTATGACGCAGTTCATGAAAAATTAACCGGGAGTAATTTTTGCCGTATGTTGTCATGTCGTGATTATAGAGTTGAATTCTAATAACACACAAGGGCCACTTATGCCCTTTTTCCGATCACGAGTGCAGCCAGCCGACTGCTATTTGCCTTAACTAGCCATCCTGTGGATTATCGTATTGTTCAGTCCGACCGTTCTTCCAAATGATAATCTTCTGTGTCACTGTCCTCTGTCGTAGACTCTACTTCTACTTGTTTCCATTTCATTCTTGCAAAGGCAAGCTCCTGTGTATTTTTTTTTGGGCTCAGATATATCCCCGAAACAGATCATCTATTTGGTAGCGGATACAATATGAAGCAAATCGCTTCTCTTCGCATACATAGACAAGTGCCGGTCAACATCGATCAATTTAACATCGACCCGTTATTGACACTTTATCTACGGCTCTTATTGTTATTAGATCGCCAACAAACACCAACGCATACGAACCGACAAAGCATTAGGACGATGAAGCTTTATATGTATTCAATCGAACATACACCTCACCAGCTGCGTTTAACAGCCGGGAGAAGAATTGGCTGTTTGTTTTCTAATAGTGTCACTCGTTAGCAACGAAATGAGAGACAAGAGCGAAAATCGTGCATTACTTCTGTAGTTCGACACTGCAATCAATTCTATTAGTTGAAATCTATGATTATAAAAAATATGAATAATATTATTAATTTAATTGAATGCCAGTCTGTGCATAGCTGGTAATGAACGTTGAGGTAACAATTCTATAGATAACATATTTAAAGGTAACGTTAGCCGATATACGATAGACACCTGCAGAGATATTTCCTAAGGGGGCATTTACAAAAGGGGCAAAAAGCTCCTGAGATCTGACGAGAGAAAGGGCTATTGAAGTCTATTCGAAAATATGCTTCGTCTGCTTCGATACCGTACGAAGACGATATTTATACAGTAGTCATTCCCGTGTAGCCAATGCGGCCTTTTTTTGGGACGGCGATTGATTGGGGGCAATTTGCAAGTGACGCTAGCGACTTACGCGCGCCCGAAATTGGCTAGTCTTATGTTAGCTTACATTATTATGGCGATACAGGTACGCCTGTGCAGTGTGGTCCATAATGCTTCCATTTAGGGGCATTCAGGTTTACTTTGCGTTGGTAGCCCCGAGCCAAAGCTTAAATGTACGCATTTCGGCATAGGATGAAGGCAGATGATACCGGCGATACGCTTTGTCGTGTAATAATCACTGTAAGCAGAAAAGTTGATATCGAAATGACTGCACAGGCTTATCACCACTTTGCGCGACGTACATATAACATTAATATTAGATAGTAGTAACAATGATAATAACAATGCAGCAACAAAGTCTCCCGTTCTATGCCAATGTTCGTCGATACATGCGTTCCAAGCAATGTACAACAGTTTAATCGTAGATATTAGGGCTCATTTACCTTCGATAAAATTTTCTCAGCTCGGCAGGTAAACGGTCGAACAATATCGTCGGAATATACTATCTAAATATCTTTATCAGTTAGATTAGCCAGAAACATTAATGTCGCTTACTGCCGCATGTTCAGATCTAGTAATACCTGTAAATGCTAGCACACTCTATGCTATGTAAATGCTAGCGTCTGCGGTACTGCTCTAAAACCAACGATTTTCTGCCCCTCTGATAACTGCCCCATTGTCGCTTTGGCTTGAATTCCTGGCACCTTTCGGCACCACTTTGTTCTCAATAATCATGTATATGTGATATAATGATGTCGGTCTGAAGAGGGTCTCTTGGAGGTCTTGTTGAAAATTGTTCGACGATTCCGTCGACGGCATTTGTGTGCACAAGAAATCCCGAAGGTCTACGGTGGGAGTTGTTTTAAAGATAGAAATGATAGTAATCTGGAAGTAAGTTGTGGCTGCGATGTAACAACGTATTACTGATCGTGGCCGCTTGTAATTACGGGCCATGATCGTATTGTACGCCACTCCTTTAGCCATGGATATTTGCGAAAGGACCACATGTAGTATTAGAAACGAAACGAGTATAAAGAATTTTTCTGTTGACCCAAGTAGCGTCTCAAAACTAAAAGACCTATTTCGCTACTTCTGTGCTAATCTGAGCAAAACTGATCAGGTGTTAAATTTTTGCTTTTTGTCGGTAATAGATGATTCGTAACGATAGCGATGATGTTAATGTATACCCCAAAAGCTTACTTTTCTGAAAGCCGACTATGTTGTGGGACATTATGCGCTTGACAGAGCATATTATATGATATACTGCATTGTTGAAAAGTGGGTTCGAGATTAAGTGCATGAATAAATTACGGTTATTTCCGTATTCGGGCAATTTTCAGTATACATAAATAGAAAACAGTTGATGGAAAGGGAGTTGAACAGCATCAAATAACCGTTGGCGATGGTTGACATGAGGAGTATTCGACGACATCCTTCCTCGAATGGGGCAATTGTTTTTTGCTTAACAGTTGTACAATTGCGTTGCTAGAAAGGGTCACATAAATCTTTGTTATGTTTTCACTGCGACATGCAAAAATCTTTGCATGCATTTGTTTGGGCGAATAGAAACGATTTGCTTGCGGTTTCTGATATCGTTATTACTAATGAGATGATCTCATGAGATCTGCTGCCTGCAAGAACATTTCAATCATTCGTCTTTTTTTACCTAGCTATGTCCGTGTCCACTTGTAACCTAGCGTCCTCGCTAGTAGCTAATAATGGCAAACTGTTGCGTTGTCATATTTTTTTTAATCATGCATTCGTTTGCTGTTTGTAATAACGTGATCTCTTTGTGCCGATTTCATCCCGTTGCCATTTTCTTCTATTGTTTGAAGAATTGTTGTAAAGGTCCTGTGCGTGAAGCCTACCTTTGGTGCTCTTATTGAATATGATCCTTTGAAATTGTCATTCGATCGCTTTTTTGCGTTCCTCCTGGACATTTGTTGACGGCGAGCACACTTTTCATTTATTATTATCGAAAATGGTACGTGTGGTGCTCGTCGACATTTCGCCTACGTGTGCCTACAAGCTTAGCTGGGTGCTCCTGTTTCGCTTGAAGGTGAAGGTCCCCTCAGAGGTCCACCAGACTGATCTATTCGACGCTTTCAAACAAAACAAGTTGAACCAAAGTGAAAGCAGCTGTACAGTGGAATAAAAACCAAAATCGATGATATATCTATGCGTTTGCGGCCAACCAAAGGCAACACATCAGATAGGCGCAAACGAGAAGTCCGAAAAGCATCTTCCATCGTGATTAATTGTGAGTAGGGTTTATGCGTACCTATAACAGGTGACGAAAAACACTTATACCGATCTTGTATGCACAGAATGACAAAGGTGGAAATCTCTACATATAACACTCCCAAAAGACCTCAATTGCCCTGAACAAAACATCATGTATGAGGCCTATTTATATATATATATATATATATATATGTCACGTGAGCTACCCTTGCTTATCTTTATTTTATCGTTCAGCAAAGTCCTGTCTCATTCGATTGGCTTATGTGGTTACCATGAAATGAGACGATGATGCTGGCTTTCTAGGAGAATCCGTAGTAGGCATAACGCTAAATCAGGACCCGCAACGAACATCTGCAGCTCCTTACAGAATGTGGGGCGCAGACGTTTGAAGCGAAAGTCCGTGCACTGGTGAGCGAGAAACTAAAAATGGAGAGAAAAATATAAAAAAAAAGTAGACATTCAAGAACAAAACGCGGTAACAAGTAATAGCAACGCACTATTGTCGACTACTCCGACCACCAGAAGCGGGGAGAGATTTGAAAGGGATCTAGATGGAAGTGAGATGGATGACTTTATTTATTATTAGGAAAGTTGAAGCTACAGGGGTGCGATTGCGTATATCATAAAGCGAAGAGTAGTATCATTATTTGTAATAGTGACAAACACGATGGTAATAAAAGGAAGGACATAAGATCATACTGTAATGCTATAATTATCAGTAAAATAGATGATGCTATGTAGTGTTTATACCAAACAGCCATTTTGTATGGTGATGCTATTGAAGCAAAATGAACCACGTACGGCAAATGATATGGCTAGAATGCTAGTGTGAGTGAAACAAAAGAAAAGCGTGAAAGACAAGTTTTTCTCTTCTTTTTTTTGGGAGTGACAATTTTTCACAGCTGTAGCACTCGACGTGCTCTGCTTGGGGATGCGGCACGCCGGTGGACTATCACCGTCCCGCGTCTCTGTAGAAATCGAACATACACTTTGAAAAGAGCCCGACGATTGCACGTCGCTATTTTTGTCCGCTCTTTTGGGAACCTCGTAGCAGCGAGGTTGTTGAGGCCGCTCGGCGCGATGAAGACGGAAACAGCTAATGTATACGAGTGGAAGTTACGTAGTCGCGGTCAGATACTAGTAATAGTGTGTGTAGCGCTACCTTTAAAAGCAATCAGAGAATATTGGACTCTGGAATATGAACAATGCAGCAACTAAATACTACCGTAATATTATCAGTCATATTGTTACTAATTTAAATGATAGAAATAACTGTATCAAAAGAGGAACAATAACGACACGGCGACGGTGATGACTATATATAAGCTAAGATAGCTAGCGATAAAGGAGATTCAATAAAATAAGCAGTTGTTTTTTTTTGCGAACAGTACTTGCTGAAGTCTGCTGGCAGGAGGCAAATGACTAAACGACAATGACATTATATACCTACAAATAATACTATGACAATTGTATGAGTACGCAAAGCAAGCTAGGCAGAGTTAGGGAACGGCAGAGATATAGTCTAGGCGGCAATAGCAGCAGTAAAACAGCAGACGAATATACGAGAAAAACAAAATGCGACAAAACAAAACGATATTGACCATAGTGATGTCGTAATAATAGTATATTATTATATAATTTACAATAATAAATAATGTAACTGCTATTAATAATTACGACAATAAAGAACGAATGATATAGCTAACTATCGTGATGATTATGATAATATGTCTGGATTGATTGACAGCGCCAATGCGTGAACGAAATAGTCGTAGCGTATTTTCAAAGAATTGGATCAATAATAATAATAATAATTGGATGGGTTTGAAAAAGCGCGCGAATGAAGTGGCAGGCGTGAAATTGTCTAGCCAACATCAAAGCTGAGATAAAACAACGGTGAACTGAAATGGAATTCAACGATGAAGCAATGCATTACAACGGAGTAATTCAGTGCTACTTCTTGAAAAATGGAAATAGGGAAAAACCATACGAGAAACGATGGGAACCATCATTAAGAGGTAACAAAAATGGGTATTGTAAATACTGCTAATAAGAGGACGAAAAAATGCCTTCGACAAAAAAAAAAGATTTATTTCGTCTTTTTCTCAATCCAAAATACTTCGACATCAATGATGATTGACGATGAATTAAACTCCAAATGGAATTTGAAAAGCTGGCAAAAACGACACAAATCAAAACGTGATAAATCATTATTACTGATAAAGAAATTAATAGACAGTGAAATGAAGATGAGGCATCATGGCAAAAGCGAAAAAAATGCAGCTGCAGAAAGACGGGGTTCTGTAAAATATAGAAATATTTTAAGATCAACGACTGAAGTCATTTTTACAAATAAAGCACAACATCGCTGTTAATGTAATCCTGGCAGTGTTTTTATTTTATGAACTGTGAATTCATTTCTAATATCAAGACGGAAATTACTGAGAATTGCACGGATCGAGGAGATAATAGAATGAGCAATTAAAACAAATGGTACCAGCTATTGCCGTTACAATTACAAAAATACTAATATATATATAATCATATAAAATAATACCACTATATCGCTCAATTTCAGCAAAGCCGGTACGAAAAGACTTATAGAAGAAGATACGGGAAAGAAAATGGAAAGGCCGTTTTCAAAGCATTTATAAAAAAAAGTAATCCCTAATAATGCTGTAAAAAAACCAGATACTAAGAATGAATGAGCTTTGTTTCAATGCGTTAAGACTTGAGTAAACACTGGACAAGGTTTCTAAACAGTCGAATAATGTATCCAAAGAAAAAAATTTGGAAACCATAATAGAAACCATAGTCTTAGAAACCATAGATTTGGTAGCGTTGAATATATTGTTGTTACAGTCAACAATCCTGCCAGTAAGAGTAAAAAGGTAGATATGTATTATCCACCGCCAATCAGTTTTCACTGCTAGGGCGTTTATCTAACACTCACTAAACCTTTAATTCTTGGATTTTTTCTGGGTAGAAGTAACGGAAATACAGTAAGTATTAATATTTTTTTTCTTTTATTTCTTTATTAACCTTTTTTTTTACTAACTATTTCTTTATTAACTTGTCAAAATTGAGCCCGAAATAAGAAAAGCGAGCAAAATGACCACAGCAACTGCACGTTTCTATTCACTTAATCATCAAGTGCTGATCGATTCGTCAGGCGCTTGTGTGGCTGCAAACGCTAAAAAAATTTGCTCGAGGCTTGTATCTGATACCACAGAATCCTCGAGACTGAATTGTTCTTGCAGCTCTTTAACGACTTCAAACAGCTCGCTCCAGCGAAGGTTTGGATCCTTGATGTAGTAAGTTAATGTGTTCTAAAAAAGAACAAAAAAAATCATTATTTACTTAGCATAGTTATTCATTCATTCATTCATGTCGACTTACGCATGGTAATTGAACTCGTATGAGCGTTAGCCGTTAATGAGTAGGCACTGACCTGATGAACATCGGTGAGTTGGTTTTTCATGGAGAACAAACGGTCCATAAGCGCGCATATATCGGAAACCACAGTAGCGTCATCGTCAGAAGGCCTTACTTTGATTGTAAGTGTATACCCTTGAGCAAACTTCCCTCTAATATGCTGTGATGAACCGAGACACCGGAAAGTGCCGTTGACTATAATTGCCATTCGCCCACAGAGAGTTTCGCATTCGTCCATCGAATGCGAGCTCAAAATTATAGATGTACCTAGTTCTCGCTGTGCTTTGGCCAGCATCGCCCAGATCTTGCGACGCGCAGCTGGATCTATGCCGGATGTTGGCTTATCGAGGCAGATTACTGGAAGGTTACCAATCATCGCCAAAGCGATAGCAAGTTTCCGTTTGTTTCCGCCACTATAGGTCGAGATTAACTTGTCGGCGTACGGCTCGAGGTCGGCAAGGGTCACTATCAGCGCGATGAGAGAGGCTCGCTGCTCAGATCGCACCCCTCGAAGGGCACAAAATAGCTCAAGCATTTCTTGACCTGACATGCCGCCAAGCAAGTCATCGACTTGTGGACAGAAGCCTACATAGCTCTGGTATTCAGTGCGCGAGCTCCGTAGATCCGAGTGAGAAATATAAGCATTCCCGTCAGACATCGTTAAATCGCCCGTAAGCATGCCGAATATTGTTGTCTTTCCAGCGCCATTAACTCCGAGAAGGCCAAAGTTTTCATTTTTTTTAACCGCAAACGAAACATGGTCAACCGCTCGAAACGAGTAGCATAAGCCATAGTCCTTTGTTAAGTCGTGCGCTAAAAGAGCGTAATTAGCTTGCTTACCAGCCCTGACAGCATCTCTGACTTTTCGCTGTTCAGCCAAAACATCAGCGTCACTTAGCACTTTCGTCTCTCCTGTAAAAATAAATGCCAATTTCCATAAAAATAAAAAATGGTCGATGCTAGTTAAATGCGAAGTCAGCATTTTACCTGTTGCACTTCGTCGCATCCTCTGGAGACATTTCGGTGCGTTACAGCCCCGTTGGATGCAGGTCTCAAGGACAATGAGCACGATCGATGCTATAAGGCTTACGCTGAAAAGGGCGTACATCTGTAAAACACAATGAATAGCTTCAAACTAATCATCGGTCTTAATACGAATATACTATTATTAGGAAAGTTGCTGCTGACAAAAGAATTCGATTTCTGTTCACATGCCATATGTATCAAAAATGTGCTACTCTTGTAGTTTATATTCGCTCAAATTAAGTTACCTACCTGTAAAGGCACGTTTGTATCTGTCTGTGAATTGCGGAGCTCACTCATGTCCTTCATGACTCACATGGGATAGCTTTTATATTCAGTTACAACCTACTCGTACATGACGACGGGTGATGTACAAATATCAAATTTGTATTTCCTTCAAAATAGCTATGGAACGTTATTAGACGTCCAGCAATTACGGCGATTTATTACGTGCGTATGCAATGCTCATCAATCATTTTAAGCTGAGTATGCCTTACCTGGTCAACTACGACACTAAACGAGCTCTTTCGTTCGTAGCAGTATACGGACGATGAAGTTTGATTAGAGCATACTGTGAACGATAGAGAAAAAAGGCGCTCGTTTAGACATTGCATTCATAAGACGTTCCACTCTCCGTTTGCAAAGAGGCCTGTATTTTTATCAAAACCTGATTCTCCATGAGGGATATGGCTGCAAATTACGACCCTTTACGAACTTACATTGGCAGCAGGCATCAATTCTCAGTGGCGAAACACAGAAGGTGATCAGTGTTTTATTGGAGAGGCTCTCACATATCTTTTTCGAGTGAACGTTGAGCTGTATATTTGAAAATCCCCAAACAACGGCGAACTGTGGAACGTAATTGAGGATAGCTCCGATTTTCTCGATATTCCCTAGTGTAAAATTGATAATTAAGTTTTATATTCGAACATCATCGAATACTACCTACGGAGTAGTTACATGCAACCTAATGCGCAAGCGAAGATCTTTAATCCGAGCCTGAAAAGTGCGTTGAAAACCTTGCTTTGTAACAGATCGATACAGACATGAACAATACTACTACTACTACTACTACTACTGTTGTGCCGAGAGCTTTTTATTGATAAATGTTTTTGTTCGGTCTCAATTGCTAGATCAGCTATGATTACCTACGTTCGTATCTAGGTTAGCGTACCGAGAAATATGATGAATGTTACGATGGGAACAATGACGCCAGCAATAAGCGCAGTGCCCGCCACCATCGCCGTAAAACCTGTCCAGGGTGAGTTGAACCAATAGGCCAACATATACGCGATTTTAATCATTGCGAAACCATACTCAATGAGGAGAAGCCATATAGCCGCTGAAGTGTACGCAGATAATAATACGTTAGGTCATTGAGTTACTCTGACCGATAAGTTCGATAAGGACGCATGATCTCACCGACTCCAGTTTTTTAAATATAATAACGCTTTTACTATGCGAACGAACAAGCCGAAACGAAGTCACGCCTCATGCTTATCACAGCGTCATTCGGGGAACTGTTGTAAATGTTTGTCAGTTTTCTCCTTAAGATAACGCTACGTTTCACCGGCTGCCAGGTGAAACCTTTTCATTTGAAATTGAACTTACCGCTGGCATCGGTCTGAATTCTGAGAGACTCCGCGGGATTGCATACAGCTAAAACCAGCGTTACGAGGAATGAACAGACCAACATGACGATAAAGTCAAAAAACAACGATGCCCCATAGAAAATCGTTCCGTGAACGCCAGACATCTTTTGCATCTGAGAATCTCAAACACAGCAGTATAAATTAATGCAAGATTTCAATTAGCGAAGTACAACGCGTCAGTGTTCATTGCAACTTTGTTCTGTTCCGTTGGCTGATATTTACCTATATATAGGTAAGTTGCAAATCGTGCACTAAACGTACCAGCCTTGATTTAGTTACACGTTCCTCAATAGGAAAGAAGATCACAGGGCTGACCAAAAGACTAGTAGCTAATTGTATGAGTAGGAACGTCATCGTACGAACTGAAATGAATAATATTTAAAAACAGCTTTAGAGAATACATCGGTAAGCTTAGGTTGAATTATACCATTTTCATACTGTACAAAAACTACGACATATGTACCCTTTCCTTATTCAACGATTACTATTATGCAAATGAAAACAATAATGCAAAACGTTCTTCGTTTTCGTGGCTCCTGTAACATGTAAAAATGTATATACACAGTCCAATTTTTTCCAATTTTAGTTTGCCAACTATACAGAAAATAGCAAGCTATAAGACAAAACATGAAAATAGTAACGAAATAGCTTCAGGTATGGAAAAACAGCCTTCTCAAAAAAAGTGAGAAGTGTTTAGCAAACCACAGGTGTCACTACTATAGACTATTCCGATAGGTGATCTAATGGACTACTATTTTATTATCGCCTATTAAAACTTAATCGAAAAAGCATAGAAAGGCCAAAAATTGAAATTTTTGGCTCTAATGCTTACTCTAGTCTAACGAATGCTTTCCGAGATACATAAAAAGAAAATGGTCTAAAAAAAAAACTTTTAGAGAATGCTCGATTAATTTATTAAACACCATTCCGAGTATATTGCCTTTCACTTACAATAAATTATTTATATAAATCTATTTATATATAAATTGCAAGTAAAAGGCAATATACTCGAATGGTGTTTAATAACCTTTAGTGCGTTAACTTTAAGATTTAGCAAGACTTGGCTGGCTTACTTGCTAAATTGAAAGAAAAAGCCTTGAAACGGAACTTGACCTCTAAACAGAACTTCCAGCATTTTTCATATATTCTATTTATTAGTATAAATATGAAGAACTATTGCTAATAAAGTGCAGGAAAATCGATTTGGTTGATTTAAATCGAGAAAATAAACCCGATAAGACGAACGCCATAGTAGCGAATCAAATAGTAAAAAATTACCCTAGATAGTCTAGGACCATAGAATTTCTAGCTCATGTTGCTACTGGCTGGGTCCTCGTCGTTTTCTTCAAATTGAGGCACGCATTGGTCCAGCCAGTGCAATGACAATTAGCATGAATCTCGGAAAGTTAGCGACGATCATCATTTATTTTGATCTAAATTATACGAAAAAGGAACTCGACCCTGTTCTTTAACAATGTAAGGAACAATAAAAGGAAGGGTATATGCATCTGAACAGTCCTTGCACCGTAAAGGAATGGTGTCGTACTCTCTTGTTACCAGAAGTTATTTCGTTATTTTCTAAGTAATCACACATTAGGGTACCACGAACGAAAATGATCGTAAGACATTGATTCAGTAACCCCGGATGGACAGGTAGATACTAAAACTAGGTAAGGTGTCATCATAAAAGAACATCAGCAAAACTGATACATTCGATCCGTATGTAGATAGGAGTTGATCAACTTACTGTACAAGATCCGAACAGAAGAAAAGTGCAGAGGTGGAGTGCCGACCAGCTCGTTCGTGACATGCACCCCAACTGGTAGATTTTTACTTAAGCTGTTAGAGCTTTGCGTAAGTTCATATAGAACGGCGGTCTGCCACCGAGCTAGCGCTGTAGCGCCGACATGGTACGGTTCCGCATTGAACCACAATACATCATCTTTCAATCCGGAAAGGTTCGACGTACCTCCCATCTGCCATCTTTCCTTGAACCTCAGTGGCTGGGTCTTTGCTTTACGTTAAGTATAAGCCATTCATTCTTAATGTTAAGCTACGAAATAATATACGGTAAAATCTATCGACCGTGTTTGTTTAGTTTTCCCACCTATGTTGAGGTAAGTAAGTCAAGGATACAAATCCTTTGGCAACTGCCGAGCTCGATCACAGTGATTCGACTACTTGACTATCGGCAGCCCCCTTTTTTAATTGAGTGATTTACCAAGTGTTTGGCAATTACATTTCCACTACACTGTCTCAAAAAATCGCTAAAAGCTCGGCACTGCAATATATCGATTTTTATTAAAAACCAACGAAAAAGTAAGAACGAATCAGCAACGAGAGAACCATGGTGGACAAATGGACAATGTTAACGGTTAGAAGAGACGCAATTCGGTACCTGAAGTTACAGGTGAAGTAGTAAAGAACGAAGTTGTCAAGAAAATGTGTATTATATTGTACTGTGCCTAAAATGAGAGCAAGCAGCTACAGCGACGAAGTTGAGCCGACCACATCGACGAATGGCGCGGACCGAAATTAGACGGCGATAACGCCTCAAAAAAATCTGGACGGTTTACTTAAACGATGTCTTTCTTCGAAGATTGTCCTCCAGGGAAAGCCGAAAGTCATTAGACATATCAAAGACAATACTTGGCACCAACCCATAGCAAAAAATAGCCGTTTTGGCTTTCATTAGGAAACTTGAAAAATGTTTACTGACCCCGGATGTATAGTTTCAGTGGTTTGCATGATATGATTGTGAAGGCTTCTCAAAGCATCTTAAATAGGAGACTAATTGCGCCGATCTGTCAAATTATCATTATTAAAGTTTCTCAAAAATTCCAAAATCAAAAATACAAAACGTAGTGGTCAAGAGAAATGAGGTTAGAATACATTAGGTGTGCATAATACTTCTACTCTCTAAAACGTGGGACAAGACGCAAGTTGAGAAGCGAAAAGATAAAAATCTTTTCTTTAAACCAACGTTAAAAGTAAACGTTGGTGTTCAAATCTGTTACTCATAGAACGAGAAAATCTGCCCCAATCCAGATTCTTCAAGAAGTTATCGAAGAACAATCTACCGGAGAGAAAGATGATTGTTAATGGCCTTTTGTATCAGTCTGGTCGGACTCGATAAAAGGTAATTAGAAAGGGTCTGTCTTCGTTTGTAGTAATGTGCATGGGAAAGAACGCCGGTCTCAGATTTTCGGGCCATGTTAATAACTAAGACGTTTTGCAGTAACCTCTTCATTAACAGAAATCGATATGCCATAAACGAAGTGTCCTTGCAGGTGCATTCGATATTTGGTATTTAGATATTTTTTCATTTATATTTGCAATACTTATTGGATAGATCACTAAATTGGGTTTCCGATAAAACCATTATGCATGATATTCAATATAATAGTAAAAGAAGGATATAACACGGTACCTATTTCGAGTAGGTAGTTATCGATGTCAATTCCTACGTTAAGGTGGTTCACTTTTATACCGTGTTGCTCCATCGCGTATATCAGTGGCACCTTGTTAGTCGTCGGGGATTTTGCCATATTTTGTATGAAGCCCTCCAAAGATCTTCCGTCGGCCAACGATGGAAATGAATAGTTTAGTAGAAGCGCCTGATCCGATAAAGGTAGCGTTATAAATTAGATTTGGTTAGTGTTGTCTATAGTATATAGTTGTTTGCCTGTAAAATACAATTGACGCTTGAATTATCCTCAGTTAAGCTAGAGCGAATATGAGAAATGGCTCGATACCTATCTGCCTAAAAACGTTCATATATTAAAGGTATTATATGAGGTTATATTAAAGAACTCGGCCCCTCAAGCGGTTACTCGGTCAAGCAGAGAAATCTGTAAGATTATTAGTGCTTCCTTGACGGGCCAGATTTCTTTACAAAATTTGATACTAAAAATTAGGAAAGTTTAAGGACTACTATAGCACAACTTGGCCTTTTTGACAAATAAGCTATGGAAATAATGATTACTACTGTTCGTAGCTCCTCGCGAAACGTCTCACCTCTGAAACAGCCTGCTCACCTAAAACCGCTTCGATCTGAAGGGCAACATATCCCGTGAGCAGACAAGGTAACACGATCAAGAAGATTAACATGGACCACTGACGTCTGATAAGATGAACCCGCTTAAGAAACAAAGCCCAAAACTGGCTTCGGTATAGAGTCCATCCGGTTTCTGAGACACAATTAGGGAACGGCTCCACTGAAGCAAATTACGAAGACAAAACAAAAGTGAGTCCCCTAGACCATTGTTAAATAACGCCGATAACAAAAAGCACATGAATATATTGGGTCAAAGTGAAGTATATTTTACTCATGGTAATAATGGATCTTTCTTTACTGACGTTTCGCTTCCACGTCTCTGATGTAATTCTTTGTAAGTCTTTGATGTCTTTATGTGTACATTCCGCCACCTCCCCGAATCGGTCGAAAATTCTCGTTCTAATTCTCTAAATCGAACGGTCATTTGGTTAGATGAACCTGAATAATTTCGAATTGTAGTTAGAGCAACGTTTTGTGCAAAGAACGCTTGTGGCTATTTTTGGGTATTTCCATTCGAAAAGATTTTTGTTCCGCAGTTTTTCAAGAGCTTTCATCGAACAAAATTCTTGTCCTATTCAACATATATCTTTTACCGACGTTGTCATTTTAATAGTACGAATTCTATAAACTGGACCAATATGAGTATACTACATGTTTTTAGATTATTTATTATAAGATTAGATATTATAAGACAATAATATCTTAAGATGGGTCGTTTTTACTATACGAACTGAAGTTGTTCCTATTTTTCGGTGCTTTTGCAAAGTGAACTCAACGATTCGAGAAATACTTTTCTCTTTACTTTATAAGCATGTGCTCCGTTGCTAACAGAATTTTACGTCATGCTCAGGCCAATTGACGTAATGCCGCTAGAAAAAAATTTCATCTACTGAATCAGCCCGGAACGTCGGTTCCAGAGGCGGGGAGATCTGCATAGCAGATGAGACTAGTCCGTGTTTTTTTTCTAGCACATCTCTTATAACTCTGGGCTACTCCGGTCATACCGCCTTCGGCCACAAAAAGCGTTTTTGAAGGGTAAGATCTCGCTATCGCATTACAGTGCCTGATAGTCGCCATTTGAGCTGCAGTTCACTTATTAGGCCGATTTTTTTTTGTTCGGTACTCAGATATCTGATCTCCGCCAAACAAGATAAAGCAGATTGAAAGTTCCGCTCGGTATACCCATCCACGGGTGATGAATCCGACTTTCAATCTATTTACAGTCAAATTTCTATTTTCCCAGTATGGATTTCTTGAAGTCGGGCCGTGATATAGTTTCATGGCCCGTCAAAATGGTGCTGCCAAAGACAGAACTAGATTCAATCTAATGTGCTCCTTTCAGGTTTACCCACTAACGTTAAAAATATTTACGTAAATAACTGAACTTTCGACTTTTAGGCGTTTTGGAGGAAGAAAAATTGCACTATAACTCAAAAGCCACTGTCAGTTTCTCTGCTTTCATGTCCGGCATTCCGTCTAGAACTTTGCGACGAATTCTAAAAAATCAATAAGAACACTTTTAAAACGGTAAAGACTATGGTACTACCCATTGTCTATTGTAAAATCTGTAGAAGGTTCTAGGCTGTTGCTGCGGCTGGTTTGTCGTAAATAAGAAAAAGTTATGAAAAAAAAAAATAAACGAAAGAAAAGTATTCAAGACGCCCTGCTTTGTGGTGCATTTTGCGTAGTTACGTGATTAACTACAAATTTTCAAAAAGTTACGAAAACAGCCTACGGGAGCATTCATTTGACGGCTTCTCAGAATCTTGTAGTTCATCAACTTTAAGAAAAACATCCTCCATGGTAGTTATTGAAACGCCCAAACTACCGATCTGCAATTAATGTCAAACAACAACAAGCACTGAGTCTTTTGTAGGTTTTAAGCGTGAAAACTTATGCCTATTAGCTTGAATGAACCCATTCCTATTCTTTGACCCGTGGAATTAATTAACACGCGGGCTGTTGGTCTCTAGCTGTGAGTCTGCGTTCGTTTAACGTGTGAGCTAGTCTTAGTAGGCCGTTGAAATCGGTGTCAACTTAAGTATAAATAAGTTGGTTCCAACTAAGACCTACATCAATTTACGTGCCTGCACCAAAAACGGAAGCCATTACAGCGACAATCCAATGTATTAGTTGATTCGGGACTAATGCTTACCCCAAGCCTCTGTCTACTTTCTTCAAGATCCCGGAACAGTTGAATCAGGTCAATGGCGTCTGGTGTACCGAGATTGATACAGAATTCTAGTCCGATATCTGACGTTAGTTGAACCTGCGTACACAAGTCTAATTGAACTCAGTCATTGCAAAAGCAGTGACGGGAAAACAGCTACAGCTGACATTATCGGAACCGGTTAATTGCAAAAAGCTAATTATAGACTGGTCACTTGATTCGTTTAGATGATGATCAATATGGGTAAACAAATTAATTGATGAATAGGTAATCGACAATATCCAATTATAGGCTTTGTATTTGATTAACCCAGTAAGTAATTAACCTGTTTTCTGCCGAGATGCCCCTTTACAATATGCAGAGTTGGTTGAACATCAACGTCGATGTTGGTCTTAATACATCTCAGTTTATACCCCGTCTCTGAAATCGATAGACATCGTCCCGCACAATTCCATTAACATAGGCATAACATATTGGCATTTTGAATTTTAAAGTATAAGTAACAGGAGCTTCGATGGTTTGTGTAAGCCCTTGAAGGTGCACAGGTCATCAGCACCTAGTAGGTCGCTTAGTGGAACTCTATCGATTTTAGCGCAAATACTAATAATGATCAGACAACTCGCAAATCGAACAGGTAGGCTTCTTTCCCTTACGCACAACTAGTTTCTTAAGCGGATAGGATTTTCGTCTGATTAACGCTGTTTACTTGTTACTAAATATGTAGCTGATTCTGGACTGCTAAATTTGATTATTCAAAGTAAGATCTACGTACTTTTGCTTCTATATAGAAGCGTCGATATGGTATCTCGTTAAATACGAATCTTTCAACGTAGTCCGATAACAATGAAATAGGTAAACTTATTTCTACAGACTTCAAAACCCAATCAAAGGTATGTGTTAGCATAATGTTCGCCATCTCACCGTACAAATTCTTTAAGAACAATGGTGATCCGACGCACTTGAGTTTACCATATGATAGGAAAGCGACTCGGTCGCCGAGAACGTCTGCTTCGTCCATATGGTGGGTTGTCATTAGTATAGTTCGACCGTTACGTGCCTGAAAATTTCGCAGAAAAGATCATTTGTAACGTTTTTCAAAAGCAATCTTAATGTAATGTAGTCGTGCTTGTTTTTATTTAGTAATATATAATTAAAAATCATTTATTCTTAAAAGTGATTATTTAATGAGCAGGGTAGGGCCGAGCATCCAATAATTTTTAGTTTAATAATAATAAAGCGTATTAAAGTAAGATTGCTTATCGCAAAGAAAAAAATTACCATTCATTTGGGAAACTTAGAAAATGTTTTTTTTCCAAGCATTGCACGTTTAGTTCTTTGACTGAAAGTATGGTCACGATGTTTCTTTTGCATGGAAAATTGTACATAAAACAAGGATTCTTTTTTTCAAGTAGCCTATTCTATTCTGATCTGCATGTCTTATATACGCTTCACAAAGCCGTCTTAGGCGGCAGTTTGGATAGAAACGTTCATTTTGTCGCCATGCTATCCTACCTTTTCGAGTATTGTCCAAATTTGCCGCCTTCCTTCAGGATCTAAGCCAGTGGTAGGTTCATCAAGGATGAGAATCTGAAACCAATACAGGCACTCAAATAGCCAATAGATTAGTTTGAGAGCGGGCTCGCTTACGTTCTATTTCAGTTAAACGAGAGCCTACAGATTTCAACTCAGGCATAAGCGCAGATATAAATGTTTCGAATTTCACCCTTGCTAATGCCCTAAAATGGCTAACCCTTTTGAGCAAAAAGCGAATAGTGTCCACGCACAGATTCGAACCTAGACCTTCTCACGCGCTCCTTGGTTTAGTAGAAAAACACGTTACCACTGCACCATTACTGAGGCAAAAGCATATTTGCCGTCCGTAAAGAAATCCTTAATAGGTTATCATAATCATCCTTAATAGGAAATAATGAAAGTTATCTCACGTTACCCATCAAGCCATCCCACTTTACCTACGTTGCTTCCGCCGATCATAGCATGGGCCATGCAAAGCTTTCGTTTCATTTCAGTAGTAAGTTTGCTTGCTTGCACATCTTGTTTAGCCTCCAAATTAACTTCAAATAGAATTTTATTAATTTCCGTTTCAGCGTCCATTTCGTTCGCACCTAGGTTAAAATACGTCAGCAATTCGTCGGATTAGTCGTCGGATAAGGTCTTGTTGTATGAAATAATTTTTCTGTGTTTCTATTCACGCTAGGGATCGCCGTTAGGCGCTTCGTCAGATCTCTGGGTCCTAAGCACATCCTAAGCACCGACTAACCTAACTCAAGCACTAGATTATGTCACCTGCACGTGAGAGGAAAAGACAAATAATAAGTTATTGTTGACCAGTGCAATTTTTGCGTTGATTTACCAACCTTTGATCATTAAAAAAAACTCCAAATTTTCTTTTACAGTTAACTCATCGAAGATTACGTTCTGCTGTGGACATAATCCGACACCCCGACGTGCTCGATTCGTATTTGTACGTACGTTATAGTTATTGATGAAAACTTCGCCAGATTTCGGCGGGAACAAGCCGGCGAGGATGCTCAGAGCCGTCGTTTTACCAGAGCCATTATGACCAATAATAACTGTTATTTGATCACGGTACAGTTTGAGCGAAAGGTTATCGAGAACAGGTTTATCATTACAGTGGTATTGATGAACAATACGACGAAATTCAATGGCCGGTCGGCCAAGATTGCTTGGCTCTTTTTCGAACACTCTTGCACGAAAGGCTGAATCTTCGATTACGCTACCTGATAAATCATCTTCATCTTCATCTGTTTGAGGAGGACACCAGTATGTTCGCTGGCATAGAAACAGAGGATGTTTAGGTATGCCTTGCTGCCACGGAAGGACGGAGTCAAGGTAAAAGGCGAGAAACGCATAAAGTGCACACGATATAACCATCATAGTAATGATGTCAAGCAGCGAAATGTTCTCTGGCTCAGCGCGCTCCGCTATATTCGTCCATTGTGCTCCAATACCTAGAAATGCCAAAGGGGTTAAGGTTACTGTCGCGTTCCAAAAACACACACACACACGTTGGATAAAAAAATTGTACAACCTGTTATACTTTAGAAAACATATTGCAACGTTTATCGGCTAAATTTGTTAGAAGAAATTTGTTAATAGAAGGTTTCCGCTAGTAGAAATATACTAGCGATATATATACTATCAATATAGATAGAAATGATGTGAATATCTTTAGTGCACTGCCGAGTGTGGCATTTAAGAGTTCCGTTCTTGGCTTACTCTTCCCTTCTTATGTTATTTGCACTGGAGATCATCACTAAACCTTATCATGGATAGATGAATGATGTGATTGTGACCACAGTTTGGTACTTTCTACCTAATTACTAAATCGATAACTAGACCTACATGATTTCTAACTGGTCGGATGCTAGGTCTTCAGAAGCAACTTCGCACGTAATTTCAATCCGATGATTCCGTGAAGTGTCCTGAGGACGCCTTCTGGTGCTCTGAAAATCTTGTACACAGACAGCGGCGGGAGCAGAGTTCCAGATCAGGCATTTGAAAACAATAGCAACAAAATAGTAGCAAAGAGCAGCCGGGCTCTGTTTAGTAACCATTTAAAATTGACTTCTAGTAGAACCTGATTGAAGACACTGACCTTCAGCTTCAGAAACATGCTATAGTGCTCAAATGAAAAACAAAATACAAATCGTAACCGAAAGATCATTGCGAGGAAGCCACCGTGCCATTCTTGGCAGTGCACTAAAGATCTTTATCATTTACTATTTTCATCGTTCGATTTAATCGCAAGCTACGCGTTGGATCCGACCTATAGACGTACAGGTATTAAGAAACTTGCCGAATTTAGATCTTCAGTTCATCCTGTTCTACGCGAAACTCTACATTGGATCTCCCTCATTGGCTGTACGTGATGCGCTCATTTTCTTGACAAATTTTCAGGTCTTCGTCATAATTTGAATTTCAAGGAACATCTTCAAAAGCAGGCCTATATATTGTCGGTCCCACAACTGTATAGCTGTGATGCCTATTTGATTTAAAGGCAATAAACGTGCGTTTTAAGTTGGTGGTACAGAGAAGGTTCGTCGCGGAAACCACGGCTTTTTCAAATCTTAGTTACCGCGCCTATTGTCCATAAGGAACTTACGACGACTGTGATCTCACCGCTTTAGCTTATAGCTTAACGTTGTTGACTTACCGGCTCGTTCCCACGATCCTATTATATCACAGCCTAGCTCAAGTCCGACCTCGGGAAGCAGCGATAGGTGAAGCTTCTTGTAGCGAGATGTGCTGAGTTCCGGATCACTAAGTTCCCTGCTCAACACCATCGAGACGAACGATATTACCAGTGTGCCAATGACGCCCATAGCAGCTATTTATAAACACATTCAATGTACGGTTATTCCAAATTCGCGTCAACAACACAGCCTTCTGCTTTCGCTTTGGCTGACCACTGAACTAATACTCGCGTTAAAATTAACCTTGCATCGAATTTCGCCATTACTTCTGCGGTTAACATGCTTTGCTAGACAGCGTGGTGAAGATACTGGAAATATCACGCCCGCTGCTTTCATTTAACCACATGTCTATCTTGATAAATTGGTACTTATTACCCACCCAACAGCTATACAGATGTACCCGTTCATGTCTAATGTTAAACAGGTTCGTCCCTCGGAGCACTGCCGCAATTTACGCATCGCTAAACAATTTCTGGATGTATATAATATATATACAGTAATAGCACATCAACATGGGCACATCGTATGCTGTTGAAACGGTTTAATTGGCGATACGAGAGTTCGCTTAACGGGCATCAACACAGAGGAATGGCGGAAACTGTTGAGCGCATGTCTTATGTTGTAGTAACCAGGTATTACACTTACGCGAAGTGAAGGGCACGGTGATAAGTAACGACTGTAGAATGATGGCCACGGCATAGAGCATCAGGAACGCGAGAACGACGAATTTATTAGAGGCGGAGTACAGCGCTTTACCGAAGATAGGAAAACAGGTCAAGACCTAGGTACCAAGCAGTGACAGGCGATCGGAATAAACAACGAAAAAAACACCGCAAATGAACAGATGAGGCGGATGAAAGGTATGCCACACATGAAAACGGGTATAGAAAATTAGAGCAATTTGGGACGAAATCTTCGTATAGTACTATGATCCCTAGTAATATGGGACAGAAGGGGGGCTATTCTAAAACACTTATGATTTCCGGCTAAGGAGTCAGTCACTCATTATACCATGATTCATCATCTTCGTCTTTCCACATGTAGTGAGAACTAGTGAAAATTTCGTTCTCGTGAGATTTCATGAAAATGATTTTCTTCGCGTCTTTTCCAAAAAGAGGTATCTTTGAAGCACTTGGCTCTAATTTTGTAACAACTATGTTATTTCGTCGGTTATATTGACGTTTAAGTAAATACGGCAAATTCTTCAGTTAATCTTCTCTTCTCTACCCAAACACGGTAAATACTATAGTCAGTAGCAAACATTTCACGCGAAACCGAATGTTCTACGTATTTGCCCATTAGACAGATGAGGAAAAAAGTGGTCCAGGTTTGCATCTAGACCTAGATACTAGATTTCCCATGAGATCTACCAGTAAAGATTCAAATTATAAAAGCTATGAAGGTAATAATCAATCATTTGTGCTCGGTGCTCGTAAATTTTCCATGTTGAGCTCTGTACCCTGGCAACTCCTCAGAACAATGCTGAACAGGCGTACGGACTGCTAAGAGTGAGTAACGCTTTAGAAATCAAAGCTTACGTGTCTCAAAGTGTAGATGAAAAACTATTAGTTACAATTATAGAGAACTAATATAAATATTCAAGCTGAGACCGCGTGTTGTCCGATGAAGCCCTTTTATTACAATTTTCCGGTTCTGTTGACATTCGAAGTATTATTTAGTACAGTAAATTCGAGTAACTTGGTAACATGCAATTATAGCCTCAAAGAAAAGTTGAAGCTGTCGAAGCTCGTAAGCTTAATTTATTGGGTTAATGTGTCTGAGATGAATGTTGTTGTACCCCTATTTCTGATAAACAAAACAGCAATGCCAAATTACTAATTCGAGGCTAATTTCTGAAGACTTAGTCCTTCTCAGAGTCTATATTAAATATCCCGTATTTTTCGCCCTATGCTGCTACTTCCTATACAACTAACTCCTTGAAACAAATTGAAGTGTGGCGACACACGGTCTTGAACCCGAACCACCTCACGTATCCCCATTAGAATTTATACAGACACTACTTTTAAAACACGCATGCTGTATAACGCACCCAGGCTATCAGTACTAGGATTGCCTTAGTCGTAAAGCCAACAAGAAACAGATTGGTCCGGTACACGAACTCCGAAACGCCCATCATGCATAGAAGTTCCTGAAAAGAAATGTGATATCGGGCTTTTAAGGTTATTGGCTCATGCATTTTACTGGCCAGATTTTGTTATTTGCCTATTTTTCCGGTCTGATAGGACATACCCGCTAAATAGTGAACCCAGTTTTTCCGGAATATGATAACCCCATCACGACTTTCTCTGTATTTATCTGAAGACGCGATCGATTTTATAGAATCATCAGGTTTTTCGAGCTATAAGTACCGACAACGAGAATAGATTTCTATTAAGCACGTTGAATTGGATCTCTGGGCTACTGGAAATTGCAAAACTGATCGTCAATAGAAAAGCACCAAATAAATGATATGAGCAACCCTATATAAAGTCACAAAGTGTTACATAAATAGTGCCTTGCGACCATGCGCGGTTGTATTTGCAAACGTTCTAGAGACACCGCCAATGGTTCCAGATCTGATGTGTTTTTTTGTAGTTGCTTACCTTTGCACGGAAACGTTTCTCTCGTATTACCCCCAATACGAAAAAAAGCAGGAAGAAACTACATCCCATCGAAGTAACAAAGCCAATATTTTCTAGACGGGTGCTCGTACTAACAGAATACCTGCAAATAGCGATTGTTTTTTCACTGCAACTTAATAGAAAATAACAACGTACATGGAATACTCAATCTACGCTTTTATAACAACCTTAGGTATGTTTTTCTCTTCATCATATTCGAATAGCGCAGTGTGATATTTGACCGACTAAAGCGCCATTTTTACGAAGGATTTTAATGAAAAGCGTAAAATATCATCAATATTTTCTATTTTTTTCCACTTTAGACATTTCTTTGTTCTCGTGTCTGAATGCATCGTCGTCACTCTACAAGGTTTTCGATGGTAGCGTTTGCCGTGACTAGCCGATTGAAAGCTATGGCAAACCCTACTAAACCCTTAGTTTATTGGCTTTGTTGTTGTTGTTGTTCATTTATTGACTCGTAATATATTGAGGGTTGTGCTTCTTCGTCCAGGTTTTCGTCAAACTAACCGTATGATGTTGATAATGGCAGCACAAAATACTGTTCACTACGAAATGAATAATACTGCTGGTGTCTGCAGTATCTAAGGAAAAAGGTTTGAATTATACGTCGGCCAAAGACTCTATAGAGTATCTAATATTGACCCACTTTGATACAAGCACGTGCGTCTTCCAGTGAACCCTTTACTGCACGCTATCACGCTGCTCTATAGCATTTTCCCATAATATATGGATACACTATACTAGCAGATTAAATAAATATACGCCTATAAGGTAGCAACCCGTTCCCCGCTGGAATCCCTCAATTGTTCGTGACATCATTTCATGGCGGCCTGGGATTAAGGCAAACTTTGCGCGTATATAGGTACGCATCTTTGTCCCAACCAAATAAGGCAAAGACACAGATCCTTTCTCTTTCCATATATAAGTTTGCCTCTTCGCTTACTTAGCCATTGAAATATCATCTGCGCAAAAATGTATACGAACCTGGCAGTGGGAAAATACTTGATGTTTGGGCTCGGGCTCAATCCGGTTCTTTCGACGCCACTTTCATTGACTTCTAGGCCATGAAAAGCGAGATGACTTCTAAACAATGCGTTCATACTGGGCCAGAGAAGCAGTGTTTCCTATAAAAGTAAAACTGATAGCGTTGCTTCTCTTGGAAGACTATTTATAAAGCAATACAGAGTGAACATAGTTATAGGTGGTTACAACAATCGTCTATTGTGGTAGACCGCAGCAAAATCAACAAGCAAGGACATGGTAAAGCTCTGATACTGATACGAAGTAACGTTAACCAATATATTTTGGTTTGGTGGAAAAATAAACGCCTTAAATAATCTAGAGATAATCAGCCGAAATCCTAATACACCTAATAAAACCAAGATTCTCCGTAGTCTTGCCTCCGTAAAATCCTAGGTATCTGCTGCGTTAATAATAGGCTTTTCGTCTTTCGTCAATCCCGCGCCCTAGAATGCCTCACAGTTTTCCAGTTCGGAATCCTTTGAATATTATGAGCGAAGCCGTGAAATATAAGCCGTGAAGGCCTCATAGCCACACGATGTTCATAGGTTACTGCCATGACAAGATCCCGTGAGCTACAGTAAGGCATGTGCTACTGAAGGTACACGGGCTTATTACAGGATTAGTTAAAGCTGTTCGATTGTAGCTTATTAATTCTCTCGTTCGTTGCCCTTTACTTTAATCGTACCTCTTCTGTGATGAACTGCGTCCTCGGTTTTTCAGAAGATTTCGCAAATTTCTTCTTGATATAGAACTCGTAATGGGCGGAATTGAAGCGCAGACTATAATTAAAGTTTTGCGGATACAAACCCTGGAGCGGCATTACGAACAAATGTAAGCAAAGATGTCAGTAAATGCAAATAAAAACTAAATGCCAAAAACCTTTAGTTTTTTATTTTATTATTAAAAAACGAGAAACACTGTAGACATTTAGTTTATTATCTTTAGCGTTTCCTACACAGATTAATACCTAACAAGGGAAAATCAATGAGCCGAATTCGACATGGCTGTAGCATTGCGGTGCTTCTCAGAGGTTTCGTCCACATCTAGAAATGGACGTCGATAGGACTAGATCTAAATGAACCTGCTTGTTTTTTTAATCATCCCGTCCAAAATTTTATGAAAGTATTAGTTGAAAAATGCTTGTTATTTGTGCTTACAATTGCAGTCTTGTAGTCGAATAGTACGCTGAGAAGGAAACTCGTTCGATTACTGCTTTCCATATATTTGCGGAAGTTATCCCCATTATCAAAGCCATGAAAAACTGCAGAAATATAATACGAGAAATAATCAATTGGCCACTGGGCTGACAGAACGGGTAAGGTAACCGACTCATAGATTGTTAGGCCTGATTAAAAATGCTTCCACATTTCCTTAATATCAATGCAGTGAATACCACAGTGACTTTTATACAAGGATGAGTTTCTAGTTGCTGATACTTTTGAAATATGCTACCTTTAGTCGATAAAACTAGATGTACAAGAAGGCCACTACTAACCTGGTGGAGGCTTGGCGTCCTTGAAAGCATTCAATAACACCGTGTCGGTGTACCTTGTTTTTGGTGCATAGGCAATTTGAGATATGTTACTCTGCAAGATATTGGATTGCCTAAATAGGGGCTCTAGAATCCATAATCGAAGCGCCCACCTGACCCGGAAACTCCTCAAAATTTCATCATCGAAGTTCCATCTAATTAACTGTAGTTGAATGAGGCAGCGTGATCTGAGGCTAACGCGCGTCTCTTTCGATGCCAGCGTGACCATTGGCACGCGGCCTTCGCTTATTCAAAACTTTGTCAAAAACTATGCAATAGCTTTCATGCCGTCTCCTAGCGCTACTGCAGAAAACCCAGACAGTCCAATAAGACCCAAAGGGCAGATATCAAGCAATCGGTGAAAAAATTACGTTGCGGGCTAACAGCCCGCAATGTGAGTCTGCCTCTCGAGGATTTTGGCAAGGATCTGAAGTGGACGACCCACAAGGTTCACAACGTAATAGCTCAGAATTCATATGAGGATTACACAGCGAGTAAAAACTGACAGTCAGCTGCAGCATATACTCATTATTTGCAAAGATCTAGAATCATGTTTTTTTGTCTCTTTCAGTAATAATAACGCATTGTGAAACGGAAGAACTGTTTAATATACTCAAAAACGATAACATACTATAGAGAAAACTAAGAATATGCGGAGAACATGGTTGTCAAAATGTTATCAAAATATATCAAGGCTTCAGGACATTTTCAGTAGATCGGGTTTCCTGTGGCATTAATAGAGAAGAGAACTGTGTGAAAAAATTGTCCAGGACAGACACCAATGTTGCCAATTGTTGCGCATATTACCAGTTGGAACCCTCCGCATAGATTACATATTCAATGCGCGTCCAGTATGCAAAATAGCAGCGCACAAATTATAACATCTTTTCATCGATTTAATATATTATACCTGCAGTAGCTTACGAGCCGGTGTTGCGAAGTCGATTGATGTCAACGCAGGTTGCACAGGATATTTCTTGGGACCTTCCCAAGCTGCTTCGCCAAGCTCGCGGACAACTGTCACTAATTGTACAAGTTATGAAAGCCCGCGTAAATACAAATAACCGTAAGTTGCAAGCAGTAAGATAACTATAGCTTTTAGTGGTTAATTAGTAAAACCGTAATTGTATGACGATGCGTAGCAGAAATAGAGGCTCGTAAGGGAAAGGAGACGTGACGTATTAGAACTAACTAGCTCCGCGCATGCCTTTGCATGTAAACACTCAGACCTACGATATTTGTAATAAAATATATTTGCCGCCTACCTATTAGCAAGGTAAGCAATCCTAGCTCGAACGTAGAAACAATATAGTGCCTTTTCCACTTAGATATGATGAAGTCCTTTCGATATAGCGCATACAATTGCCTGAAACGATGAAATCGCTCGTAATTATCGGTCGCTGAATCATCTACAGTGGGAAACCAATGTTGCAGCCCTGCGCCGCAGGTAGCTGGTAAACAGCAGTAAATATATTGCGTGTTAACAGCAAGAGGCAAAAATTTATCTCCACTCGTGGCTACGTACCATTCCACTTTCCTACCGTCAACATTTCCTGTTGGATTTTATGTTGTCCGCTCTAGCCTGCACGGGTTGACTAACCTAAGGTTATGCTCGGCCTTATGCTACCCGCCTCTACCAGCTTTTCTTTTACAAAGGCTTAATCCTCTCAGCAGTCTTGCACCTACTCTTAAGCCTAACCAGTGAAACAAAAAAGTTAATTTCTTAATTGACGGTTATATTATGGATCAGTTGGCAACTGAACGTTGTCTGTTCATTTGGTAAACGAATCCACAGCTGCGACTTGCAAGCAATAGATATGGCTAGCGCGTTCATTTACAAATGTTTTGTTGCCTTTATGCAGTTGCTTTCTGACTATAATTATCCGCTTATCCAGTTGTTACAGTGTATTTTTGGACCCTGCTGCAATTATTCTTTGATTCTGTTATGTGCAGTTCGGGAAATTTTTGACAATAGATACTTAAGGTCGATAATAAACGGCAAATTTTTCATGTATGTAAACAAAACTTGCAGACGGCACAAGAAAATAGGATGTGCTCAGATTATCTCTGTGATAGTTACCGTAGTAATTCAAAGTCTCGAGATAATTCACTGGTACGTAGAAGTACTTCTCACCTTCATATCCCTAGTTTCAAATAGTTAAGCAACGCCTTCGGTGGGTGGCTTGTCCCGCCACTAAATGATTCGCATGTCTGTGTTCAAACCCACCCGATCTTACCGTTAGATCGTTTTAGATAAGATATTAGATACAGATAACAGACTTTGCCACTGTACCATGGTAACGACCAAAAATATTGCTACAAAATATCTAAAAAAAAAAAATAAAGGAAGGTCACAGCCGCAAGCAGTCGAACTCCACATTTCACTTATGTAGAATAGTATTAACTGAGGTCACTAATAAATGATTCCTAAAGTCATATGGCAATGATCCGCTATATGAAACAATGCTTAGTGTGAAGCTTTAGGTAAAACTTGCCTCGTAGCGTTGCTAGGCAAAATGACGGTCGTCGATATGGAATCGCTGCCGGAATTAGGCGGATCCAGCTCTGCAGTTGTACCTAGTACTGTACTTTCTAAATCTGAAAGTGTCACTACGTTCTGGTTCATAGTAGCTCTTGGTGATAGGCACAGAACAGCTATCGTTGCAGCTTAGCACTCATGTTGTTCACGGTAAAAGAAATTACGGCTCAAGAAGTCGTTGAACTGCTTCGTTATTTCTGTAGCAATACGGAAATAGCTATTTCGTAAGCGTAGATACATTCTTAGGTATTAGTGTTTTAGCTACTTTTTAAACATCTCTTTTTTTGCTAGGATTAACGCGGGACTCGTGTGTCCTACACGATAGTGTTGCAATAGTCAGGTATATCAAACGTCTTCTCCGAACGTCATAAAAACGAAAAGCAAGACTGGAGCAAGTTAAAAAGCATTCCGAAAGAGGCTCTTCGTTAAAGTCCCTTCGTTGATGAAGGGTTGATGAAGAAAGCCTAAACACATGCGACATTGGAAGAAACCGGACGGACATGCTACGGGATTTCAGCAAATATAAAGGCCAAGCTAAAAGAAGAAATCAAGAAGATCTAAGAACATCAAAAGTACGTGCGATTAACGTTCGAGCGTGAGTGTACATACACGTAACACCCCCAAAGGTTCCTGGGTGAAAAGGAGAGGGAAAAAGGGACCTGCACATGAGTTTCTTTTGCCAGGCGTACTACAGAGTCCGATTGGTTACGTAGAAATTATTGTATCTTATTTGATGCATGGATACTTATTTAAACGCAGGACCTGTGTGCGTTATTAACACGATAGCGATAATGTTAATAATACTAGCCCATCTTGATTATCGGCTCTTGTCGTCTATAAACTTCGTTGGGCAGACCATTCTAATGTATGGAGCTTAATGCGCACATGCCTTATTGAAATGTATATACACACGTGTTCCTTAAAAAGAATACCTTTCATACAACACGCATGTCAGAAATTGTCTAGCTTTCTGATGATTTTATAGGCCCACGCTGCTGATTCCGCCAAGCTCTTTCGTACGGAATTACTAGTTTGATATGATATCACGTGGTAATGAAAGATCTTACATAGTAGTAAGCATGACAGGTTGTTGCAAAGGTTAGCTGTTTTCATAAGAATTGACTGGAGCCCTGTGGAGTCAAACAATCTAAGGACATCGTGTACTATAGAGAGTGATAATGGAAACGACAAACGCCATATAGTTTTCGAGGAAAGAACGTCATCGATGCTCATGCGAGCCTTATCAGGAGTAAGTCACGCTGCAGGCGGGTCCTCATCATCAAAAACAACACCTAGTTATGCCCCGCCAGAAAAGGAGCGTTTTGCTTCAGGGTCGTATTATTATGGCAAATGTTTGCCTCTTTACCAATAATTATCGTTGTAAATATGGTAGTATATGAATCTGTATCGAAACGAATTACTCTCATGCACGCAATGGATTAAGTAGTAGAGTGCTGATTCGTAGTTTTTATTGGGCGATGTTATCGTTTATGGACTGTTCTAGTAAATTTGGCACACAGCGTTAAAGCGCAGTTATGCGAACTATGAAAAACTTAATTGGACGCTACAGCGGAAATTCCTGAAAGAGTAATGATTACTAAGTAAATAAAAAATATATATAAATAAATAAATTAAAAAAATATAATATACAACTTTTTGACACTTTAAAATTTTACGCTGGCATTACCCAGCCTAATCAACCGACTCGAGTTGTTCCTTATTTTATCGTGCAGGGTAAATGAAACAATTCAATTGTCTCCCTCACCGAAAAAAAAAAAAAAAAAACATCCTAAAATTTATCTAAATAATTGTGACTAGTAACTATATATAGGCTGCTTGGCTCAAATATTTGTTGCTAATTTGCCCCATAACATGGCCGTTTTCGAGTCATATCTAGGGGTGGTTTGTCTGTGGTCCACTCTCGCTAAGCGTTATCCGTCGAAATAGCAGTAAAAAGCCTATAAATTCTTGGTTCTGTTCAAGAAAGTATCGTATGACCTTAGTAGTTCAAAGTTCTTGGCACATGCTTTTTTTTTCTTTGGAATAAACTCAATTGTTCTCCTATTATGGCCATAATAGTCCCGCTGTATCTAGTAAAAGTTACAATAAATCTTGTATGCTGAATCGTAAGTTGAGTTTTGTATCTAACTTAATACGGATTAATTCCATAAGAACGCCTATGTACATTTGAGCATAGTAAAACATGAGTGTACGGTGTCTCCTAAGTGTCTCTACAGCATACAATCATACACTGCCATTGATCTGAAACTAATTCGTTTCATATTATAACTGAGATAATAATCTTTATTATAATAACCTTCATTTAGGGATTTTCGGGTTCAGTTGAAATCTCTAGACAATCTTAGGCAAAAAAAAGGCCCTTACATCCTAGTCGACGAGAATACTTTCACCGGGATCTTAGTGGTGGAACGGTCATCTTAAGCGCAAGTGAAACAGTTTACATTCGAGATCGGCCATGGACGGGTACCGGTAGTGGCATTCAACGCCAGTGCCGAACGTAAAACTCAAAATGTTACACTTGGAAAGCTAAAACCAAAACGTATGGTTTAAAAAACATCTTAAGAAAAAAACTTACGACATAAATGCATTGTATAGGTCCTTCAAAGGCTACTTAAACCTGTCCTGCTATTACACCATGCTTCAAACAGTTTTCTAAGCGTTGTTCTTATGTTATCTAGATTTTATCTAATGTTTAACATCTGATGGAATGCCTAACGGCGATGCGAAACGTAAAACTCGAAACATAGAGAGGTTTTATCTAATGTAATCAACCTATTATAAATATAGGAAAGCACTCAAGTAAGGCAATATTACTTTTACCGTTATCCATTTTTCTAATCAAAAACCTCAAAGTGGACACCATTCAAAGAAGAACCCCCTTAGCCAGCCTTAATAGCTCCGCTCTCCTAGGGGGATACAGTGATCCCATAGCATAACGTCGACGTGCCCTGCATCTTTACGGCACATTCTGATAATCGTAATCAAACTCATCAATGCACAGCTTTGCTCCCGTAAAGCAGCTACGCCATGCATACCCATCAGCAATCTCTGGCGGAGTAGTCGTCAGATAACGATCATGTTTGTTTCCGATAAACTGTTTCATATGTAGACGGGGTTGATCTTGGTAGGACGGATAATAGAAGCTCGCTGGTGAATCATGACCTTCATTTTAATCAATTACCCTTTCCTCCAAACGGGTCCGCTATAAAACACAAATCACCTGGTAAACATCGGCTTGAAGCGACGCGTCGCGCTACACTCATCGCGTAGACTTACTGGCACTCTTTCACGCCACGTACGGTATCCATCCCGATCTTCCCTTAAATGTTGAAGTAGTGTCATATTCTATTACAGAGGTACGGACCATATCCACGGTTTCGCCGCTGCAAAAAGGACTAAATTAAACTATTCGCGGATTTGTGATCTTCTCCATTTAACAATAAAGGTGAGACTGCTTAGTAGCGTTTTTTTTTTTTTTACCGCTTTTCTTTGAAAATTGTAAAGTATCTAGATTATCGAAACAAAATGGTAGAATATGTGTGACGAAACAACGTTGATGTGCTTTCCTCCATATGTAACTAATTCCTTATGTTGACGCACTTCACGTTGCTTAACTCGTTTGATTAGGCTATACTGGGCGGAATGGTATCTAGGACAAAGTCTGCAGATGCAACCTACATAGGGCTCGAGGCCGATGAAATAGTGGAACTCGTGTACCGGAACCGTGTAACAAATATTTTCTCTACATCTCTCCAGTCGTGGTCAGTGTTAGCTGACGTTGAAAAAAATGAAAAGCAATGGTTTTCTGAGATAAACAGAGATCTATAAATTAATAGGACAAACCTAAATCATTTAAATTTCCATGACGACAAATTACTCGCCACACATCATGCTGACTCGATGCTGTTAAGTATACGGTTCTGTCCAAAAATCTTGAGTGTGCACATACGTATACGAAGTTACGTTGTGGATTTAAATGACGCATTTTGGGTTTTTCTGCACTGTACATAGGCCTGATAGCACCGTTCTCTACAGCCATCCATCGTTTGTCCGCGCTAGAAAAAACCACATGTGGCAAGCGTTGAGCAGCTCCTTCGTGGACTGTGAATTACGTTTATGTTTCACATAAACAGCAGGGCAGCTGACACAAGGACAATCGAGGGCCTTTTTATACCGATTCTGTATTGGATTCTGACTACTGTGTAATGCATCGATCAAAGAGGCTCTAGTATGGTGTTCTGTACGACTGTAAGTCGGAGATTTTACTTGAGAGTCTCTCTAACGCTTCCTACACCCGCGAACGGTTGTTCGACATGAAAGGCTTAGCGGAAAAGGAGTATGTTTCTTCGTTCACCTCCAATTTGATTGGCTGACAAATAAGGCTGCACATCCGACGTATCACAGACGATAGTTAAGTTCTTATGCTGGGGGGTAGAGCTCATCGGGAAAGCTGATTGTAATTTTTAGGCCAGATAGATAAAGTCTAGCCTATGCAGCTGCTAGATGCCATGTAATTCAATGTACGGATTCTTCCGTATTGACAACAACCACAATAGTGTCCTAGATGTGTAAGTGTGTCCTTCCAGGAGTTTTTTTCTTACTAATGCCACTTAATCTTACTCATTCTCATTGATAATATCACTTTTAACAGGATTTTGTTAACATAGCCTGCCGCATTCTGCCAGTTCTTTGTAGAAACCAGCGGTGCTATTTCTAAAAATCCCATCGGACACTCCTCATCGGGACTGCGGAAAAATACTAGCGACAGTTTCTTAGAATCAAATCAAATTTACATTTATGTAGCATATTTAAAAAATGTTTTCTTTTTTTGTCGATACACCGTTCGTACTCCATTTTTATTGATTTATCAGTGATACTTAGCTCTGGGTCAAATCTAAAGATTTTTAAACTCACACATACAAATGCTTTATAAAAAAACAAAAACAAAAAAAAAAGCATAATCAATTCGTACAATGGCTCGACAGAATTAGGTCACATTTGACTGTGCAAAGAAGTTGGGATTAAAAGTAAAAAAATTAGCTACCCGTATTTTTACTTGGATGTCTATATTATGTGCATGCAAATGTACTCCTTCGAGAGATGGTAAAGTATTAACGTGTGCGTCTATCAAACCTAAGGATACGGAAATTGCTGCCTACAATTAAAACCAGGCGTTCACACGTCAAGATAGGCGTAAACAGACTGCCTCTGGCGTTCATCATTCAGGCGTCCAGGGCAATAGTTAACGGCCACACTAAAAACGACTCAAAATGAAACATATATTGGCTTGCTGGCTCTATACGCAAATCTAAAACTAAGTAACAATATAAAAATGAAAAGTCATATAATAATAATAAGTATTGACTGTAGCAGTGCGTTTAATATACGCCTAGGACACTTGTAAGGTAAATTACAACACTGCTTTTTTGTCGGGCGCCTAAAAGGCCTACAACGACAAACCTATACTACGACGCTAATGTACTACAAATGAATGTGTTATCGAACTCTGCTTTTCAAGAAAATACTGTCGTCGTGGTCTTTCTAGAAGATCGAGGTATTTCTATTTCATGAATACGTCATGTGCACAATGGCGCGAATACGTTTTTCCCCCTCAAAGTTAACAGAGTTGCAATTTTAATAGCGTCCTTGTCATGAAGTTTGACGGATTGCGTTCGTAATAGCAGATATCAATTTAACCGCGCTTTTTACAAATCACCGAGAGATGTGGAGTTTTCAATTTACAATAGCTCAGCTGCATTTGAATTTGGCGCGTAAGAAGCGACGACTCGCGTTACAATAAGCGTCTAGCCGCAACTGTATCTAGTTTATATTTCTGAACGGAGTATGTATGGAATCAGCTAAGACAAGGCAGAACGACCCCATTCGAAAACGAAACAATAACAATGCCTAGTTAAGTACCGGCCGTTCTAGTACAAATGGTACTTTAAAAGAATTGCTGAATTATATCGCCTCAGTTTCTGTAGATGTTTCATGTTGTAAAGCTTCCATTTTAGCATTGTCGGTCTATTTCGATAATTACAATGTGGCGCACAACGTCTCGTATCGTCGTATTGCTCTATATAGTTATCTAAATTAGATGCAGCCTTTTTTTTTTGTAGTAGATAATTAGCTGCTCGAACATCAGTGTCCGCTCTAACCTTCGGAAATTGCAACACAAAATCCAACAGAAACTTCACTATTTTCCTTAAATTATTCTCTATATGATACAGCAGCGACCTCAAGGACACATGGAGGGCAGGCCTCGTATTGCACGAAGTGCATGCATCTCTTCATCCAATACCCTTGCATATTAATTATCGTGAAAATTTAGATCGGGAATAGAGTTGTACATATCACCGGCGATTGAAGCCAACAGAGAAATTCGTTCTCCCAGCACGAAATCATCTCGACTTGAAACACCCGGACCACGTTGTGGCGTCCCTTGCACCGCGTTCGTATTTCTTGCGCAACTCTAAAAATAACTTCTAGTTTAAGTTGACTGCAGTTCTGCTCGTCACCGAACGTGACGAGATCGTAGTAATTTTCGTTGTTATAAAAATAGCAACGTTCAATAAAGCCAGACTCGTTCGTAAGCGCCGGTCTAATTACTGCTGATCAATAACGTTACATTCAAACCGACCGAATTCTTGTTAGAATCAGTGTTGTTGACATAAAAAGATTATCCATCCGCTATCATTTCCTGCCTGGGTTCGGCAACGACGATTATCTTTGGGATATCGATAATAAATAAGAAATGTTTCTTTATTTTCTGTAATTATAATAAATGCAGCTATGACGCTATAGATATAGCAGCGCGGAGTGGTCCAAGCACGACAAGCGATTGGGTCATGATTTGGCATTTTGATTTATCTTGAGCTTATTTAACGACTGACCTTGACAGGTTACACAACTGCTAGTACTTTTCTAACCTATCTGAGTTACACAACGAGCGAAATTCTTTGATGAACGATTGACAAAATATAGTGGTACTTCAGGATAATTATGTATTATAACCATTAAATATACTACCATATATTTAGCAAGGCCTCTTGCTGAAGTTAAACAGCGTAAAGCCATATGACACATTGGTTAAGCAACATCACGAGAATAACTTAAGATAAGTAAACGAATTAGGTCAATTGAAAAGTATGATTTCTAGCTCGCATTTTTGCGAAACGAACAGTTCGCCGAAGAAATCTGCTTTCAATCAGCCGACAGAGCCATTACGGTAGTGGACCACAATGTATAATTCTTGTTATCACGTTAACTCTATGAGTCTGCGATTGGGCCATTCGGCACCTCAGGCTTCAGCGACCTTTGGCTGACCACATAAACAATAGCATTACACAATGAGGTAATTAAGTCTAAAACAATAAATTATCGCTTTGCATTTAAACGATTTTCCCCGTGAGCGTCTAACAATGTCTGTTGATAATCACCATCCGCTAGCACTTAAGCTTCTATGCTCTGCTGGTTCTGGCAAGCAAATTACATCTTTTCACGTTATAAGCTCTTGGAAGCTACTCAGTAACGCCAGAATCAAAGCTAATAGTCTTCATCTTCTCAAGCAAAAAAAAGTGCTTCATTTTTACCGCGCCCATCGTGTATTGTTTAAGAGTTGTGTACTGTTAACCCGTCCACGCCCTGCTATTACCAGGTACTGTTAGATCAGCTTAGAGGAGAAGAGAGGGCATGCCAACTCTTCACATCTGCCCATCGACAAAAAAGTGACTAGAGAGTACAAATTATTTCTATAGACAACTTCTAAAGCCGCTATCATGTATTCAACAACGTATTCATACAACGTCCGCAAAAGCTCTTGGAAGGGCATTTAAACTAAAGAAAAAAAAGATATTTTTCATCACATGATGACAGACGCCAATGTTTGTGAGTAAATATTCCCGTATCGTCTCTGAACTTTCTCATCCAGTGTTCTGTAACGTGGAGCTTTCATGAACAACAGAAAATCTTCAACAAGGCCCTTGTCATTGTGTAGATTTGTACAACAAGATAAAATCTAATTGACTAACATTGCCTTAGAGTACACTTCGTTGAAGAAAACATAAAATATTAAACTGATCTTTACCTATGAATATACGCATCCATATGCACCGCTGAAATCTGGCTAACCTTTATGCATCGTATGACAAAATGCCCCTATACCGAAACGCAACCGCTACTGCGGAGGGAAAGGTAACAGGCCTTCGGCGAGTGGAGCACCAGCTTTCCCCTCACACAAGATACGGTCGTCAATTAAGTATAAAATTCTTTTACACTACAGATAGAACCTAGCAGAGTAATCTCAGACTCGAAAACGAAAAAACCTTCTTGAGGTTAGTGGTTGTGTACTGATGTGCCTGTTCTGGATGCTCTCTAGCCGAAGAAAGGCCGTTCCAAAAACTGTGTCCTCGAAAACCTATCGGTTTTTGGCTTGCCCTGGCAAATTAACTACTTTGTATTAGAATAGAGAAAATTGTACAGAAGCATATAAGTTCGGTATTCTTCTGTACAGTTTATTCTAGGCGATGAAGACTGTACGGAGTGGTGTATTTTTGTTCGTAAGTGAAAATGATGTTGATGCTTCTTTTCAAAAAAATATAATTAAAAATGATATATCCTTGCCAAAAGCCCTCGCCCCCTCCCTCCCCCCCCCATCTTTTATGGCTATGGAGCTTGTTTTGAGCACGAGAAAAGTTCAATTCTCATCCAAAAATACTTAAAAGTGACTTAAAGATTCGAATTACTTCGAAGTCACCAGGCTATTGTATGAAAGCGCAGCAATTCCTTGAAACGAACTATAATAACCTGTTTCTGATCAAGTCAAATCAGAGTCGTCTCTATTAAATTAAAAAATCTCTATTAAATTGAAGGTATGTTAAAAAGGCCGTGAATAAACTCTAAACCCATACTTGCCACTGACCCACTAACCTAAATGGCTTGTTTAAAAATCTTGCATGCAAAGGCCAGTCAGCTTCGAGCGAGCTCTCGCGAAATCTGACTGACAATGTTTTGTGTTAAGCGTGTATGTGTTTCACGTTAGCCTACGACAGGAGAAGATAAAAGTATCTCTTAACAGCCATTCGCAGTGAACAAGCTTCTTAAAGGTCGCGTCTCAACAAAATGATTCTTTAAAATTTATTCTTTTTTGCCAATGTTTTTTTTCGATCTGAACATATTGTGCAAGGAAGTGCTTCGAAAAAAGTATCTTTCTATTGTTTTATAGACAATTAGCGTTGCCGTACAACAAGCCTTTGTCTATATGTAGAAATTAAATAGCGCTCAGTAAATCTTTCTCTTTCCCGAGTTATTACAATCTATCGATATCGATTTAAACCGATAAATCTTGCGCTTCAGCTATACGCCTTATTAACGAAATCGATACGTTGAAAACGCATTCCCCTACCAAAGCTAACTAAAATCACCGCTTATGATCCGGTAAGTTCTGCTTGCGGGTTTACTTAGTACGGTTCATTTAAAGTTTGATGCAATGCGTTTTTAAAACGGTTGTGGAAAGTATCCACAATCGAACATCAAAAGAACAAAAAAACATGCATTCCTATTGCAATATTAATATTTAAATTGACACTGTTTATAGCCTCTGTCCGGTACTAATCGCTGACTGGGATCATTTCTTGCGGTCGATTTAACTGCGCGTAATATTGAAGCCTTAAGTTTCCTGTTCTGTTTCAATTTTTGCATATGTTTTTCGGTTTTTGTGAGATTAAGTGTCACTTATCATTGTTAGTAAAGTACTTTACCTTTTTAAACGAACTGTAGCGGCATGATGTCGGCCAATCACGCGGCCAAGTCAACTTTAGACAAATATCTGGCCCTTCCGCAACCGCGCGATAAGATCCAGGCGACCTATATATGGATTGATGGGTCCGGCGAAGCGCTACGTTGCAAGACAAGGACCATCGCTAAAGAGCCAGCGAAGCCAGATGGTGAGCATTTTTAGTTAAGTATTTTTCTGCCCATAATATTGCCAGAGTAGACTTCAAAATTGCTTTTTAATACCTTCATATACTGCCGTGTTATGCATGTCGTTCGTATAAGCAAGCTCCAACCAAAGATTTGCCTAGGCCTACCGCTCAGGACGATTTCACCGTAAATACATTGACCGCAAATGGACTAAGGTCACTTGGCGACTTGCAGTAGCTATTTAGACTTTTGGGCGTACACACATCGAGCAGGAAGATCTCGATCGAGTATTTTTTGACAGCAAATCCCAATATTTTGTTTTTGTTTAATTAATCACATGTATCGCATAGTATTTGTTATTCATCCATATATATATATATATATATATATATATATATATATATGGATGAACTCTCTGATTAACTAATTAGTGGCCTTGTTTTCATAGGTCCTGTAGGAAATTCTACAACTTAAAAAAGTGAATTTTAGCTAGATAGCGCTCACTCATCTTAAGTAGTTAGCTACTCAAAGTTACCGATTTGCGAAGTTGTATTTGATTTATGCCTAATGTTAAGATCGTCAGAAACGAGCTGGCCGTCAATTACGACAGACGACACCTGATTTTCTAATTAATTGTCTAAATTTAATCGTTTGACGCACGCTGGTCACTTGCGTATTTTCTAACAAACATCAGTTTTCGTCAAAAACCGGGCAAGCTAAAAATACTCGTAAAAAGCGTTTCCAGTGAATAACATACAATTTTGAAGCCGAGCTATGATTCTGGTCATACTAATTATGCGTAGCGTTCTTTGTACTGTGATTACAATGTGCTTGGTAATTCGTATAGATTTGCCGATTTGGAACTTCGATGGTTCGTCAACGGGTCAGTCGAAAGGCAATAATTCTGATGTCTACCTTTACCCAGTAGCTATTTACAATGATCCATTTCTTGGAGGACAGAACAAGCTTGTCATGTGCGAAACCTATACCTGGGATAAAAAACCTCATTCGACGAACAAGCGTCACTCCTGCAAGAGGACCGTCGATCTCTGCGCAAACCAACGACCGTGGTTCGGGATAGAACAGGAATACACGCTGCTCGATACCGATGGATATCCTTACATGTGGCCTAAACAGGGCTTTCCAGGACCTCAAGGTGGGTGATAATATAATGAACGTATTTAAATTTTGCAACACTGCGATATGAAATCGCCAGAAAGGTGCACGTATTCTCTACATGTTCTCGTAGAGTGTATCTAAAGCATTGCTCCTGGATATGTTGAATAGGTTGAATTTCTCTCTTAAATATGCACATCTTGATTTCCTTAATTCTCGGTCAATTGTCATTTTGTATGACACCTACACGAAAGGGATAAGGGTGATTTATCATCTATCTCCTACAGGGTCTACTGTCTACATTAACATGCTTACAAGAACTTCATATCAGGTCTTATACTATTTTCACATCGTTGAAGCTATAGCATGTGTTGCAATTAACTCTGAGCTACGTGTATAGTATATCATTTGCGACTGCGTTACTCATACGAAACTTTGCGATGTCCAAGTCCAGTATAAGACTCCGTAAGGCCGTCAGGCACTGGAGTCATAACGATCGCAAAAAAGTTCAGGACGTCTGACAGAAAATACATAATTGTCATGCTGTATATTGGTCGATTATAAACGCTCGCCTTGTATCTGGTACTTTCCTAACAAAATCAGCGTATATTTCTGACCCAACAGTTCCTCTGTCGATGCCCACACAAAAAAACGGCACTTTGTTTGGTTCGTCCATTGGCTGCCACAAATGACTAGTGTTTACACTGAATAATCCACCCACTGGCATTGAGCGCGCAGATGTTACTTGGCAGATTTTTCCGCAACGGTGATGTTTACCCAATGAAAAGCGCGTATATACATTCGTATTGCCGATAGAGGATTGTCATCTGCGTAATGGGCTCCTTCCTTCATTACGAGTAACGTCAAAAGAGCGGGAGAAATCGTCGTATATGAGCGCCAGCGTACTAACAGCAAATCTTTTTGAACGATTCATATGTGAATAGACAACCAAGCATTAGTTCATAATGGGAACTATAATACTTACCAACCTCAGCTGCCGCAGAATGTCAATCGACGGTATCACTGATATCTCCATCAACTGGTTGTGCACGCACAGAAAGACACAATTAGTAAAATATTTCCACTGATATCGCGGCCGATCAGGTGAGCAAATAAATACCCGACCTTTAATCGTTCAGGATGTCTGAAAGCGCTTTCTTCACTGGCTGGAGATATACACATAGTCACATATACATATATATATATATAGCCATATAGAAAAATACGCTATTCTCACAATAATATTTTTATTAATGCACTGAATGTTCGCTATCGCTGGATCCCCATTTACATTGCGAACACAACCAGGACACAGTGCTAGCTAATAACGACTAGCTTTTGTGAAGGCCAACTGAGGTACTGCCATCAGTCAGGTCACCATCGTATTCACTACATCTACTAATGCTGTCGCTGAACTGACATCAACATTGTCCCCTAGCCGTTGGATGGTGCTGAGCAAGTTATAAGTGAAAAAAGGTTATGAACTTCTTCATCTTTACGAACCACTTTTGCCGATCGAAAAATTCAAATGGGATGTTTTTCCTTGTTACTATATTGCATATAGTATAACAAGAATGCGCCTAACGCAGGGCACGCACTAGTAGAAAAAATAGAAATAATTCAATTGGTGGCTTGCCATTCTCTAGGCCAAGTCTTGAATGCTTGCGGCTATACAAGTTAGAGACGTTAACGAATGAATGGCTCATACCAGAAGACAAATTCTAAGAACGGCCCTGCTTCAGGTAAAGAACATTTGTATTTCAATATCCTGAAGAATGGGTGCATCGACAAACTTTTTTACGGATGCAGCTAACTCACTCCGGGTAATCTGCACGGATACTTCGGTTCGATCGAGGCATGTTTTTGTTTCTTCTTTAAAAAATCATAATTGATGAATGATATAGTTCGTTTCACTTTGCGATGGCTCTTTTGGATTCTTTCTGGCTTTTTATTTCTTTTTTTTCACAGAATTCATGGATACAATTGAAACCGTATTTAATTTCAGGATAGATGAGACATCACAGTTCGCTCGTTCTACCACTCTTTATTAAATGTCTAATCGACTTTATTATATAAAGTGTATTGGACAAAATGATAAATCACAATATGGAAATGAGCTCGGCTTCTCTACCACAAGATTCAAACTGCATTACTAGCGAGCAATCCTTACTCCTGGCTTGTTTCGGCGTGACATATCTGTTGTGCCCGTCTTGAATCCTTCCAAGATACCTCGCCGTACCCATCTCTTTTGTGTGTTAAACTTATATAACGCTCAATCAGTCACTGTGAGAACTATGACTCGCACCAGCCATTATGATGATGCCACATTTAGCTACGTACATGCCCAGGTATCGTGCTATAGAAAATTGACATTTTAGCCTCACCGTACCGCGGAAATTAGAATACCACATTTCTATTTCCTCAACACAAATATTATAATGCTATAGTATAATTTTCTAAAACACTGCCCAAATTAAGTACTTGTCAGGTATACGGCAAACCACATATATCCACAATTTATCGCATTGTTTTCCTCTGTTCCATTCTCAGATGCCCCACACGAGGGTAGCGCTGATCCATCATGCGGATATTTGCAAGTAATGGATTCATCACAACGACTCAAGAAAGTTGTCATCTTTTTGACTTGCTGCCTTCTAAGGCTCCAGGAACTCTCCAAGTGTCCTTTAGCAATAGATAGAACATTTTTGCTGCTCTGGCTGTGTTGCTTCTGCTCGACGTAAGGCAATAAACATCTTCTGTGTCGCTGTCCGAGGAACGTCGTAGAAAAGACGAGATAAATTACTGCCGACTATCGTTGTTGCTACGGGTTTTACCTGATTTCATTTGCGACTTACATCGTTATCCGTCGCATGTATGATCATGACAGATGAAGTGCGAGAAAAACATTAAAAATTATTTATTTACATACACCTACGTAGATCTCACGCACTCAGTTGCCAACATACTAACATTCATATTACAAAAAATACAAACAAAAATCATATTGTATGTGAAAGGGATACTTCATTGCAAAATTCATTTGATGTTTGCCAGCCGTCTTGAAGGACTATGCTTCTCTGTGTCCATTATTGAGCACCGTTTTTTACTTGCCGACCCCCCCCCCTTCCCCCCGCCCCTTCTTTCACGAATGCAGCAGGCATACATGCTCACAACAGACGCAAATACTCACCTAATAATTAACGCAAATTGTTTAATTTATGGGTAATCGTAACAGCGTCGAAGCACCCACATCTGCTTAGGAACGCGTAATGGCGAAAGTGAATAGCCACCTTTTTCCATGTCCCGTCGGCTCGACGGTCTACAGTCTGAGCGAGTACTTTTTGTCCTACAGATTATAAATGCGAGGTTTTTTTAACCGCACGACATTCAAAAAACAGAAAGATATATGAATAGTTGCTACGCTGCTTTGCACCCTTGTATTAGATCTGAAACTGTCGAATCATAGTTGCCAGGGAGGAACAGGAAACAGATTCTTTCTGCATCTGAAGGTCGCTAAGAAGTATATGGCTGGAACGAAGAATAACATCGAAATTTCTGTGTCCATTTGATCTTTTTTATCTGGCGCATTTATATGGTGCACTTGCTGAAGAACAAATAGCGTGGCACCTTACCCCAAAATGTGAATACAGCATCAGGAATAGAAGAACAAATCTGTAAACTATACATTCTTTTCTAACAAAGATATTTTAATATATTCTAGTAGCATATTTTTTTTTACTTGGAGATGGCTGTTTCAGATCAGTCTAGAAACAGAAGGGTGTTGCCTCATTTTATGCGCATAAACGAAAAAAAAATATGTAATGAGTCGTTGAATATGCTAACACCCGTTGTACAAGTGAGCATAGGTATCGACGGAGAAAATGGTAAAAACATCGTAAAATACTTTCGCACTATACAAGCAAAACAAAAACTAAAGTTATAATCAAATAGTTCGCGCTTCGCGAACGGGTAAAGCAAACTGGAAAAGCATGACTGGTATGCTCATATCTTCACGAAATAAACAATAAGTTCTTTGTGTTTTTCCTCTATTCACAACAGCTCAGACGTGTGGATTTCATGGATGTACCAAACGACAATTTGGCATCTAATTCTCTCTCTTTCCAGACAGATCGTACGAACTACAGTTTTTTTTTTCCGTAAACGACTAACAACAGTGCATAGATAGAAATATCTGGCATTCTTCAATCCGATGTATACATAAACACAGTAGAAAAATGTATATATATATATATACATATATGTACTTCTGTTCAACATTTGTAGGTCCATATTACTGCGGTGTGGGAGCCAACAAAGTGTATGGCCGCGACCTTGTTGAAGCTCATTATCGTGCCTGCCTTTATGCGGGAATTAACGTAGCCGGCACTAATGCAGAGGTGATGCCCAGTCAATGGGAATACCAAGTTGGGCCATGTGAGGGTATCGATGTGGCAGATCAGCTCTGGGTATCGAGGTAAGTCCGCAGGTAACGTAGGTAACGAGCTCCACTAGCCGTCAATCGACTAAACAAACAACTGTCAATAGTGTCCTAATGACTGCGATTCACATACGCACTAGTGGTAATACCCAAACAAGTCATTTTTTCACGCACGTGCTCTGCAACGGTATTCCTCTAATAATATAGTATGAATGACATCTATTCTTAGTTAGATAAACTACTCGTCAGCTTTTTTTCGTCATATCCGCTTTCATTTACCGTTCTTTTTCAATTAATATCCTTTCGATTAGATATATTCTACAACGGCTTGGGGAGCATTTTGGAATCCTCGTTTCCTTCGACCCGAAACCTATGAGAGACTGGAACGGAGCCGGCGCGCATACAAACTTTTCCACAGAGACGATGAGAAAACCCGGTGGAATTAGGTGAGGCCTAACGTATACCTACGTCATGGTCAAGCAACTATTGCTTTATGTACATATATACATGCTCCTTGAAGATTCTATTGTTTGACTACGTATTTCATTCGTTTCACCGTCGGCAGCAGCGTGTCATTATGAATTTATCATGCACAATTCCCCTATAGGCAAGAAACACGATTAGGAGGAATTAGATTTCTGGCTGGACCTTTCAGGTCTTCTTGATCTGGACTTGCCTCTAAAGCGGCACTCTGGCGATGATTGTGTCTCAGTTTCAACTTGTACATTCACTTCTCGTCGATGACGCGCTAAAGCAAATGCAATTTATCACTGAATGAGTCAACATTTTCCTGAAATAGTTAGTTGTTAACGAATCTGTTCTTGCTTAAAATTCAGGGTCTTCGGCACCATTTTTGCTATGAACATTCAAATAATGTTACAAAATAATTTCACGTTACTCGTTTGATGAGTCGTATTCTTTCGAGTTCTGCGACAATCTTTCAGCATTCATCGTTGTTTTGCGCCTTCGCTCGCGCTCACTACGACGGGTCCCCCATGACGAAAGTCATCTTCCAGGTTCTTGCTCGCCCTTTGCAAAGCCACTGTTGCCTCTCGTACTGTGGGCATTGGTTCCCAGCCTAGTTTTAAAACACTTTCGCAGACTAGGCAGCACTTGTGAGCACCTCATTTCATAGAAAATCACGTTCTGTATTTAGAAAGAGATCAGGTGCATTTCCGTTTTTAAAAAAAAGTACAAGACACGCCCAAAGGTCGCCGACCTTAAGCCACCTAAAAATACAAAGTGGACGTAAGAAGGCTCTAAAATTTTGCCCACTGGCCTAACGCGACAGCTCGACATTTAGCCGACGAGCGCCGGAAGTTATATTGGTACACTTATGTCGCAGTGTACATTCTACACAAGTAAAAAAAGTTGACATGGTATTCCATCTAAGTCTCATGTTTTGCATTAACAAATCTTTTGCTACCTGCAGATCTTGTTAGAAAAACTGGCTACGTTTGTGCTTCTCTCTGCCACTTTTTGGTCACTAGAGGACCGTAAAACGTTTGAATTTTCCAGTGCAATTCAAGAAGCAATCACCAAACTCTCGAAGCGACACCGTGAGCATATTTGTGCATACGACCCTCGAGGCGGAAGGGACAACGAGAGAAGGCTGACAGGCCTCCATGAGACCTCTTCGATTAACGACTTCAGTGCAGGAACTGCTAATCGTAATGCCTCTATTCGAATTCCACGACTGGTAAAGATTTTTCAATTCAAATTTTAACTGTTTCAAGTTCTAGAAGTACATATTTTTTACCATGCTAACCACTCTATATGTATAACGGGCATCGTTAACAGAACCAAATGTAACAAATTGAATAAATACACAGATTTTCTTGACACTTAACTATATACCGTAGGCCTGGCCCTCTAGGAGCTACCATACTAAAATGAACGTGTAAATAGATTCTTATAGTTACGGGGGGGCGCAAAAGTGGGGCAATCTCTTATAAAACGTTTACCGTTAGACTCATCTAGAAGAGGAAATATCACAACGATTTTGGATACTATGACCACGTGGGCTAACAAAGGATTACCGGGTCAACAAAGAAAATGCTCTTTCAGAAGCTTAATCATACAACACAACTGTAGTGTTCACGTCGCATAGAGTCAGATTTTTTAAAGTCGCAAGAGTCATCGAATCGACGAGTTTCCATTCAAAAAATCTTAAGTCTTTTTTTACATTCATATGAATATTATATAACAGAGTTAATAAATCATTTTCATATTTGAACTTGTCTATTTTTTCTGGCCTTTTGGCTGACCTTTTCGAGACATAATATCGAGTTGTTAAGTACATTAAGGGTTAGGCCTAGCTCCGGATAGAGATCTTCCATATATTTTTTATAGACTTCACTAAACGAAACTTGAATCTGTGTTATCTGTACAGGTGGACGAGGAAGGTCAAGGCTATCTGGAGGACAGGCGCCCATCATCCAACTGTGACCCCTACTCTGTGGTCGACATCATTCTACGCACCACGTGCCTCAACGAGTAGGCGGGCTCTCAGTGAGCTACTTAACAGCCACAATAACCAACTAGGCCTGGTCTTCCTCAACACTTCAAGCATAGGCTCAACACATTTGAGATACACTGAGGTTCGTTTAGAGCGTTGACCTCAATAAAGTTACGTGTCCATTCAGTCGAGAATCGTGTGTGCGAAGTTTTAGAAGGTGGCTGAAAATACCAATTAACTTCTCTTCTATTGAACCACGTATGAGAGTCGTATGATTAGCAAAGAAGTAATGGTAAATAAATTACAAGACGATTACTAATAACCAATAAAGTGATAAAAGACAGTTTTCTGTCGTTAAAGAAGTATAATATTGCGCGTTGGACGTTGCCGTTTAGTTGTTAGACTAAGTATTATAACGGCTTATAAATTTAATATAATTTAATTCTTCCTTTTATCTTTGTGTGTGTGTACTGAAGTCCACAATTATATAAATGAGACATCGAACCTTTAATCGATTCACTATCCATTATATTTCCTAATATTTTCATTAGGTGTTACCTCACCTACACTCAATAAATAAGATGTCCCCCTATTCGAGCATCAGGAGATCGCACGATCTAGGGATCGTTGATGGCTGACATGACAAAGTCGTCTATTAAAGCCTTTCTATGACGTATTCGTATGTTCGATGATAGTCATTCGAACCAGAAATAATATGGCAGCTTTGCTTTCGTTGGAAAACTATACAAACGTTTACAGATGCTTTCAATAATTGCACCTTATTTATATGCACCATAAAGTTTCATTATTATAAACTTCTGAAGCTTACAATCGTTGCAAATATGGAAACCAATTGTTGCATACAGCATGGCCGCGTTGACAAACCCATCTTTCATGCAACTGTATTTATTCAAGATGTTAAAAAATAAATTACTAGCATTGAGAATAAACCATGCTTTAGTTCCTGTTGTTCTCAAGTCGAAAATACTCGAAGATTTTTCTCTGTGTAAGATTTTTGCAGGTAAGCGCTATTACAGATCAATCCAAAGAAGCGATTTGAAGCAACTTAAATAACCGTTTTATTAAAGACAATAATCCTTTTCAGAAAACTTCGCTCAGGTATATATGGTCACACGGAACGATAACTGTCACAGTGAACTAATTTGATTATCTTTACGAGTTTTGTCTGCTACCTAAGGCTCTACTGTATCCACTAAATTCAATCCTTGCAAGTATGTCGGTAGCAACATAATTGACAAGTTCATTTATATACGAATAGTCTAGCTATTCATTATTACTAACGGTTAGTATTTTTAAACTTTAATAAAATACTTTCATATGCAAATCCTAAATTAATAACACTTCATTTCAATAAAATTGACTATTATAGCTTACGAGAAAGAAGGACAAGATGATAAGGAAGATAAGGTGGCCGATGCTCACAAAATTCTAGCCAATGATCTGCTTTCTAAATCGAACAGCGAGTATCAGTACGAGATTCACAGAACACGATTGGCAAACTGTAATAATAATCGACAAAAAAGGACAGAAACTACAAAGTTTGCTCGAAATTGCTGCCTACGTAAAGTAGCTTGAGCTGATTCTCCTCCATGCGAAATAGAATATATCTATGAAAGTTTCCAATCCCACCCATTGGAACCTTCAATGCCCCCCAAAAAGGTAAGTTATATTCAAAATCAACAAGGAAGTTCAACCTTACGAAAACTGCCTTTCTAATTATATTGTCAAGAAATAAAATCGTATTCGTCAATTTTTGGTAATAATTTTGGAAATCCTTCAACTGAGTCGAACTCAATGGCTCAGCGCGACTCTTTTCGTCGTAGATTTCGTAGATTTGCTCCTGCAGGTAGATTATTTATAAGAGAAATAAACGGAAAGAGTCTAGAAATATTGAAGTGTATACACTGGAGCTATTTATCAAAAACTTTTTTCGTTTAGTTAGATACTGATATTTCCTCAGTTTGTGCCATATGGCCATATCGTTCGTTGCTAAGTCTAAATAAAAATTCGCTCTATAAAATTATATAAGTAAAATTATATAATATTATATAAGTACCAGTGCGAAATGAGCTTACCGCTTAAATGAAGTAAAGCCTTTGGCTTCAGTAACAAACAAAAACCGAACTTGATTTGCAGCAATTCAACGATATTGGGCTCATGATTACATCGGAACCAAGAAACGAGGCGCATAAATTAACTGATTTCAAAAAAATGATCCTTCGAAGCGAGGCAAATCAACCAATGGTGAGCCCAATGGAACATGCCAGCGTACCAGTAGACTGAACTGAAATACAGGGGACCGACACCGCCATCAGCCTCCTGAAGTGCTTTGACGAAAACCGTTGGAGGTCACTGCCAACGAAGCTTTTCTCGCGCTAACGACTCTGTATTCGCAGATTACAAAGATATTTAAAGTTACAAGCGCTTGGCTTTAATGGTGCATAAACAAATCCATTGGAGAATATAAACTATTCACACAGAGGTTCAAAGAATAAACACATAGTTCTACGCGAATGTAGGTACGAACGAGCTTGTGTGTTTACAAGGTATAGGTGTCTATTCAGATAACGTGTCTCGACCTACTAACGAAGACAAAAAAAAAAAGAACATTTTGTAAATAAAATTTGGCTTCATAAGTAGCTTACATGTTATAGGTCCGCACACTCCGAAGATCAAATGACTTGATACCTAATAATACTGATTAAAATTCATCCGCTAACAAACATAGATCTGAAGAGCAACAGTCATCACGAGAAGTGCGATGCAATGCATAAGAACGAGGAGTTTTTTGTTTCAGCAGGTAGCGGCTTCAGCTTCCCAGTGCCGGTTCAGCACGAATACATCGCCGGGAGGCATACTCCGAAGCCATCTCTTTTCAGGCGCTTGTACGTTCGAAGTGCAAAGAGGCGGAAAATACGTTATGTGTGTGAAACGATGGGGCACGATTTCAACTTAAGCCCAAAATCAACATGCGGTATAGTTTTGACTTATATATTAATTGCGTGATAGGTGTTATTTGGGAGGTGAACCGAAAATGGCTCTTGAAGTGCGGGTTGTCCATTGAAGAGTTGTGCCGAACTGCTTTTCAAACGTTAGTGGCTAGTTAAAAACACTGGACATAAACGGCAAATACCGAGCTTTAGTTAGGCGCGTCAGCCTGAAAATGATAGATGATGAGCTAGCCACAGTCTCGCCCAGAAGTGTATAGGAGAGATCTTGAGTAGGGTGTTTCCTGTGTGGGCATTGCTGTGTACAGTGTAAAGTAAGACAACCAACAAAAGATAAATGTAGTGACTTTACTTGCCACTAGATAGAACGCAACTGTATCATATGCTATTATATGTAAGAGGACGCTATCGGGCAGTTAAGGGTTTTGAGGAAGCCTTTTAGCACTGAGCTGCTACGGTCATGAAATAACCGTGTCACTGTAGCTGACCTCATATCACTTCTCTTGTTCGAAGCTTGAAAAAAGCAAATCTGTAATTGGCTCCAAAGACGTCTTCTTTTGAAGCTGAGCTAGCGATTTTCGGGCGCAGCGTTAATCGAAAGTTTGGAACGCAGTTAAAATGAAGCGCGCACGCTAAAGCTGTACATCAATCTAGTATTCGCATATCTTCTCATACGCACTTTCCTATCGAATTATCAATTCATTTTTGTATAACCCATTGTCTTATAAAATTATGTTCGTTAGAAACGACTTATCTCATTTTTTCATTATTTCTACTGCAATAAGCTTCACTCGCGGCAAAATAAACGCAATGTTTTATTAAACTCAGACGCGTGTTCGACTTGATGCAAAGAGCGCAAAGCGGATAGTAACACACTTTTTTTTTCCTATTTAACACACAATGGGGTAGGTCTATCCGCATCGAATCTTTATCATGTCTTTCAATTAACCACTCAGCGAACTGTTTCTACAGTTGATCACTAAATGCTATGTTATGCGCAGCGCAACGGAAGATGCTGTTGACAATAAATCACATGGTATCATCTCGAATTTGATATTTACATGTTACGCGTATTGTTGGTGAAGAATAAGAATAACATATTTAAAAATTACGTTCGGTCATCTGTTTCCTTATCATGTTGAACTTCTGTTTATATCGTTTCATGGCTTTATGAATAAGGAAAACGTTGGCGTTGATAAAAAGAATTCGTCAATCTGTATTAGACCTAACTACTAAGCAGCGTCGGTTGATTAACGAATCAAATTCTAGATGCATAGGTCTTTGTGTGCGCGTTGCACCGACCACGAATATAAATGTGCTTTACTCTGATTTCCTATAAAGCAATTTACCGCGGCAACGTGCAAATTCTGTCGAAATGATGTTTCGGTCGCTCTTCGATCGATAACAACGTTTCGGGCGCTTTTGAATCGTGATTGCATGGAATAGCCATCTTCACTGCCGTACACCGGAGAACTAAAAGTATATATTTTTCCAACTAACATACATGAAACCGGAGTTTCATGTTTAAGGATCTTGGAGAGTTCAGCAAAAGAAACATTTTGTTTAGGCCACAGGCACCAATATTCATTTTACCGCCAAACGTTAAGATTTATTAAAAATAGTTATTTAGTAAGAATGTGTAACTCTGTGAAGAGTACTACCTCTATTAAGGAAGCGATGAAATATACTGATAGAAAATGGTCTGCTCAACCTGTGAATTCCCGGTGGATAGATTATAAATCAAGTAATGAAACATGTTGATTGATTTCATTTAACCTTTCAACATCAGGTCTAATTGATAATAGCTTTTCAGTATGATGGACGACCTAAAGCTATCAGCGTAAAGGTAATCCTTTGCTATTTTGTTCGTCAGAGCCACTCAAACGCTGATGGCCATCGCTGGTCCAAATTCTAGTTTTGTCCATGATGCTTTATAGGTCTGTTGGGGGAACTTTCTTCTAGTTCTAAACCCACCCCTGCCAGTTTTTGCAGTGGACGCAAGGCCGTAGTCCCATTACGGTAAGATACTTTCGACGACTTGTTCACAGGGTAGAAATAGCCAAAGACATTAAAGCACACTCAGAAGGTTAGCAAAATGGGTGTCAGTTTTGGAAAGTTACAAGATAGTATTTTTTCGACATAACCGATCACTCCGGCTGAATTTGTCACGTTCTTAGCTAAGCTGTCCGATGGTATGACAATGAGTACCAGAGAGGCAAATCGTGATATATGCTTGATACTGATCAAGGAAAAATGATATGTATTTTCAGCCGATAAAGACCTGGAACTATTATATGACCACCTATTTCACGTTAGTAATAGTAACGTAATACAACTATTGCTGTCTCTAAGTGATAGTATCAGCTAACTACCGCATGGTATTCTAAATAGAGATTACATTAAAAATGCTAAATCAACGGGCCTCGTATTCTAAGCCTAAACACTGCCGCGAGAGGAGTCTCAAGGATATTCAGTATTTTCGTAAACCCTTTTTTCGAGAGTACGAGAAAAATATGACGACCTTTAAAACTGCGAAGATCCGATGCGATCGTACCAACCGAAAGCTATTTCTACTTACTGTTGGGACTCAAACATTTTTCAGGTACACATTCTTTATTTGCGTTTAATGAAAGTTTTACGGTAGCATAATGAAAAATTATTGAGAAGTTTGAAAGGTAAGATCAACAGATTTAAATTATTATTTTCTATTTATTGACTGACTATTACTATTAAATATTTTCGCTTCCGTCAAACTGAACTGCATGATAAGCCAATACAAAGAACTCAAATAATTTCAAAAGTCAGCGTGTCTTAATTGAGTATCAAATCTGCAGCCTCAGGTCTATGAAACTAACGACTTCTCAAAAAAAAAAAGTCAAAATAATATTTCGACTATTAAATCTAATCAAATGGTGCTTCGATAGTGAGCCAAAACAGTTCAAACTATAAGCGGATTTATTCTTTACGCATTATCGACTATCAGGAACCGATCGAGTTAGTAGATTTCCCCACGAATGCGGTATTCTGTCAATTGTCTCAACATATATGTACTAGATACGTTATCAAGTTCGTTTATGATTATTTCGATCCTTACCATCGCAGTTAACGGGTAACGTAAGGGGAACGTTACGCAAAGTAAGTGTAATATCGTTTTTAATCGATACACCAAACAGGCAGCGTGAATTCTAAGACTGAAGGTAAATATTAGATAGAATAATATAATCTTAAGAATAAATCCCTTTTGCTTAAAAACATTTCACTGTCTTCAACTGTTGGTACAACAATCTTTTTCCTATGCCATTACAAGGCAGGTTTTATTCACAGAGGCACATTAGTCCCGGACCACCGTTGTGAAATATAAAGGCGTTTCGCTAGAATTCAGAACAAGAAAGGTCAGTACAAAAAAATATTTTGGAAAAAAGAAGTAACATCGTGAAAAATGTTACTTTTAACTTCAACTGTTGCTTGTAGACGATTTTTTCGAAGATTTTGGTGGCAATGGATAGCTAGATTCCTGCCTAAACAAGTATACAGTCTGACATAATCAGTGTTTAGTTATAGTTAAACCTAGAAAATATCCTAAGGGTGGAGCTTCTTGAGCTAAATGTTAGGATAGTTTTGCTAGCTACCTCGTAACATAGTCGGACATAACTGAAAATTTTCTACGTTTGACATGTTAAATACGTGGTGTTCGAAATAAACGCTTACTAAATCAAGTTTTAATATAAGTTTCAAATAGCTTACTAAATGAAAAGTTAAAATCTACTGTACTCTAAACAGTTATGCAATAAGATGTCAGTATTTCAATCAATTACAGTTCGAGTACAGCGGCAATTGTTGTAGAAAGACTTAAAGATGGTTTGAATAATGAATAAAATTCAGCCGCTACATTGAAGGGACACTACACTTATGGATTCCGGCCACGAAATGCAGCGTTTGGCATCTGACTATCTACCGACAGGACAAGATTAGGGAAGTGCCCAAATGGGCTAGCATTTGACTCATTAAGTTCTACAGAGTGGGCTTTTATATGAGGCAAAAATGAGGCTATATAGGCCATTAATGACCTCGTTCCAAGATATCAATCAATAAATAAAGTTAAAAGGAAAATGTTTTTCCTTTTAGGAAGAACCACTAAAAGGAACTGATAATGACTAAAAAAGATAATGCCTTGTAATAATTTAGTGTCAAATTAGGCAAATTAATAATTATGATTCGTCTATTATGTGTTCACATAAAGGTTTGGCGCGCATTGTGAAGCCTAACTTGGCATAGCCGAAAAGTTAAGTTTTATTCGAGATGTGAACAAAAAAGTAACAATGTGCTTACCGTCCTTCTTTCTGGTCATATTAGCTGGATGTACTAGCATACACATATTAGCTAATATATTATCATGTTTTTATCGGTCATACCTAATGCTTGGCAATACAAATTCTCTGTAAAATAAGAGTATCCTAATATTATTTACAATTAAATTAGATAGTATATGATTTATTTGATAATAACTATGCAATCAGTTACAATTACAGCTGATAGAATTCCTTATGAAACTATAAGTTATGGTTTTAAGGGCGACACGAACGATCGGATAACAAGGGTGTTTCCTTATAATCCAAAACAGTCTAAAATTGCTCTCTCTTTATATTCCTTTTAGAAACTCATTTTCATTAACGTCGTAATCGGACATCTTCCAGTTGATCCCCCACCATCGTCCGAAGAAACCAATATCCACCAACCGTTCAGAGATAATTTCGAAGTAAGTTGGCTCGTTGAAAGAGCATTGCGCCTGATAGAGCTGACACTCTGGGGAGTAATCGCTTCGGACCAGCAGAGAGCAGAAGATTAGATTGTATCGTTCAAGGCGATCTTGGTTTAATAGTCTGTAAAAAAAAATGTAGAGATGCAACTTGTACAATTATATTGTATGTACATAATCGTAGAGTTAGGTAGTTTATCTATTGTTCGGAATGTAGATTAGTCGGAAAAAACTGTACCTAGCCCTAAATGAAAATAAGTAGTTTAAGTCGTAGCAAAGTAATTCTTCCATATAGTTTGAATATAACATGTACTTAGTTTCTTAGAACACTTAGTTTCTTCTCATCTTTAAGCACCAAATGCTAACGAATCGAGACGACACTTGCCTACCAAATTGCTCTTATCTATCGAACTATATTATAAAAGTAATATAATTACTTTTTGTTGAAAAAACCATGCTTTAAAGTCAAGCTCCGCCATCAGCACACTGAACAGCACGAGTAATTAAGTAAAGAAATGTTATATTACTAAATTTGTCGTGTCCATCCGAATTGCCTGCTCGCCGAAAGGAAGCCCTATGCTGGCACATAATGGAAAATATGTTTGAGCAAGCTTAGATTCTAAAACGACTTAGAATAATAATTTCGAGATTTAGATTCAGTATTGCCGTCATGCATGACTTCCGACGGCTGGAGGTTTCTTACAGCACGGCACGAACTGCGCTTACTTCCAGATTCCAACATCGACCACCACGTATTTCCTGTAGTTTAACGGACATAATGTCATTACGTTGACAGAGCCCAAAGTGCCTGCTGAGAAGCTAACGATGCTGACAATAGTATTGAAGAACAACATCTCCCGTTACTCTGTGGGCTAAATACAGGAGGAATGCAAGGAAGTGAGAGCTAAAAGGCTTAAGTAGCAAAATCGGTACGTGATGTAGTAGCATTGGACGCAGGGTGTAGTGTCGACTCTCGAAGTTTAAAGTAACCTGGTTTGTTAGGTGTGTTAATATCACTATAGGAAGAATCATGCATTCCCGAAACATACCAGAAAAAAACAAGTATTTTAAAAGTGGTAACTGTACCCGTTTATCGATTTGAGATGCTCTTCAGAATGATGATTTCTGATCGATTTGCTTATAATAGCCATTTCGTTGGACCATGCCGTCGTCTGAGCGATAAAGTCCAATTTTGTTGGATTTGTGGCTATCAAACTGGTTGTCAATAGAGCAGCTAAAACGAGAACAGGTATATAATAACAAGATGGTAAGTTAAGGATTTCTACGTGTTGAAAGCACGTTGTTTTTGATATCCGTGGTTTTCACTTAAAGAATGCCGACAGATTAGATCTCAGCGTATATACATATAGGTTGGATTCAAATCCGAAAATTATTACCCCGATTCAACGAAAAAACAGTAATTAAGGCTGGATTTATTCAATCATAAAGGAACAAAACCAAAACACGCTACCTTAATGCGAAACCTGTGTCATAACCGAAACAGTTATAAACTAGGCGGACTAGTTGTAACATGGTATTTACTCATCAGTTAATTTCTTGTCATACGATTATGAGTGCAGTCGCAAGTAATGCAAGACCACTAAGATTTGGATAAATGCTAAACGAGTACTTGTACTCAAGAATATCCTCAACGAGAAATAGGAGAAAAGAACGGGAAACAGTTCGACAAGATATAAAGCTACACGTCGAAAAAGCTAGATCATTGTCGTAAGCTTGCCTTTGTGTATATTAATCAAGTTCTTACCACCCATATAAACCGCAGCTTTTTTGGGTTGCGCTTTAGCGTCCACGATTCCATCTTTTACTGCGACTTTATAATCTGTAGCTACCACTTCGAAGTACTTCACTAAAAAAAAATAGGGATTACGAAGCATTAGAGTCAGTATATAGAATGTTTAAGCTTGGAAGTTGCTTTTCACTAATTCTACGAGTGTCTGTTGTAGCACGAACCAATACCTGCCTACTGGATGGCGCAATACTGCTGATTAAAGGGATGCGTTTGCCTAATGCTGTGTTGAGATTAATGTAACTAGCTTTGAGTATATGAACCACTGCACGATGCTTGTAATCAGTGTAACAAACAGGAAAGATATAAGGAATAAATCGATGCAATGTACGACATAATGTGTGAAATCAACCATACAGTGTAGTAATTTCGTTAACATAACATTTTTCTTTAAAAGTTTTTTCAAATAAAATTTTCGCGCACTTTCTTACGCATACTTGCACTTTTGTTTCGTAGCCTTTTTCAGTGAAATAAACAGATGAAAATTTGGATAGTCGGTCTAACAATACTATATAGACGACTACTTGGTTATATTATTTGAAATACGATTTACCGTAAATACTCAAAATAACTCCATCATCTTCGAATTGTAGTACGAAAGACCGATTTCTTGTATTTTTGACATCGCCGCTATTGTTGTTACGTTCAGTATGTACTGAATGAATGAAATCACTGCAACGATTTTAAATATGCTGAGCGAAAGGCTGCGTTTACACACTGGCGCGCGATATGAGAACGTAATCGCTCGTCACCGCTCGATCATATTTTCCAAAAACCTCGTTTAGCCATTAAACAAAAGATGTTACCTGCTTTTTCAATTCTTCCGCCGCGCCACTTTTTTGGAAGCACGATTTTTAGTTGAATTTGATTCAATTTTTCACGAAAACTAGTGATCGAACGCCGTATGGTGGCCGCCATTTTTCCATGTATCGTCTATGCTAAATTTAGCGGTAAGATACGCTCTATCAATGACAGACGGGTATTGCTCGAAATGTAAGTCATGCTACATTGTTTGTGTTAAAAATCCTTAACTTATGTATGAATTTCGGTGACATGCGTAAACTCAACCGTTAATGTCAAACAAAATGCTTGCCTGAAAATTGAGCAAGCTATATGGAAAAACTGCTCATCGCCAGCGGACGGTGGCCCGCTGTTCCCGGCTACGGGAACCCATTCAAATCCAACTGACAGCTTCGTCTCATCACCAATGTTTGGTTTTAGTAGTGTTTGTGTGTAGGTTGGACCATTTGTGTTAATGGTGAAAACCGCTGATTCCTAATGTATTGATTAGCTTTGTTCGAAATTAATTGCTTCAGCTTCGTAAAGTCGCATACTATTCGTTCATAAAGATGAGCAGCAATAATCCGCCTACAGCGCAGATCATTGATTTCGATGTGAGTGTCAATCAACTAATTAGCGAACAACAAAATCTGACTACTCAGATGTGTAATCGGACTCTGGCCTTTGTGCAACACATCTGAACTGTCTGAGCACTTCACCACGTAGCACCTTCACATGATTTGCGACTGCAACTGAAAACATATATTTCTCTATAAACGGAAACATTTGTGAGGAAATGACTATTATACGATGGTGATGCATCTTGGGTAAAACGAATGATAGGCCATTATAGAAAATTTAGTTATTAGGTGCCTTATTCTTGTGTTTGGTCCCTTTGTGTTAGCTCATCATTAATAATATTTCCATTCTCTTTATACTTGTTCATGATCATTGTCATTGCAGAACTATGACCCGTTTAGCGCAAATGGTAAGTGGTTGTAGTTTAATAATACGAAAAATATACAGTCGTAGAAGTACTTAAGGAAAATTTGGAGCTAAATGAATTTACTTCTTTTTATTTCGAAAATCTGTGCTATGAGGCTGTGCATTTTTTGTGTACGCAGTGACCGTACAAGTTACTATATAAACATTTTTATTAGTGTATATGTGCAAATTTCTTAACTTATCACATATATAATTAAACTTGCACTGATTCCGGAGATTGCATTTTCAAGTTCAGCTTTATTCATTCAAGTTCAACTGTATAGTAGGTTTTCATTTCACAAATTTAGTCTCGCTTTGCCTCATTAATACATAATTCGCTAATCTTACGTGAAATGCAGGAACGACACGCATGTTTCTAACATCAACGACATCTAAACATATTCCGAATGACATTTCAATAAATTATTTGCCGATGTACCAAACAGTCATTCGAAAGATACCTAAGTAATATATTAAAATTAGGCCTACTTAGCGCGATGCAAGACGAAAGTATATGAGTCAGACTCATAATTGATATAATCAATTGCGTTTCTTCATGTGAATAGACCTACTTTGCAAGCGATCAGAAATATTCGGTGTTAACACCATTCGGTCTGTGCTCAATAAGGCTCTGCACTTACGAAAATATTATTTGTTAAAATACACATTTCAAGAATTTTTCCCATGGCAAAAGGAAAAAGGTAGACCATTAGTACATAGTTTTATTTATTAAAGCAAGTTTTCTAGCACCATCATTTTCGTCTTCGTTTAGTGCGCACCCTTCAAAATCCAATCCCCCCGGCCTTTACATATTCTAGCGGTTGTTGCAATCCACGGTTAAATAGAATGAACCAGACGGGCCAAAATTCTAAATAAATATTTAGAGGTTTACGTCCGGTATTGTCGCCTAACATAATTCCAGACGACTGGCGGCTGCTCCCAGCAGAGTAAAATGAAGTATATGCATGCCCTGTCTTGGGCAGAGACCACCTTGTATGTCTTAAGTTTAGTAGGACTATAGTATGATTAAGTACTAACTTTGCATTTGGCGGATGCAGTAGTTTCAAACAGCTCTGAATAAATGAGCCGAAATCGCGACAATACATCAATCTGTCCTTTTGCCTTTTTTAATGTGTTCTCTATCGCGCATTGCTTTTGGTCGTATAAAAATGTGTTCGTTACGTTCTCTGTGCTGTGCTTGCGTGTGGTGCCTGCGCTTCTGTGTTCCTGTGGTATGAATGTCCTTGTTTCAATCCGGTTTGTATACTGAAGACATGCTGCCCGGCGGGATGTACGGTGCTAACAACGTAAACCCGTTCAACATCACAGGCAACAACAACAACAATAATAACAACAACAGTAGTACGAACAGGACTTGGCTGAATAACAATACCCGTTACGCTGATCCGCCCTTAACAACAACCACCGGACAGACGACCTTCTCGCCGACAGGCCTTGATGTAAGTGGTTGATTCCTTGTTTATCGGAACAAATCAAGCCAAGCTACCTACATGTACCAAACTAGACCTTATTGTAGGTGAGCGTAATTATGCATCGGTTTGGATTCGAACTTAAAATAACAAGTGCTTCTGTATGACAGGCGAAACGTTAAATCGTTGAGATTTACCAGCTTGCTTTTTCGTGATTGAAATAAAGGTCAATGAAGTTTTATTTTATATTAGGTTAGATACATATCATGAAGATAATTAGTTTCCATTTTGTAGTTACAAGACAGATTATATGTGCAACTAATAATTACTTTGTGCTCTTAGTAGCTCAACCGGCGTTTACGATTATCCTTTATTTAATTACACAAAGTTAAGAGTTAAGAAATGTTAATAATAATCAAGACTTCTTGATCCATTAAGTAGATAACTGTGTTAAATAACTGTCTCTAGCGAAGAACCCGCCAATGAAGTGATACGTCTCATTGAACTGCACACTTTCAACTTTTTTCATTTAAACTTTTTTGATGAAAATAGCGGCTACCCGGTCCCGATGATGGTGCACAACCAGAGAAATCGGCTAGCATCTTCTCCATTAACTACTACCGGATGTTCTTCAATGTTCAAGGCGATCAAGTGCTGCAAAGAGCCGCAGCCTCCCTCTATTCACAGAAAGGACACTTGGAGCAGAATATTGGAGTCAGCCCTGATCTGTACGGTAAGATTTTTCAAGACACATGCCACCCGTCGGGATGAGAAATGGGGCTCACACAGTAAGTGATGTTCAATATATCATCATTGTTGAAGTCATAGTCATAACTGGATTGACGCGGTAGTTATCGCTAGTCGATTCGTTTTTTTTTCGTTCATGCTATGTGCACCATTAATACGTTTATCGTTTAACTGTAATTATGAAATTGACATTACATTGTGGATTTGTATGACCTACTGCTCTTTCCTGCCTCGCTAACGCTATACCGATGTACTTATCATTTTCCTTATTGAATGGATGTTCAGGTCCAATATGGATTGCTGTTACGCTAATCGTTTCATCAGCGATCTCGCACGGTATCGCACAGTTTATCCAGAATGCACCTCTTTGCGTGGCAGTAGATACAGACATGAGGCGGACGTCGTTCGTAGCATCAGCGGTATTCCTGTACACATTCCTTCTGCCGTCTGCGCTTTGGGCCTTCCTCAAGTATCAGGGCGTGGAACAGCGACAGCCATTACCCAGCTATATGTGCCTCTACGGCTATTCAATGGCAATCTTCATACCTGTCTCCGTTAGTATTGTTTATATATATATATATATATATATATATATATATATATATACTAGGCTATTGCAAACGAATTCGATGTAAATTGAATACCTTTGCCTTCAGAATCACGCACCGTTAGCAGAAATTTAGCTGCTAGACGCTCCAGTCTTCTAGAAATTTGTAAAAGAAGCCTTTTAGTCTGTAAAATCAATGCTCAGTGGTCAGGTTTTTATCCTTCAAAGGCTATAGGGCTACGAAAATTCATCGAAGTTTGGTGAAGTCATTAGGCAATGATGCTTTAAGGAAAATCACAGCACGTGAATAGTGTCAACGTTTCAAGAACGTTAGAGACCAGCGAGTAGGTGATAAGGTGTTTTGACCCAAATGACAAGAACGCATTGCCGCAAACGAAAAGGCCTTCCATAAAAGCAGAGCTTAAAGTCTAGGGGCCCTGTTATTCAAAAGTGGCACTTCACGTGTAACACGATACAGTTTTGTAACCTAAATACCGAAAATGCGAAAACTCACTAAAAATAGGTTTTTCATGAATTCACTCCAACGTGCAATTTGTAAAACCTTAATCAAGAGAATATCCAACTGGGGCATACAATTGGCATAGGCCTCATGCTTCCATCTCTGTCCAGCTGCAAAGAGAACAGGCAAGGGAAAGGCGTTGTTCTGGAAAGAGTTCGCGTTCGGTGGCGGCGTCGAGTAGATTATTACGTGAGGTAATTCTAGTACTTGCATTGGATATCCTGGAGATACTCGCCGAATATGAAACACTGAACACCGCTACCTCGAGCTCTTCAGGAGACTTATGGACCGTTACCTCCTAATTAAACGCGGTACACGGTAATCAAATCCACGGAGATCTCATCGCTATGCCTCAATTACGTGTTAGCTTCAACTCGCTCATCCTCCCGATTAAATTCATATTATTACGGGGCTTTCCATGCCTTGAGATTGTTGGGGAAGCATAGCCCACTATCGATTTACTTTGAGAAGCTATTGAATGGGGAAATCACATTTCCAAACGCGAATTATATGTATATGGGTATCCGAAAGTTGTCAGAGTTGTCAGGGACAAATATGTAAAAACAAAAAAGAGTACCTTCAATACGTATTAAAAAATCATCACTTAAGTTTAACAAATTCAAAAGTGAAAGTTCAATTTGTATTTAGGAATATATATCTATACATATAATGTGTGGGTGTGTGTACACGAGGCGTTTATTAGCAGAAGAATTCATTGTACTTACATTGTTTTATTATTAGAGCAATATGTATGCTTTTGTCTATTACGTGGTTATGAATTCAATATAAGTATTACATATTACTCGTTTGTATCGTATTGCAACTATAGCCATTCTCAAGTAAGTGCCTAAACTGGCTGTATTTCTTTTCACATTTTGACATTTTTCAAAATAATACTGATGGCGAGGAGAATGAGAGATTGTTGTTGAACTCCATAGGTCCAAAAAAAGTCATCGAAGTAACGTCACAATCTATCCCAGGCGATCAATTATGTTTTCCCTTTTGGTTACTTTCAGATCATCTGGGTAATCCGAATGCCAGTTGTCTCCTGGCCAGTTATGCTCGGCGCTACAATCATCACCGGCTATTCTCTCGTTTTATCATTGTGGCCTTCGCTTCAGGGTCTTTCATCGGTTCAGGTGCGCTTCGCCGTCGCCATCGTAGTGTTAGCATTGCACCTATCCCTGGCCATCTCACTTGGAGCGTACGCGTTCGAACCAACAGTCATCGCCGTCACTCAACCTCCTAATCCATCTACCTTAAACAACTCAATGTCGATTAAGTAGGCGCGTTACAAGCTGTTAGACTGTTCGGTGTCTTCTGAGTCTGATATGCCCGAACGCTTTGGTACCGATGCCATGAACAGGTCTAATGCGCAGGTTATAGGAAGAAGATGAAGGTGGATGGATCTAATACAGAGCGTATGCGTAAGAGCATGCTTCGTGGAAGCGGAAAAACGACCTACGGATAGATTATAAGTGTACGTATAAACTATAACAGTTAGTAAAGTCATTATGCGTACATTTATGAACTGATATCTAAAAGTAGGGAAGCGAAGTAAACGTTAAAGCTGAAGGAAACAAGTGGAAATGTATGAGGTACGGGTTACATATATATAAGTTAAAGATTAAAAATAATAAGATTTAAAGAAATACGGTATGGACTGTTCCTGCAACAGACCATCATAAAGATATAAGTGACGCATATGACACTACTCGGTTGAACGACTGAAGTCACACTGAATTCTTAAAAAAATAAAAGTATATCAGGAACATTAAATAAATTAGTGGAACACTAACTTGACGCGTGGGTGTTAAAAACAAACTATCTTAGAATATAACTGCGTAGTTTTTCCTATTACGTGTATTAGATGTTTTAATGAAACATGCATACGAATGTCGATGACTAGTTAAAAATAGAAGTATCAGAGCATACAGAGCGTTCAAGCAGTACTTAAGGCAAAACTTGACACATTTAATTTTGTCTGTAATACATTCCATGCTTAGTCTCAACAGAAGGCTTTTGGCGACGCACAATCGACCTTTAGATGCCTCCTTGAGATCCTCAAGGACATGCTCGGATATATTGTCAAAGTGGGACAGAATGTCCGACAATAAAACAGAATATGGATAGATAGTATCGTTTCCATATTTTGCCACCTTTGCTCTCTACACTGGTAAATTCATTCAGTTCGGTATAAGCCTAAAAAGAAGCTGTTTTACGTGTACAACTTTTTTTCAGAGACAAAAAGACGGAGCAATATCAGAAAAGAAACAAGGAAGACACGGGACCAAAATTTATCTCGCCAATGAGATGCAGTGAAGCACCACCGAGATAATGTAGTCACAATGTAGTCCTTGAACAAATCCTTTGAAATCGAGATATTTCACCCCCAAGCCTGTAATTCTTTAAGGACTTTTCCAAGGGATGATTTCAAGATAGGATCAAACAGACCCTAAAGATAGCTACTCATGTAGAATTTTTTGGTTAGGGTCAAAGTATATCTACTTTTTCTATTACGGCTTCGAAGCTGAGTAATGCGCACAAATAAGTAGCAAGCCTATATTAGGAATTCAGATCAATCGAAACATTTTTCGGTCTTCGACTGGTCCGATCTAGATGATTCTTGGTTCAAGTGTTCTGTCCATGGAGTAATAATTTATTCACTTAAACTATTATATATTAGCAATTTAATACTCTATATATATCAAGTGTAATTAAATTTTTTTATTTTCTAATATTTCTCGTATACACGAATTCGCTGACAACATTCCGAACAGTTTCTTTTAGGAATTTTTAAGTCTTTGAAATCTACTCAATAATGGCTAAAAGTATCGTAACTAATAAACCTTACTAAATAGATAATTAAGACGGCGACTAAAACCTAAAGTAAATAGAGGATAGTTAAACTTTGCCATCAATGTTTGTTGACTTGAATTTTCTTTGTTTTTTTATTCCTTTGTCGTTATTATTGCTGTACTGTCGTCTGATAAAAATGTTCCATAATAACCAGTTACAAATGAGTGATCACGCATCCCCTTAATTGATATTCATACACACGGTTGTACAGGTTTTTGCCATATAACGACGAACGCATGACTTCTGCATAATTTTTACATGAACGTAAAGAGACACTTACTACTTACTTATATTGTGCCCACCATTATTATTATTATTGTTTGGTTTTACGTACTATTCAACCTGTGGATTAATTAAAAGAACTTCCCGATTATCTCGATGGCAGTATCACTACATAGACGCACGACCGACAACTCGACGTACTGTCAAAACGCCTAAAGTTATCATTCCTCGTTTTGGGTCCGATATGACGCGATCCGCGTGTATGCTTCGCGAAATTTTCACCTGACTACATGAAAAATCAGTTTCTTTAGGAATTGTCTACAGCTAGCTTCCCTTTTTGAATATACTAACTCACTATTGCTATTATTACACGCCAGAAATTTGTTCATTCAAATTCGACTCAGTTACTTAACAGAAGTTGAAGGAGTCAGATGTACAGAGTACTTTAATTTAGAAAATTTAGATAAGATCTGCATCAATTTTTAAATAATCTAGGTGCATACGCAATCTGCAGATCAGCTGATTCGCGTAAATTACATACACAGAAAAATGCCGCGAAAACTAATCCTACAAATATAGGTCCATAATATCATAAATATTTTGCACCAATCCTGCTTTTCTTGTACCCCATCAATATTACCATCCATTCTGCTCAAGAAGTGAGATAACACAACTGCAAACTGAAGGCTCTCTTCCGTTTATAAAATGATTTGCCTCCCACTTCATTCACTCAACTATGTCAGTCGCATTTACCCAGTTCTAAAACTTCGTATGAACGAGTTGCGGCCTTGATATTGTCTGTATATACAAACATGTCCTTGCATTTTTGCTGAGAAGCTAAAGACAGCTGAGCATTAATGGCGCGTGCCACCGTTAGCGAAGTCAACAGAAGCAACAAGTTGGCCTTACTTAGAAACTTCTGAAATTACAATCTCATTTTAGCCACACTCCGGCATAATTTTACAACCTTTTTACAAATAGTTAATCTGTTGATTTTTACTGCGTAACTGAGTTACTTTCGACAGTAGTTTCGGAGCGACATTTTTAGCGTTCCCGCAGTGCAGAATACAAGTAAGCTGTGCTTCCAGTGTACACAAAGTTGATCTCAGAACGTACGGGACATTTTCGTCTGGGATATATTATATTATACATATGCAAATCACAGCGTTTCCCTATTCGTCAGAACCGGCATGCTTAAGCGTAATATGCCGGCTCATGTACACATTATGCTTAGTTTTGTATTCACAATTTGGACAACGAAGGAGCCTTTCTGCAGTGTCATTAACAACATGTTCGTTTTCTTCGTGTTCCCTGACAGCTTGAACGTCCGAGAATACCTGTAATAGACATACTTGTTTTTGTCATTGCTTTCGACAATATCGAGGATGTAGAAGGTCACACAGCTGCCAGTTGCTGGTAAAAGTTGTTTTCATCAATTCCACAAGTAAAACATACGTCGTAAATAATGGAGAAGCAAACAGTAGTAAATATGGGGAAAACATAGAGGACCAAACAAAAGTTGTATCTGATGAAACGAAAATCTGAACGAAGTATACCTTGTGGCATGGTGAGCAAGAAAGGTTAGGTTTGTGGCTTCTTTTATGGATTGTAAGGAACAGTGGCGTATGTGTCCTGTAGTCGCACATCGAACAGTGGAGATTTTTTTCAACAATCATTGGTGATCCAGGGGTTATCTGTGCATAGAAGATCACGTTAACAGGTATGTAAGCAAGTGCTTGTATATTTCTATAAAATTTGCTCTGTATACGTTCCCTATAACCATATGATTATGGAGTAACGGGTGCTGTTATTCTTATGAATTAATTCGGTTACATTTTATTACTACGTTCTAAAAATGATCCAAAAAAAAAATGTACCTCCGTGCTGTTGGAAACGTCTTTTAAATCCTCCGAAGCTGGAGCCGATTCGGGAGTCATCTCCCCTTCAATTTGTCCCCCAGATATAGCTGACATCTCGTTTTCTCTCACAGTGAGTGACAATGCTTTAGTCGTTGATCTGGAACAAGCCGTAGAGCCTTCAGACTGAGTTACAATATCCATGGACATAGTACAGTTCTCTGCTGCCCCAGGCCTAACCGAAGTATGATCCGTTTTTTCAATTTGCTTGCCCACGCATGAAGCCGGTGGGTGCTGTTTCTCCACGGTTTGCGAATTCTCTTCTCTTGCATTAAGTGGTACATCTTGTGAAAGCTCACTATGCAGTCGACTCTCTGAAGCTGCTTGGGGCAGTTTTTTTACAACACAGGGGACTACCTTTGATCTTCTTCCTTTTCTAAGGGTTGTTGACGTTATATTCGTCGCAGCAGTTATTGGACTTGCAATACAGCTTGCACCTTTTGGTGTTGATGACACAGGAAGCTGATATCCCTCCGCAGACGCTGCCGTTAATTTCGCCTCATCGGTATTCATTGGAGCATCCTTTTTTGTTTTAGCGATCTCGGTAGTAAGCTTTTTTGGGATGATTCTTGTTGGCGCCAACATGCGTCGAGGGGGTCGACCTACTTTTTTTGGACCTTCTCTTGCTGCAATTTGCTGTTGCGAGGCAGAATCCCTACCAAACTGCATATTTGCCATTTTCGGGATCGGGACCTTCGGTCGAGTACTTCGTCTTTGACCTTGCAAAGATTCAGCGACAACATTTGCTTCAGGCGATCGACTACACGGCTCGCGTGGCACACTTCCTTCCGACTGTGAAGAGGACTTCCGTCGGCGTTTACTTGGGACAAAAGCGGGCCCACGTTCGGTCGACTTAGTTTGCTGGCAATCCACTGTATCTACTGGCTGTAGTCTACTGGCCGTAGTTGTCGGTCCCGCTTCGGCCATAGGCCAAGCAGGGCTTTCAGGATGATCCGATGGAAGAGCAACTACCAGCAGCTGCTTCGGGGGGTCATCAACAGTAGAGACGATTGAGGCCTTATCCTTGCCAACCTGTTCCGAAGACGCCTGCACAGTAGGTACATTATTATTTTTATATTCAGACGCTTCCTTGCTGTCGGTTGCGGAAGGATTAATCGAGGGTGCGGCTTGAACCTTCGGAACGAATTTAGGTATAGTGGGCTTAAGAAACCGTCGTATGGTACCAACATTTGGTTTTAGATTGCTTCTGCATAAAAGACCGACTTTTGGTAAAAGCGGTCGAGTAGTAGTGGTAGGTCGATGTCGTATGAGACAGTCGTGTCTTTGTGCTGCTATATTCAGCACCATCTGACTGTTTACATCGCTTTCTGTTAGATCAATCACGACATCCTCGCGATCAGGATCTGCTAATACTTGCGGTGGAGGCTCCTCCTCATCGTGATAGCTAACAATGAATGGCGATTCTTCGACGTCGTTAATTAAACAATCGTCATCAATCGTTGCAGTTTCGATAGTGACAGGGCTATCGGAGATGTCGACTAAGTCGGGGACATCCTCTGCCTGTGCTGACATTCCTTCTGCTTGATCTGGCTGTTCTTCCGGCCGCCGTTGAACCTTTTGTTGTAATGGATCCTGTATTTCCTCCTGCTGATTTTGGTGAGTAGCGCAGAAGTGTTCTCCAGCAGAAGTTGTGCCTGTTTCCCGTGAAACCTCGACAGGACATGATGTGCCTAACTTTTGGGAGGTAACGGACACGTGACAGGATGCACCTGTATTGCCCGTTGTTGAGTCCTGAACAACTGGGGAAGTCTCATGGTACGGCTCTATATTAATTGTATTCAGCGCATCACTCACAACGGAGGCAACCTCTGACTGCGTCATCGAAGCTTCGGATACCGGGACCGCATCGTGATAATTGTCTTGCGATTCTGTCATGAAAGGGTTAGCCACTGCCATCGGTATTGTCTCGTGACACTGATCTGAAGAGGAAGTACGCGTTTTATCACCGGAGGCTACTGGCTCACTGTTTAGTAATTCCTGTTCCATGGGGACTTGTTCTAGAGACGATGGATATGATGTCGAGGTAAGCAAGTTTCCACTTTCGTCACCAGTAACGAGGCGTCCGCTGATCACGATCGTATTTGAGTGTTGGCGTTCAGCAGTTGAAGATGTTATTGGAACTCGCTGAGGAACCACAAGAACCGCCGCAGCCGTTGGAGCCAGACGCCTTTTAGCTAGTTGCATTTCGCGAGCAACTTGTTCCATGGCGACTGGTTTTTTCATCACTTCAATAACTTTAGATTCATAATTGCCTTCGCTTTTTGAAATCTTCAGCTTAAGAGCCATCGTTGGTGGGTGCATTGCCGTGGTTGTTACCTCATCAGGGAGTCCTTGAACTAAAGAAGTCACCTGGTTCGACAATGAGCCTATTAGACACTGAACAGAGGATGCAGGAGTTGTCTGGGTATGGGATACTGCTTGCATCTGAAGAGTCGATTGCGATACGGTGGCTGAACTGCTTTTAGACGAGGAAGAGGCGACAAATGTAGGTAGGTTCTTCGGATTAATATCTACACCGCGCTGGATCGATTCCGTGATCACCTGTACAAGCCAATCCACATGCAGTAACTTTAGTTAGTTGCTGTTAGCACCAGTACGCATATACTCATTCAGGGTAACGCAAGGGTATCAGTCATTTTTTATTGCTATGTTCGAACTACTCTGCGGTTTATATGAATCAACTTTATTGATGCAGGGTCTCGATAAACACATAGTTGTCTCCAGCCTAATAGGCTATCCACCTTCTCTAGCTGCGAAACCGATGGTATGCTGATCTGCTTGGGTGGACGAGCTTTCGACATGGTTGTACGAACGATCAACGGGGTTTGGGGTCGTACGCTCGAAATCACTCCAGAAGCAAGAGAAGTTAGCGCTGTTGATTGCGGTGCCTCGGACACAGACCCAACGGCCATAGCCGGAACTGTACCTGTAAGGACAACAGCAGCAGGTGACGCTGCCCGACGGCCTGGAACTATAACGTCAAAGAAAAATAAGTAATTAACCAGTAAAGTCTGTAGGTTGGCGAAATAGTATTGGCAAAGGAACAGCAAGCGGTGAGTTCTAAATATGAGGACAGGTAGATATACGGGACGCACTAGCTGAATTTACCGACAGTGAGCAATAGCACATCAACAACGGTGATAAAAGAGGAACGTCTAATACAAACCAGGTAAGCCCGGTCTGATAGAGGTCGACTGTTCAAGCAGACCGCTGAAAATGGGGTTCAACCGTACCTCACTGAAAATAGCAGAGATGCATACATTTGGGTCAGCCATAACGATTTCTCTCAGTGCGCAGTGGAAAAATAGAGTGGCTAATCTGTTCATTGAATGTTCATTGAATGAATATCTGTTTAACCTAAGCGTGTGTTTTGAAATTTTCAGAGCACTATTTAGGAAGTAGATAGAGCAGCGATGCATATTTTTAATTTTATCTTAAAAAAGTTCAGCTTGATTCCGCACGGAACTTCATAAACATAGTAGTTGTTTTCAAGTTAATATGAGAGGTATCATAAAGTATAAAAACAATTTTGATTAGTTTTTTGTATGTTCGCATATTTTCGGATAGGAGAAGCTATACCTGAGAAAAGTCACGTTCTTACTAATAAAAAATGTTTTTCCCATTAGTACAATTTCTTTTCCAGTAGTAAATTAATGTTACCTATTAGATCTTTGTATTAGAAATGTTAAAACATACTTGAGTTCCGTCTGTAGTAGTTTTGAAGCTTTACTGTATGTACTATTTTTTGCCTAAAGTAAATACCCTTCCTTGGATTGAGTCCTGTTGGGCTGTGATTTAGCTTGAATGACAGGCTGTGCTACAACTTGTGCAACAATGGGCTCCATCCTTTCAAGCGGATTGACCATTATGGGAGGCAGCAGAGGTTCCTTGGCTGATGGCAAAATCGTTAAAAGATACAAACAAAGATTCAAACCATTACAAACTTGTGTCGCCTTAACTTGATGATTAGGTGAAGATTTAGCGGATATTTTAATTTCATATAGACAAAAGTCGTACAGAAAAAACTTAACAGCGTTGACAATCTATAAACGGCCCTTGTATGCACGACCTTGAAAAGTATCAAAGGGACCTTGGAACTGTGTAGGTAATTCGACCTCACAACACTGACTCAAATAATAACCTGAATAATAATTGCGTTGCACGAGACTATTAAATTAATACATTAATTTTGCACTCAGCTTTAACTCATTAAGACCAGAGAATCATGTCTGAAACGTAGGTGCCAACATTTGGGTTGAAATATGTGGAAATAAGAAGCAAATTGTAGCAGAAGAACTAAAGTGAAAAAACCATCGCAATTTACCGGAAGTTCGAAGACGAGCTAATGGAGTTCGAGGTGACTGCGGGATAGTCGAACGCACCGTTGACGCGCTAGGAGCTGACCCTGTATTTAGAATTGGTCGATCGCAGTTGCATAACATCATTTAGCTAAGTTTAGTAACAAATACATATTTGGCTCGTGAGTAGCATACACAAAGCACCAAATAGAACTAAAAGAACATGACTACACGGTGCTTGTTCTGTCTTCATATTCAAATACCTTAAGGATATACATCACCTTTGGGCCGAATAGAGTAATAGTAACATGTCCTCCTATAACCTGAAGCGAATAAAATCGAATCTTCAAAACAACTGCTTTTTTGAGTACTTATAATAAATTATAATAAATATATTACCATAAATACTACATTATTAGTAATTCAATAATTTTATGCATATCGTACGTGTATATTGGGCCATTCTTTCGTTTTTACTAAAATAAATTCGATTTAAATTTTCGAAAATTAGTGGAGCCTATAAATTAGCTGCACCAGAGAGCAATAGTTTGATACTCGATTGATATACAGCCATATTTTCTTTGATATCATGCTATTTTCTAAGAAAATTGCTAATAAAGAACCCAATAATGCAACATATGAAGCCTATCGAACGATCCTCGAAAATATCTGTTGTTGAAAGTTTAAAAAATACATATTCAAGGGCACGTTGTTATCAACGAGGGCTTTTTTTTGAGATACTTGCAATCTAAGTGTTGAGACCACGCATGTATTTTGGACTGCTACGAACTTCAGCTATAATAAGATCACGCCAAGGTATGTACATCACATGAATGCTTAAAATATTTATACTTCGTTTATATTTTATATTAAATGACAAATCCAAGCTACTTCCAGTCTTCCGTCGAGCCCATAAGCATTGCTATTTTCTCGAAAAACGCACGTACGATGGTTCTACATGTGTGCTGTTTATAAAATATAGTTGCGGCCGCGTCCTGACCAACTTCCCGTAAATGTTTTACTTTCAGTATTTTTTTCGTGTGTACACAAGAAATTACGTTTTCTATTTATGTACCTTTCAAGTGATTTTTACATACATAAGTGTCGTGCAATCATACGTAATTTGTAAAACTTATATAAATATTGTGCCAAAGAGGCGAAGTACAAAAACCTTACAAAACTGAGTATTTATTAAACATAGCAAAAGTCATCGCTGACGAAATCTTGAGGCTGTGATTTTTCAATAATAACTCTCCGTCAGTAATATCGTGGACCATGACCTGTAAGAATAAAGAACGTTAGTCCAGCCATTGACCGTCTAAATAGCGAATATATGTTTCGCTCCCAAAGGGTATCTACACGAACTACCTCGAACTAGTAAAAAGCTTACTCTTCCTTCTCAAACTTCTTGATCCTATAATACAACGAACATATGTTCCTTAAGCATAGCGCATAAACCTCCATAATCAGCTATGAAACATATGGCGGGGACAATACTAGCTGATGCAATACATTCATTACGAAAAACATGATTAGGAGCCATATTCTATATAGATTATAGAAATAAAAACAAACAATTTGCCTGAGTGTTAGGCTCTCCGGTTTACTTCAACAATGCAGCAAGCAGCAACACCCGGCCGTGCTCAGTCGCAAGCCATGTTTTTTCTTCCGAAGTTTCGTTATTTAAAACATTTTTGTCGCACACGATAACTTTAATAGAAAACGCCTAACATTTTGAAGCTCTGAACGGCTTGCCGTCGATGTCTTTGTAGTTCAACATTTTGTCGCCAGCAGAGCAATTAATTAGATACTTTTGTGGCGCAAAATTTTCCTATTACGCCTCCAAAATTACATTACAACTACTGCTATTGTTATGACCGAATGACATTTACAAAGTACCTGTTTAATTTTACAAACGTACAGAGGAAAGCGCGGCACATCCTAACTATACAATAACTTATCTTTTGCCGTACCAAGAATGACGACACCCTCTTTTTACGTTTAGGCCATTTATGGTCCTTAAGTATTGCACGCTTATATATATATATATATATATATATATATATATATATGTACTCATTAAATATAATTAGAATAGCGTATTCCCTCTTCTATATGCGCTTGATATTGACAGAGCTTCTTTTATAACATAATTTGATCAAAGCAAGCTATGCTGATGATCAAGAAGCTTAACATATAGTTTTCGACTGTTGCAGAGATTTTCTTTTGTAGTTGCTGAAACCATTGACTTGCTCTTAAAGAACGTATGATATACGTCAGTTATTCCTATGCACGCAATCATACATCAACTCCAGGTCCACGTACATATTCCGGAAGCACGTCTTTAAATTGAAGTTATGACTTCACTGATATGTTCTCTAAATGATTTTCATCATCCAGTTAACTCCTTTATTTATGTGCTTTTGTACTTTTTTTTTTAAATTTTTTTGTTAACATCGGCGAATGGACGTGCATTTCTGGGAGAATTTGTTTTCTTAGTGTAAATATTTCACGTTCAAATCCTTATTTATAACTCCCAGTAGCGCTGTGAAACCATCAATGATTTTATTATAATAACTATTACTATCACTATGCACGTCGAACTAAGATAAGAAATGTAAAAATATAAGAAGACAGAGCCTGATGTAAAATTCATCAAGAACTCTAGTCTCGAAAATCTGTCTAGACCCAATCAATTGAAGTACCATGTTCTTATAGCCATTCAGAGTTGCAAAGATGAAAAAATAGCTGTTTCACACATGGTTGAGCGGTGGGCGATTGAGGCAAGGAATTATTGATAACGGCATGTAAGTCTATCTACAGTTTAATATTTGTTAATATAGTCTACTTTTTACGTTTTGGTAACTCATTTGAAGGTTCATTCCCTATAATCGCTCTAGAAAGCAGAATTTGGTTCTTAATGTTTTACTTTCAAAGCATGGTCCCATTGATCAGATCTTCTCGAAGTCCCGCAATTCCTTTACGGGGTGCGGTTAAAAGGTCCCTCTTGATGCGCCGTGTTCTACTCAGGTGATCTTTGCGGAACTGTACCATGTTCTGCATGTCTACCACATAAATAAAGCCAGCGATCTGTAACTCATGTCTGGAATAATGCACGTTACATAATCAAGGCAAACGTTAGCAGCCAAACTTAGCTCTAATTCATCAGTTTCAAGTTATGCCTAAATCGGTTTTTTCCCAAAGTGCTTTATGGCGCATAAATTCCACTTACTCGGCTTCACCTCTATGAAGCGCTTCTTCAATCTCATCCGAATGGCGTTCCTCAAACTGCCACCAGCCATTACGACCCTCGTAATACCATACAAATTTCGAATCAACATTCGACTTGGGACGATAGTGGTGCTGTTCCGGAACGAGGACTGGCAACTCCATATAGCCGGGTGGAATTGTTGCTCGGCAGAACGCGCACCTATAAATATTAGGCAATGTACAAGAAGCGTGCAATTCAAAGGTAAGAAGCATGGTAACTTCCTGCGACAATTTCTTGCGGAGAGTTTCATTCGTCGTTTGAAAACATGATCTACATCCTGGCCTCTTTGTTGTCTTATCGTAAATTGCAACAAAAAAGCTTTGACGGCGCCTCATAAATCTCGTTCGGGATAAGAGTGTGAAAGACGAAACAATAATATTGCAGAAAATTAATTATGTTTTGGTACGAATCTTTGATATACCTTCCGTGTTGACTTGCGAACCCCTTAGCGCAGAGATAACAGAAAACGTGTGAGCAGGGCAACTTTATTGGATGTGAGAATGGCTGCAGACAAACGGGGCAGTCGTTATCCATTGACGAATTGGATACTTGGCTATTCTGAGCAGCAGAAGACTGGGGTTCTGTAAAAGTAGCGCTGCAGGTTGCAACGGCTCCGCTAACAGAGCCACTGACAACTCCCGCAGCAGAGGATACTGCATGACGACCATTGTGTGAGCAGCTTACCGGCCTAGAACAAACCGCCCTCACCTTGACAAATCAAATATTTACAACCAATCAAATTGTTAATAAATATTATTAAGTTATGTTATTAAACCGACAGCGCATCGTACAAATGCTTTACTGGTGAATTGCAGTAAAAGCTGTGAGCGTTACCAGACAGCCAAAAAACGGCTTCATTCAGTACGTATTTAGGCATTACGTAATTCCTTCGTAATCCTTATTATAATTATCATTTAACAACATATGCCAGCTTTTGGCTCGAATTATTTTCTGATGCAAACTTAAACTTCAAAGGGTATATCAGGTTCCCTGTTGAACTCTAAAATACATTAATTTGCAGGGTGTAGATTTAATTACGGCAAGATACGCATGCATTTATAGGCTTCAACCAGCTACTGCATCATACCAATGTCCTTTTAAGCAGCCCTGCGTAACATAGCTCGTGCACTAAGTATGAATAATTCATTAATTCCTTCTCAATATAATTATTGACATTTGCTGAATCCCACTGCAGTCATTTTAATTGTTAATTAAACCGTAACGGCAGTGCTCATTTGCACTGTGTGATAGAGCTGACACGACACGGATCATCTTCAATGTCACTTCAAACCAGCAGTAGCTACAAATCCAACTACTATCGTTTATTTTTGACTATGTTGGTTCACGTGACTTCTAAGCTACTTTGTGACCACAATTCCCTTAGAACTATTTGACCTATTCTTAAAAATAGGCCGAACTAACTATAAATGAAAGTCAGCAGTCCGTCAAACATAAATGCATTCCAACTCTGTTGTGCGCTTGCAGACAATAACAGCAGCGACTCACAGAACCAATAAACCAGATTAACCACCTACTCATTCATATTCAGGTTCGTTGCGACAGGCTGTAATATTTTCCCCAAAACAATTTATCTGTTAAAAATTGTGTCGGATGAAATAACACAACATAATACCGCAACAATAAATCACTAAGTGGTATCGCCACTAGTGTATCCATATCACTCAAGTCCCTTGGCGTTTATTCACGAACTACTAACCACGACAATGTAAACACAATATGTTACCTAGATTTCAGCTGACACTCAACCAGGGCAGCTGCTCTAAACACATTTAAAATAAACGCTATTTTCACGCCATCACGGTATTTAACGCCATTTACCAACCCATTACCCAACACAATATCGCCACTAAGCTTTGACCATTAACTCTATTACGTTGGTATGATTGAGGCAACAATGCAGCACCGCAAGCTTCCGCACATTTGACTATAATCCACTTAGTCCGCTTGCTTGTGTCTGCGTGGTTGACTGAAGGGATTGACCACTGGGAAATTGCCAAATTATTCGCCCGTAGTCTTACGTGCGGCGAGTTATGCGTATCGCAATGCAAAGGTCATATTAATTTTTAATAGGAATGCATGTACTTTTAATAAGGCTTTCTATGCAACTGATGTTTACAGAAACCACGAAAATCTTAGCTTTAGTGGATAAATACAAGTAATGAATGAAATACAATTATAGTAATTGTTGCCCTGTATCTCAATATGTAGTGTTCGCATAAAACAGATGAATCTTGTTTTATCTTTGTGTCTTGTGGAGTTTGAAGCTTACGAGAGATCCACTAAATTTAAGACTGAACGAAGTGCTTATCACACTAATAAGTGACTCTAAGCAATACGTTTATTTTAAATAGTCAAGTCGTTTCCTCCTCTTATCTCTATTTCTCTTTGTTTGTCAACAAACAATAAATCTTTCTTGAAGGGCACCCTATTTTCCAGTTCTACTCAGGCTACGTGATTAACGTAATATGTCTCCTTCGGAAAGTATTTTGGAAAAAAAAATCGCTAAATGTATGTGTCAAATAAAAATCAAATAGAAAATAAATTGTTGTGGATCTAGTTTATTAATGCGTTTCCTAAAAAACGATGCCTGCTGGACAAACAAAGAAATTCGTGACTAGCTATTCGACTGATGGACAACAAAATAAATCTTCTTCAAAGTATAAGCAACAGAAAGCAATTCATGGCATCAAATTTTTTTATCTATGTAATACTTGACTTTCCTTACAAATCGCCTTTATTCTAAATTTTCAGTAATACTCACATATGCATATTCGCTAGCATGCGGTGGCATAGTCTGATCATGCTCCAAGGCCGCGTCGTATGATTCCTGTTTCACTTGCCAAGCATGTGGGTCCTGATGTATGCGTGACGCGTCTACGACTGTGTGACCAAGAGTGTACGATGTTCCAGGCTGAGAAACGTGTGAAAAATGTCCACTTGGTGATTGTCCCAAGTCAAGCTCGACCTTCTCTTGTTTAACCGAGGGAGCAAACAAATGGAAGGCCTTTGTGTACGAATCTTCAAGTTCGCCATCTGTTAAAGAACCACCGGGTCTTAAAATTGTGAATCTTAGTTTGAAAATTGTTAACAATTTATTAATTGCAACAAATAGTGTCAATACAATAAGCCGATTGAGCAAGTTGAAAATGAATTAAGAGGTTTCGGCCGCTATGTATCTTGTCCACATTTTCCCTAGCCTCTTGTGCTCGTGTTGGAGCGCAAACATTAATTTACGTAAAATGAAATGGCTTACGCAGTTTTCGGGCTCTAAATCGCGTGAAAATTCTTCTCACAGTCCCTTAATGAAGATGATCTGGTGATGATAATAATTAATACCGCATAGCATGTATGAAAAAAGATGTTTTTTTTCAATTATTAGTAACTTCCTTTCCTGTAACTATACATTTACCAATAATTAAGTCTTGTACACGCACCTTCTGAATTGGATTCGCCCACTGAATGCGACGAAAAGCCCATCTGGAAAAATATTTTAATAAATAACGTTATTTCTTTTTATTGACTTTGTATTATATTCGTAATTACGTACTCAGTTCAGTAAAAATTCCTACCAAAATATGAACTCGAATTGCCTACTTTTAAAGGCAAATTTGCTACACTAGCAAAGCAACCGTACCTCTTGTATAGCTAGGTCAGTTTTCGTCATGGCTGCCAAACAGCCGTCGATGCCGACCGCAGTTATCACACAATTAGATGCGCAGCTCTGGTCTATAATCATCCAAGCCATATTAAGACAGCTTGGCTTCTTACTGCTAGACAAAACATGAAACACCGGGACGCTGATGGAACAAAATAATTGTAGATAAAATGCCAAACAAATGAACTGAACCGGTTTAATACGAAATTGTTGCATCAACTAGGCTTTAAACCAATGACCCTTATATTTCTTAAATAAACGAGGTACTTCACGCGCGAGGACAATTCCATAATAGATACATAACAGTTATTGTTAGCAAAAAGGATACTTACCAAGACAGCGAACTTAAGCTGGTTGTAGTTGACAAAATGTGCTCCATAAGTTGATAGCGAAAAATGTTACGAGTAATCATAGCTTGTTTCGCTTTTGATTAATGATTTGGCATGAAACACTATATTACAACAATCCGAATCGTTATCAACCGTTGGCAAACAATAATTTCTAACCTCCATGTGTTCGCTACAGTACCACAGATATTAACGTACCGATAACTATAAAGAACGTTTCACAACCTATAAAATTAAATCAAATTAATCCATTCCTAGCAATTAATTTGGATTTTACTTTCATCATATCTTTTTTTCATCGTTAGAGTTCATTTGAGGTCTATTTACTACTGAATGTTTAATAATAGTTGGACGTATTAAGCAATACAGATTAATGGATCTCTTTGATCAGCGGAGTTAATTTCATACAGAAATAATAAGACAAACAATGACCAAAAGCCTAAATATATGGTGACTACGGATACGGATATCGGCGACGAGCTTTTTGAGACGATGCCACGTTGACAACAGTCGTACACGGGAAACCTCACAAAGCGTTTAGCTGATAAGCTATCGATGCTGAAGTTAAGCCGGGCAGAATTACTTCGTTCAATTAGAAACACTAGTTTTGCAACGTCACATTTTGCTACTCTAAAATGTTCTAAGTTCCGTCAACGTTATATACCACACGAAGAATATATACCACACAAGCGGTGTTATGTATACGAAGTGCTGTTTTTTGGCGTTTCGCATAGAATGATCCTTTAGAATTTCAATTTGGATCTAACGTAAATTAAGCATAACCAATGATCAGGTTGTTATGCATAGAACTAACTTATCGATTAGTGAGATGATGGAGTTCAGTAATCGAATTCTGACTGAAAAATGTACATTTTCAAATTTTATGCGCAGTGGTACTGCTGATGTTATCAGCATCGAAATTCAATTAAAAAAATAACACCACTGGTTTTCTAAATACGACTCTACATATATCCATTCTACGATGTTTTGTAGTACAAAAATTCAGTTACCGATTATGAAGTGCGCTATAAACTGAATAATCTGCACTTACAGACTGAGGGATGGCATTCGGACAGAGATTACCGTCCTGATCGAAGTCTTCATCACCAAAGTGATCTCTGAAAGAAGTATACACAAATCAAGTTTTGATTATGTTTCAGCCACTTCAAATACATGCGATAAAACGAGAATAGCTCAAAAAAAACTTTGAGCGGAACCAAAGGTTGCCGTCATTCGGAGCGCGACTGAAGATGGCAGAGTAATTCGTAGCATTACTAAGACAACTAAACGGGCTTCTGAATAAATTCCTTATTGGCTGTAGCAGTGTCATTTTCTATTCCACAAATGCGCGTCATTAAAAAAATCGATTAAGCATTTCACTGTGATTTCTTTAAGGCATTGAGGCTGACGTATTCTTGGATCTATAATGTCAAGTAAATGGGGGAAAAGAGGGCTTTTTCCTTTCGTGTTATTACATAAATCGACATTATTCAATTTAGTGATTTTTAAAAGTATTGTCGCCCTATTATAGGTTGACGAGCCGATCAAACTATCACACAGTTAGGCTTTATTCATAGCTTTTTGTTTTTGTGATTTAATTATCGATAAAGAAAGATCCACTAACAAATGAAAACAGTGACCTTGTTAAAAACGAAAACAATGTCATGTGTACTTTATGCATGACGAATACAATGTTATGCGTCGACCATTTTAAATTAAAGAATGTACCAATACAAATAAACTCTATTTCAAAATAAGTGCCTCAGGTTCAGTTTACCTAGTCTAATAGGGATGAGAAAATGATTTAAAATGTAACTTTTTTGTAGAAAAAAGAATATACGGGAAACAAAAAGACATTTTGATAACATATCCCAGTCGAATAGTTACTAACTGTCCTTCATGTGTACTATGAGAGCTTATAGGGCAGACCTTGTTTTGCTAACTGAACGCAAAGTTTAAGGTTAACAGGTGATGCCTTCTAAAATGTTGGCATTCACTCCCATTTACTTTAAATATTGCATATACAAAATACATCATCATCATCATCATCGCCACACAAAATAATCATCATCTTCTTCTTTTAAAATTGAGATCTTCCACAAAGTCTACCCAGGTAAATTAACTCTTGACTCACTCAGGTTTCGTGTAATCTGAAACAAGTTGAAACTGGGTCATAGGGTCTTCCTCAAGCAAAAATAACAGAACCTGCTCTATTTTCAAAACAAAAAATTATATGAACCCTTAGTTGCTAGGTCTGCCGGCACCGATGCTCCGGTAATAAAATTTTATACATGCTCACGTGTATTTATGGGAGTTCAGGCAAGATTTATGGCGCTACTATGAAACCCGTCATTATTCTTATATTAACGCTCAATTTCGGATCTGTGTTCAATGGAGTGTTCATGCAATGCGCGATGACAAGTCCATTTATCCAAAACGAATTAAATGGCAAAATGCACAAGACGCTAGAGAGGTTCTAGGATTATGGCTGTTAGTTCACACAGATTTATGTGTTGCACAGAATAGTCTTTCATAAAACTTTAGAACCAAAGAAAATAGCTTCTAGAATTCTTCTAGAACTTCTAGAAAAGAAAATAGAAACTAGATTAAATTCTGTAGATACGGAAACACTGACGCGATGGTGGTGTCTCATTTACACTATAATGTAAGGCGTATTTATGGTAGCAAACCTATAGTAAGATAATGTAATAGGCGTCACCGAATGATCTTTATTTACTTAACTACTTTATCAGCATCATTATGCGTGTCTTGTTAATTTATGTTAAAGAGCTGTTTTAGTTATTATGCGATCTCAGAACTGCTACACGTAAACAAGATTACTCTAGTAATCGAATGGGCTTTTTAATTTCATTGTCCCGCACTAACAGCAACAATACCATTGTTATAGATGAGATTATATTCGCTAATACTTTCGAGACACATGTTTACCTAGCACATACACTCGGTCAATAAAGTACCGGAAATTAGTTGTGTGAAAAAACGTGTAAAAGATTTAGCACTAAGTTAGGTATGCAAAATAGGTCTACTGCGTACAAATCTACGAATTGATTTGTTTATGAGTATTGATTCATGCTAGCCAGCCTTAGGTATGCTTAACGGTTTCTTTGCGGCCAATAAAATAACATCGAAAAAAGAATTTGTCATTTGTTTCAGGTGGTCTTGGGTTTGTTCTGATTTGCTGAAGACAGACTACTGCTAACATTATCAGCACAACCAACTAGTGCTGCAATCAACGGTAAGGGAAAATAGCAAACTAAAATGTGTAGATATGAAAGCCGCAAAAGAAAGTGCCTACAGAAACGGCGCTTCACAGGCGTATCTTTCCGTTTCCATTTTAAATCGTTGGGAGACGACATTTACCCAGTTGCACAGATTAGTTAGGAAATCCGAGGTTTATTTTTGCGAAATCTGCCTTGTTTGAACTCAAAATATTAACTGTGTACTTCCAAAAAAGTTGAGCGTGTTTTATATATTTCCGTTACTTCCAGCAAAATCTAATATAAACCAAGCTATCTTCTAGGCCTGACATAACTGTAAAGATATTTACTTCAACGAAAACAAACGGACTAGATACCTGTTTTGTTTGAAAAAAATTCCATCGCGACTAATCTATGTGGTAGTGGCCTTCTATTTAAACGTTTTTTTAAAGTCAATCAGTTTGGCTTAGGCGAGTGTCTTTGCCCAATTAATCTTGCAGAATCGTTCGGTGCGTAGCGAATTTTGATACAAATCACAAGGATATGAGAACTGAATTAATCCCAGTTGCGAACTTCTCATAGAGCGATAAGACCCTCTTTTGTTATTACTGTCTGTGCAATTAAATCAGTTTCGTTTTACGCGCAATACATGTCTTTACTGTTTCTCAGTTAATTGTCAGCATGTAGTATTCACTAGTTTAGCATTACGCTGATGTCCATTACCCGCAGGCACGATGTCACCGGGATCGTAATTATCTAATTCTAATATATGTTACTCGTGCCGTCTTCGTACGAATGTACTGCGTCTATCGTACAGTATGATCACTGCCGAAATCATCTTCTCTCTATACTAATCCACAATTTTAACTACAAAGTTTTTACGCAGCGTTTTTAAGGCGAAGCGGTCACGCACCGACATACATAGTTGCCCCCGCGCGGTCGCGGCCCTTCATGCTTTAGAGCGAGTGCTTGGAGCCATCCGTTACGCGGGACCGTCCTCCGCGGGGTGAACGGCATACATCGATCTGAGCGGACTCCACAAATTACACAAGTGTTCTCTCGAGGCATTTCTGCGGGGCGATGGTGCACTGTTGTTGTAATGTAAAACAACTTTTCGCGGCACTACGTATCGCACTGCACAGTTACAATCTCTGCACCACGGACAACACTTTCTACAAAAAGTCAGCTAAGACAAAATCTTCGCAGACAATACTTTACAAAATTTCTTGCGTTATGTCGAAGTCACAGACAGCTTGTAGGTGTCCGCGAGTTGGCGAGTTTCGGCGGGAATTCGTGCGACAACACAGCGTCTGTTAGTAAACAGTGCTCAAAACAATTATGTAGTTCCTGTTGCGGAGAAAATATTTGACATGAACACGTCAAATGAAGCTTGACGTTATTTCAAGTATTTTGATGCATCGGATCTCTTTCTTTGTTGCTTTATTTCCCATATCGTTTGATGTTCACTGTGAAAGGGTTGTTCGTATCAAAACTCGCAGAGACAAAAAGCGGTTTAGATGCTCCGCGTAAAGGTCTCTGCTCCCTCTGTCCATTAAAATGTACACTGCGGTTATTACGTATATCGAAACTGCAATATCTTTACGGTAATATTTGTGCTCTGAGTGAGGCAATAGCAATGAACGCATTTCGCCAGTTTTGTAATCGAGGTCAACGATATTGTAAAGTATCTTCGGGGGCTCCTAATACAGTTTGTATCAGAGACATATGACACGAACCAGCTAGCCGACGCGTCTAATGTTTGTTGTCTTCGCAGGAATTGACCAGATGATCATTACACGACAGGAAGACTAGAGCCCCCGCACGAAATGAAGCACCTGCTGCGGACTTGATCGTGCCAGCGCGTGAAAGCTCACACAACATTATTGTTATTATTATCACCACATAATCAAGGTTGCCCTTCACAACAAACATACACGTATTCTGCTATTGCTATAAGTAATAAAGGTTTCTCTAAAAAAAACAGCATATTGAAATTCTATGACATGTTTTATAAATACTAGTGTACCGCCGGCCTTTTTTCGCTAAACGGTATTATATCTGGGTTATTCCAATACTGCGACACACTGTCGGTTTAAAACATTTCTTGACGCCAAATAATTCACAATTCATTGTCTCACTAACAAATGCGATCAATTTAAATGCTCGCGGGCTTTCTGTGACCGCTATTTTAGCAGCAACCATGTTGTCTGCTGTGCGGCCGGTAAAAGCTAGCCCTGTTGGCCCTTGGAGGGAGTGGCGCTACCGGCCCGTTCTGCCACTCTCCCTCTTCCCCTCTGCCTCTATCGCTGTTTTGCGCTGCATCGCACTAGGCTTTACCGATTTCCAGTTGTTTGGGGCCGTATCTTGTTGAACATTTACCCTCACTGCTGCGACGGGCGCAGCCGCTGAATCGGACTTCTCCGCCGTCTTTATCAATAGCAGTCGCCGTGGTCGTACGATTGGAATCAATCGCCCCGCAGAAGTCGGCACCTAGCCCCGCTAGCACAGCCACAATCCGTCGAGAAGGTGCGAGTAGCATCACCGTCGTCGTTGCTACTGCTGCCGACATCATTAATGGCAGATTGACGATTGTCGGCTCGAGGCTGATGCTTCCCCTTCTGCCGCCTCCCCAACTCGCCGTTATTTCGCTAGCTTGTACGCAGTTTACGTCTGTCTATGTCTGTGTATTTTGCTGATGCTGATGATTGTGCCGTTGTGGCTGTTGGACGATTGGTAAGTTGCTACTGAACAAGGGGACGGCACCCGCAGCGAGCGAGGAACGAACGAGTAAACAAGCGCCATCCATCCAGTCAGTCAGCCGGACGGACGGACAGACAAACAGTGGTAAGCTAGCAGACAAGGCAGGAACCGAGCGTTCGACCGAGTAACTCGAATCGCGGTGAGTTGCTACTGCTGAGTGCTGTGTAGCGTGGTAGTTGGTTAGCCATTCTCATCGAGTAACAACAGCAGCGGGGTTGTAATCATCGGCATCATCGCAACAAGGGGCTATTGCAGTAGAGATAGCGGGATATACCGCCCAGTAGACGGGCTGAAGAAGCGGAGCGAACATCCCCCGAACATAAAGAACCCCATCGCGAATAAGAAGCGACAAATCAATAACAACAACAACAGGAACAAGCAAACCATCGACAGAATCAAACGTTACATTACCAACGGTACCGTGACCGTCCGGCTGTATTCGCACGGTGAGAAACAGAAGTTACCAGCGTTGCCTTGCGGCGGCTGCGCTTTTCGGCACCAACAGAAAAAGGAAAGGGCAGTTTGTTCATAACTCCTTGTGTGTATGTGTGTGTGTATGTATGTGTGTGTGTGTGTGTGCATGTGCGTGTGTGGATTAGGTGAAAAGGAGTTTGCTTGCGTGAGTTCGTTCTTCGTCAGCCGTTTCTCTTTCTGTGAAGTTTGTCGGCCGAAGAGAGAGTTGAGTTTGCAAGTTGTTGCTTCTTGTGTGTGGTGTTCGCTACTGAAGTTTAGGTGGATGTGATAGTTAACAGCCAAGGTAACAACGGATAGCGGTAGACACATCAATTTTTGGGCTAGCCAAGCAGCCAGTTAGTCATTCATAGGAGCAGTGCTCGCAATTTCGTCTTTCCGTAGTGCCGTTGACGACTAGCCGCCGTATTCTCGGTTATTGGAGTTGAAGTAGACTGTGTGTCTGTGGGCCTCGGTGACTCTTGCTGGTAGCCAGTGCAAGCAGTAATCTCTTCGAGATTCAAGAAAGCTCAGCATACGAAGAAGCGTCGATCGCTGTAACCCCGATGCGATCAGTGAATCTCAACAACAGCAAAAGAAAGTATAACGGTATCAACGATACTATAAGTTACAGCTCACTTGTGTTACTGCTAGCTGGCGACTTTTGGAGATAAGAAAAGATTTCATTTTATTCGACTTTTCAAATCGTCCTTACTCTAATATTAGAGTGGTCTTGGATTTGCCCTTCCATAGCATCTCTGGAGGTTTTTAGCATCCACGTCTCAGTAACGGCTGTGTCCAGCCGGTGTGCACCTGTAGATGGTCCTATTGCAGAGACAGTGACGCCGCTCGGTTGCTGACCCGTCACCAATTGCATTTGCTACTTCTGTGTTGTTTCATTTGCCCACGTTGCTTTTTTGCTATTCCCTCGTATAATTATAGTGAGTTTGATAAAGTCGAATCTGATCTGACGCCGTTGAAGAAGTTAAGAAAAAGAAAAAGAGCGTGTTTGTTTATTAACAGAAATTACAGTGACAGCTGCTGTTAAAGCAGCAATAATAAAAACAACAACAACAACAATCATATCAACGGAACGGAAAATGAGATTGTAGAAACGACAAGAATATTCTGAATAAAGAGAATAGTTAGTGGCTGCGATTGTCTGTGTAGCGATCTGTCTCTTTATGAATCCGTTTCTGTTATTACTACGTGCGTGAGTGGGGCACCTCACCTCCCGAACTGAGAAAACGTTGCTTAGGACGCTCACTAAAACGGTTTCCTCCCTCCGAAAGGTACCCGGTATCGCATAAATAAACCAACCCAACCTGGCCTAAGTGTTTAGTGTGTTGTGCCTGCCTGAATTGGTCTCGGTGCTTGGATTTCTAAGCCTGGCACCTCAAACAGAAGCAATATAAAAAAAAAAATAACTCTTCTACTGTAACAGATCATCAGCATTACAGACGTGGAGGCTGCACAGCCTTGGAAGAGATAATGACGGAATATAAGCTTGTTGTGGTCGGCGGTAAGTTTTCCGAGTCCGTGATGTAAATCCTAGCGCCATAGATCCAACTGTATGTTTATAGTTAATCACGTGAAACAGGAATAAAAAAGTATTTATAATGTACAATTATAATAAGCATTATAGTTATATGTTGTATCGTTAGTCTAGGCTGGCAAGTGTATATTAACATTTTTCGAGGGTTTCTCAAGGGATCCGCTTCGTTCTACAGCTAGTTGTCTTTTTTACTTTGAAAATATGTCAATTGCTCTTATTACATAGATTATATTTCAGCGTATATTTAGGCGGGTTGTCTCTTGAAAAAGACCCACTTCAGGAGCACCTCTTTTGATGTAGATTTTGCCTACTTGTCTCTAAGCTAATTTATTCTTAACATTTAAAGCAAAAAAGATTCAAGCCGAAGTAATGGTACTGAGTGAACTGTATTGAATTATTAAAGCCTTTGGAAAAACTTTCGTTCACGTCGGCAAGAAGCGTTGCATAGCCCCCTGAGTAGAATGGGACCGATTGATTATCACTTGGCGCCCTAACCTATCCGCGCTTCAACAATGGCGACGCCAAGAAGGCCAGCATTACGACACAGGCGTTGCCCATGTTCTAATCAGATTTTGTGCAAATACAAATTCTAATCGGACTTAATACATTACGCTGCTGAGCAAATTTGCTTCATGTTGGCGACTCTCGTCTTATTTATCGATGGATCTTCCCTCTCAACTTGATTCATGCTCCCCATGGTCTTTGTTTCGTTGTTACATATAATAATAACGATAAAGATGATTCTCAGTGGTAAGCGTCTTATCGAATTTTCAGACCATACATATCTACTTCATGTGATAGACATTTTTAGTGAAGCGTATATGTTATGTTTTAATCGTGTTTCCTAAATGCAGTTGCTCATGTTCTCTTTCGCGGTACGTCTAGCAGTCCCTCATCTTTCGTTTCAAAGCGATGTCGTACTGATATTTTTCGCAATGGGGATTCGAAGTGCTGCCTCTGCTAGCAGGAGTCTTCTATTAGCGATCTATGTTGTAGAAGTACTGGTCGCCTCCAGCGATAGCGACGCTAAGTTTCGCTGCCCTGCGAAGCCGAGCAGACAACAACAACATCACCACAACTGTACAGGGACGGACACAAGCGCGAGCGGTTTCCGCAGCCACAGCTGTGGCGATGTCGCCAGCCGTAATGACGGTGGCGACGACATGGACAATCGCGACCGTGGACATACGCCCTGCCATGTTCATTGAGCGCACCCACACAGGCTGTTGCTACTGGATCTTCTTTGTTGTTTAGCTTAGCTGTCGATGCGACTTCTCCGTGGGTGCGGGGGGAACATCTGCGTGTTTAACTGTAGTCTTTTCTGTTTAGCGTTTATACACTTTAAGTCAAGACACACCGCCGCTACTTAATTCACTACTCAACTAACTATGCTGTAGCTAATTAAACAAGCTAGTGATCAGTATAATCAGTAATAACCTGTATTACGTGTAGTCGTGCTGACGGTGGCGATTTTGCTTGATGGGCCCATCGTTACTGATTGTGTCAAGTATCAAAAGCCGCGTCTAGAGGAATGCTTATTGGCAGTAGCAGACGTAAAATTAGAAACATTTATATTGAATTGAAGATTTTAGCTTTTGTGGCACAGCGCTTCAAAGGAGACGAACTAGAAATTTTCGTCGAGTAAGGATGGAATCATTCAGGAGCTGGTTATAGAGGTATGATATCGTCTTCTAGTTTGAAAAGGCTGGTTAAAAACTACGTATATGAATTGAGTAATACTGACCAAAGCTACAAGTAAATAATACGTAAAATGAAAGAACGCTGTCGGGACTAGTAGTAGTGGTACCTAATTAAAACAGCACGTATTGTAGTCGGTATGCCTTAATATCATTTCAACTGACCATAGCTTCACTCTTCTTGGATGCAAGTACTGATTTTTACAGGTATTTTTACTGTGCAAACAATGCGTGCATCTGGGCCCTAATTCGAGGTCCTGTCGATAGCTCCGTAATTGAGATCAGCACAAAGAGTAGAAGGTGTTTACTGGAATTAGTGATAATTGGGTAGATATACTGGCGCGGATTTTTCCAGTGTAGTTGATGCAGCAGTAAATGACAAAGTCTTGATGTTCTTTCATTTTAGGAGATGCAAGTAGTCTCTTAACTGTTAGTATCAAGGAAATTGTGGATACAAATATACTGCGGTGGCTATTTTTGCAGTGGAAATATGCGTTTATCTGATGATTAATATTCGACAGTTTTCGAAAGTAACTGTTATATCAAAAACCATTCATCAGCTAAATCGTATTCTATAGGAACCTAGATATGAGGTGTCGAAGTAGCGCGCAGAATCTATATTGCACTCTAAATAACGCTTCCTTTACTAGCGTACAACTGGAGCAGATTTAAACGCTGATATACGGTATACATTGTTGGTTCTTCTCTCAAGTCTGATTCTACTATAGGGATGACTTCATTGTTTTAATATTCAGCTTTCCATGAGTAGAAAAAAGAATGCTATACTTTTGCTATGCTTATCATGGCATCTTTCTCTGTTATAGACTGCAATTGATATTATCGTTTTCCAATGTCTGTAATAATTATAGTAATCACAACGATCATAATAGCGATCGCAACACAGCGACCTCAACGGCACTAGAATTCGCAGCTATCATCTCTACTGTCATTGCAGCATGTGCGGTTGGTTGAAGTTCAATATTTATCTGTCTGTGTATCAAAACGGTACTAGCTGCGAAGGTTGGAGGGCGAGATGCTCTCTCCAGATTACCCTGCGCTCTATCGTACGCCGGCGCTAATGTTCGTTCTCGCAAGAGTAGTGGAGGACGTTTGTTAGTAGCCTGTTTCGATGCGTTTCTGATACGCTGCTTTTCTGGCTCATTTGCTCGTTGGCCAACTGACTTCCTCTATTATTGTTTGCATAGTACTTGACAGCGTTCTTGCTAGTTGTTGTTGTTGTTGTTGCCAATATGTTTCTGTTACTATATATTGACTTGGCTGCCGTTGCTGTGATAACACCATACGACAGACTGCTAGGATACGACACAACATAGATACAGTGGCTGGTTCTGTGCTGTTCTGGCCATTAATGCTGCTGTCGTCGATTACCGTTGATAGTTGCTGTTGCTGTGACGAGTGTCAGCAGCAAAAGAGGTGGCAACAATAACGACGGCGACGACACAGCGCAACAAGAGTTCGTCCGAAGAATGCCCGTGGCAATCGCCACCGTAGATCCGCTGACGGCGTCGCCGTCACCAGCAGCTACAGCATCGCCGCGGTTGATCGTAGTGTGGATATGCGACGGTTCTGGTGATCCTAGCGGTGAGCCAGTGTCCCTTTCATTTACTCCCTACAGAGTTATAATGCTCGTGATGATGACGATGGCTAGGAACTTCACGGCGGTTTGTGTCCGCCGGCAGCGGCAAAAGCGATAGCTACTGCAATAGCCATTGCTCCATTGCTGCTGTTGCCGTTGTTTTCCAAAGAGAAAAAGCAAAAGGGGAAACGCTAACTGCTGTTAATTTTTATTGAGAGAGGAGGAACAGCCACAGCAATTGTAGACAGCAGTGGCAAGCTCATAGAGAAGTTGAGTTACTATTATTCACATTATTGGCTGGTCACCGATGGAAGCGTTGGACGCAGTCGCGTCGCTATTCGCACCTCGATAACGTAGCACCAGCATTTGCTCTAGCAGAGGCTTAATTATCGTTGCGAAACTTGAGGTTCGTACTGCAATTACCTACCACCAGTTGCCGCAGCTGCTGCTGATGACAGCAGTGCTTCTGAAATATTGGAGTGATGAACTCTCCAAGTAATTGCAGCGGCGGCAGCAGCAGTAACAACAGCAGCGCCAATCTGGGGCGGCGACGAAGATGAGAAGAAGCAATGAAGACGAGACGACGTGACTCGACAGCGTGGTTACTAACTATGTGTATATATGTATTGGGATATCCTTCTGTACGATTGCATCGGTAGATAGATTCATTGTTACTGTTATCAACAGTCGGTTGTGGCAGCTTATGTTACGGTTATTGCTATCTTAATATTACTGTTATGATTGTACTTTACGGAAAATGTTAACTTTTATATTTATAGTATGTATTTATAGTTTGTTTTATGTTATCGATTCATTTTTTGTAAAGCATTTCAAGCAATCGATCAAAGCATTGGAGATAATCTTCTTTCTTTTTCCACGTTAAGACAGAATTTAGCGGACAGAAATTAGCCACTGTCCCCCGACGAAAACTTTTGACGGTAACACATGTGTCGCACTGCATAATTAGCAAACTGGACCATTGCTAAATATGCTATTAATTGCGCTTAATAGACCCTCTCTGAGAACACTAAGCGCCAAAGGAAGAAATATGCAACAATCATAGCAAGCATGGAAACCTAACCGCAGTAGTTCTCGTGTAGAGGCACTCCAATTAAACCACTGGCAGTCATGTATTATCGACAGAGCTGTTGGCGACCGTTTTTGTTGTGTTTTCGTTGATGGTCGTGAGCCTATTAAAGACTAAGGCCTTCAAGTTGTTTCTGCAGGCTTTCACGACACACCTCATAGGGGAATGCAGACAAAACGAAGATACGGAGACAATCAAAAGAAATGACAGTGAACAAAAAAAGAAAAGGCCGACTGGACCAGTGAATAGTAGTAGCAAGACTATTTGCCGTAAACGTTGAGGATGTAGGGGAGCGTCAAATTATGGGTTATCTCACCTGAGATTTACTTGTTTTCCGAGTTTTCGTAATTTGGAAGACATTGGTCTTATGGAACGTTTGTATAAGTAACTAGTTGGCTTGCACAGAAACCTTGAAAAGCTACTCAGACATTTTTGTGCTAGAAACACGAAAGAAGAATTGAAAAACTGTTAACCTCCTGCGGTCGGGCACCGGTAACAGCTTATCCATCAAAGAATATCATTGCTAAATCAAGATGATGGTGAAACGGGGTTCAACAGGGCCCTTATCGAATCATCTAATTATAGGCTAATAGGGACGCTCTATCACGAAACAAACTCAAACGCGACATCGGCTAGCGAAAAAGGGAATGATCAGGCTATCGTTAAAGCTTTGTGGCGGTGGACTGTGCCGTCAAATCAACCAAGAAATTTCCAATTAATAAAAATGATGAATGATCAATAATCCGAAAATTACACATTACAAGCTTGCCGACTGCAAATTTCTGAACAAAATTTCAAAATGCGGACGTGAACTAGTTCGAAATAAAAATGGGTCCATGAAATGTGTAATATGATAGTAATACAGTTTTCAAACGTCGAATTGGCTATTTTCTTTCAACGTAATATATCAAAGCTCTTGGTGGTTACACGCTTTAAACTATTCGACACTCGCAGCAGTCTTTAAAATTTAGCTGTTTTTTTTTAGGTATTTTTTTAAAACTGGCGGCTTTCTAAATTCAATGAAAACCACAATATGAGACATCCAAAATGACGTCAAAAAAAGACCTGCCCTGAATTATGTAAAAGTACCATGGCGCACAGTTTGAGCCGATTTGTCTAAATTAAGAGCCTGGCTTGAATAAAGGAGTAAACAAGTGTTGAAATAATGTCGAAGGTTCGTACCAGGCTCGTCATAGGTTATCGAAATTTATAATAGTAGTAAAGAGTTGTTGATCTTTTGCAAATACTTCTTAGAATCGAGAACGTCATGTGCAGATGGCATATTTCCCGCTTATTTTTTGAGCTTTCATAGTATTTTGTTTATCGTTGCTAAGCTGTTCAGTTTTGATTTTAGATTTGGATAATATTTTTCGAAATACATTTCCAGTGCATTAGCAGGCTAAGGCAACACAATTTCAGGTGTGTCTTAAAGGACTTAAAGGAATATCTATTTACAAGAATAGGTATTGAACGCTGCATATTTACATAGCATTTTTCTCGTGAAAACTGAGCTTTCGTGCGTTCTATTGTGTGTCGAGCTTTGTATGCAAAGAATGGTAAACTGGAGTCGCAGCCGCGCTGTAGGTGTAAATCTGTACTCTCTGAGGAACGTCGGGAGCCGTCAGATGTGTGCAAGTCATTGCGTGATCTGAAAATTCAAGAGCTAATTTGAAGACACCTTAAAAGCATGGATTTATCGATGCAGTGTGATGCTGTGCCTATGATTTAACGGTCATTATAAACCCATGTGGAGGAATAGAGAGAAATACTGCCGTTGTGTCAGGGGCTTATTCCTTTCTTCAAGGCTAAAAACTCTTTTCGTCATACGCTCGTACATTAGGTCATTGTCTACAGATTTATAAATATAAAGGCTCAAGTTTTACTTCAAATGGAGCAATATTTATCTATATGAGCCAAGTTGGGTTAGTTTATTATTAGTTGTTGTGTATTTTGCTGGTCTGATGAACTGCTCGATTTGTGTCGTGTTTTCTCGGGGTTTTATGGAAGAAAAAGAACTATTCAGTTCGACTATCAATTTGCATGGGCTGCAACGGCGCCTGCAGACACACACACATATATATATATATGTAATTTTTAAATTGTTGTTTAAATAAGGGAGAAGAAAAGCTAAAGCAAAAACAAAATTTAGTTTACCATACGGCTTTAAACTACCTTAAATCGTATCAAACGTTTTCGTCTGTAGGATGAAAGAGTCGATATTGGCTCAGAAGGGTCGGTATTGTACAATGTCTACCTACCGAAATTTTAATGTCCTTGCTCGGTAGTGTGCATCACGATTATAATGTAAATCAATTTACGATGCGACTTCGACATGTGGGTATATTTAATCCTAAAAACTTCGCTAAATACTCACTATTCTGAGAAAAGGATAATTTTTTCTACTGTCTTATAAACTGGTGTTAAAATCCAAACTTTGAAGTTTTCTTTGGGCCAAACCTTAGTTGCAGGCGTTAATTGTTTTTTTTTTTCTATCCCTCTGCCTGAACTCAAATCTTGCTGGCCAAAATTAATATCACTTTGTTGTTCGTGGTAATTGTGTTATGTCGCGACCTGAACGACATCGGCATAGTTGAAATGTAATCATCTCTTAGAGATTGCTAGTTTTAGAATGCCACTGTTTAATAGAGCGTATCGGTATCACCTGCGCGGTAACTGTTCAGCCTTATTTTTTTCTATATATTTTGCTCGTGCATTCAAAAGGCATTAGCAAGCGACAGCACGCGCTACAGACATTCTTTTCGGAAAGCCCTTTTTAAATATCAAAGAAAGGAGATCACTGATAGTATGCGATCATGAATGGAGTTCCCGTAGAAAATATGATTTCTAGTTTACTGAGTAGGAGTAGTCATTTTAGTCAGTTTCAGGCGAGCATCGATTGTTATGGATCATTATGTTGAGTCACTAACTGTAGCAGTATGTTGGTTCGTAGATAACATAACCGTTGCTGCTGCGCGTATTGTGGTGTTGTTGTCTAGTGACCCAGCCCTAAGACCAAATATAGCGTTAACTTCAAGAAAGCAGGCTTTACCTTATTTTGGGTCCTGCAATGTAACAAGTATGTGTTCATTTTTCCACTTCACATATTGTGCACTGTCTTCCCGCAGTAGTGTTACGGGTACCGAACAAAATATGGCTATAAAAGACTCATTCAAATGGAACGGATATTCACGGAAGGGAGACGATTTCTTAGAATCACACTGGTAAAAAGGAAATATCAAAGAAGCCGAAGTGCTGCAGAGCAAAAAATGCTAGGACATACATACATCGTAAATGAAGACTCGACGATACCCATGCATTAAGCCGATTAAGAGACGAATAGGCTATTAAACATAGTCGGCAAAAATTAATTCTAACCAAAAAAGCAGCGTGTTACGGCTACTTGATGGACTAGCGGGAAACTCTAGTTATGTTTTGTTGCCCTGAATAAAATTCCCTGTAAAATACTCTGAAATTATCAAAGATGGCTATATATAGATGAATCCGATTTGTGTATACGGTCAAGGACATCTACCAGACAATTCTCGAGAATGTTAAGCAGGGCAAGAAAAACGCTGTGACAATTATCACTACAGACAGATGCTTGCGTACCATTATATTCTATCTACGGTTCGCAATGACGAATCATTCTACTAGAAAAGTGTCTTGAAGCACACTTCCAGGTTGTGGACTTTGTCTGTTGGGTCGAAATCTTCACAAGACTGTTAAAAACGCAGACTCGATAGTACCACTAATAATACTATCATCTAATTTTGCATAATTGACACAAAACGCGTCTACGTATATATACTTGCTGGAACGCACTAGAAGCAATACAACGTAGTGGGTATATGTTCTTGGAAGTGTACCTGACTAAATCAAACTGAGTTTTCCTCCCTCCCGTCTCATTGTCACATATTATTGCTACTTAGATTATAACATAATAATTATACGATAATTATTGAAACATATATATAATAGTCATATAAACGCGAACAACGGTTCAGGGTCGACGTGCTGCCCGCGCATGAGAACGGCTATGATGATGGTTAGTATAAGATTTTGACCTCCTCTTCCAGACATTTTCTTAGTAGGCGAGAAGCGTAGTCGTCGTGCGTCCATGTAGACGTCATGATGACGCAAAAATAGTGACAGGGGACAACTTCATGTGACCCCTTACCTTTATCTGAGGGGTCTCTAACGGGACAAACTGGGGGATTGCTCCTTCTCTATGATCTTCCGGTGGTCAACGGTGGACGGATAACAGCTGATACCCACACAAATGGAAAAAAGCATATAATCAAATATTCGCTGTTTGCACAGGAAGCACTGCTCAGCGAGAATATCCATCGCTTTTTATGAGACGCTATGCTTTGTATGTGTTTCGGTCAAAAGGTTAAATAGCGTTTTACATTTTAGTGCTTTTGTGATAAAAGCCTTTGAGGCTATACGGGCACTACTTTTCTACATGTCTCATCTTGTAATTGCGCGGTGAATCTGTTTTTTGGGCAAACAGATTAGTTAACAACGGTCCTAAACGAATCTAACTAAATGGTAATTTGCATATTTTCGAAGAAAAGGTGAATAAATCCAGGTGGGTTGTATGGCGGCGCTATCATAGCTTTCTTCAATTCGCCCATTTGTTGTCGTAATAATATATAAAGCTTAGATGTAGACGAGCGAAAGAGTTACCTTCCAATAACGACATAGAGATGCTATTGGTGAATGCATGTATAGAAATATTGAATTGAGCGTTAAAATGCACTCTGTTTTTTTGCTATTCTTATTATTATTATCTTCTTCTGCTGTTACTCATCATGCTACTTCACCTGGTTTCCATTCAAATGTCGTCCTGAAAATGTGACATGTTAGTGGCCTATTGAACAGCGTAAAATCAGTTCTATGTTAATTGTTTTAGGAAGTTTACAGATTATTTTGTTCCATATGGGGTTAACAAATACCGAAACGATATGTTCCGCCAAATTTCCGGTGCAACACATGACACTTTGCTATCACATGCTGCCATTTCGAAAGTCCATCTAACCAATAATTATTGAACGGGCTAATGGATGAATGTAATTCGTAGGATCGTTTCAACTAGAAGCAACATATCTATCGAAGCGAAGGAGGTGATAGGCGTTAACGTAGCATAATTCGTTAGTGTTAGCTAGGCCGTGGTTATAGAAGTAAGTGTCATAAAAATGACTCGAATTAACTCGACATTTCTATTGCATAAAGGAGACGAGATCAGAGAAGAGCTGCCACTTCAGTTCTTTGCAGAAATATACTACAGTAAAGGAGAAATGTTTTGCTATTGCGATATTACGCATGGATGCAAAAAGGTGGGACACCAATGAACTGTGAAATGATGCGTATTGTGACGGTAAAAAATGAGAAGAGCTTGGATTTGCATTGAATGCTATTTATTCGTCGGAAATTTATGTTTAACTGATGCGATTCAGTTGTGTTGTTAGAAATAAGAGGTAGCGTTGCTTTACGGCGGGACCGCTCGATCCCATCCACTAAATCAGATCATACCTTACGAGTTTAATATAACGTTGGACTAAGGACGAAGTAGAAAATATACATACTTTTCTATGGAATTGTTCTTTATTCGAAATGATATGCAGTTTCATTATGTACCTGGGCGCGTATGTATGTGCGTGTGTGTTTATCTACCCGCGTATGTACGTCTGCATGGGCGTGTGCGTATGTAGTAATTTGTCATAAACGTAGCATTTGATTGCTTAAGAGGCCAGTGTTTATCCTTTGTGCCTGAGTGGGCAAATATAGCAACGGTATAATTATTCTTTTTGAAACACTATAACTACTCCAACTCTATGTATAACCGTAATTATGTAGTAAACCCTAGTTAAAACTTATTCATGATTGATGATCGTTTCGTAGAAGCATGGAAATAATTCTATTGGCAATAACTACACCATAATAATTATTACTGTCGCATTACTGCAATGTTGAGTCAGAACTTGACTAATGTTGGTATATTTTGTCATTTATTTTTCTTTATTGATTGTATTTCTCGTTCCAGCCGGTGGCGTCGGCAAAAGTGCTCTCACGATTCAGCTCATCCAAAATCAGTAAGTTGTCGCTCTTCTTCTCCACCGTTTCAGCTCAATGGTTCCTGTGGTTTCTATAGGGAATTTGTATCTTGCATTTTAATCCTCCTTGTCTCTAAATGTAGTAGACAGTAATTTACTAGATCATAACATTCGCCGCCCACAGGTAGTAGTGATCTTCCTCCAAAAACCAGCTACGTCGACTTACAACTTATCGCGTATTCTTTGCTATGTTTGCGTCATACTTGGCATCTCTGGATCTGTTTTAAATCGACTAAACCGCCTAAATTCAAGCGGCTCTACACTCAAACCTTTCTCTTTTTCCGGCGGCGTATGCACGAAGTTCGTTCACCCATTTCGATCGCAATAATCTTACGTCACTCCGTCCATCGAGCATTGGTCCGTCGTCAATTTATGCCATAATGCCGTTTAGTCATAATAGTGTGGTTGCTATTGTAGCAACGTCTGCTCTTGTAAGTTATTTCTCAGTTGATGCTAATTGATTAGCCGCGCTTAGGGGTTTTAAGATTTATATCGAAAAGATTCTGCTATTGGAATTATGCAGCGATTTAGAATTAGACCCCAGCTATTCCTGGAACTGTTGCTGCTTTACTTTATGCAGTGACGGAAGCAATATTAGCAGCAGGTACCTCTGGGTCCGCCCCTGCGTTAGGACTAATTCATTTCTGCGGCAGCTAAGTCGTTTTTAGTGTTGGGTCGCCCTGGTAAAAGGGAAGCTATCGACAGAGACCTTTACAAAGGCGAATTCACATCGTACAGCCTTAAAGTTGCTGCCAGCTACTAAGTGACCATATTGCGTTCACGATATAGGATTAGCAGAGGGGTCAAGTTGGACGACACATGCGTTTCTGGGAATGAGCTTGTTCCAAGATTGGGTATAATCAATGATAATGATTACGGTATAAAGTGCTTTGACAGAATCAGCTCATTAAACGTATTTCGACAATGTGGCTCCTTTTCACGCTATATTGCAGTGTGATGTGGGTCTTTATATAATAATTCGGTTAACTCAATTTGAATACTTTGTGAACGCTACAATATGTTAAATTTCATCAAGTGTTTATCCTTCTGCTCTTCATTAGTTTAAAAAATAGTAATAGTGATAGATAGAATATAATAATACTAGTAATAGTGGTTAGCATTATATGGGGAATGTCTGACGCCGCATTTAGGTATGTTCTCCTACAAAACTGCATGCACTTTTCTGGAAGTGACCCCGATATTAGAAACCGAGTCTATGTAAGAATATTTGAGATTTGAGACAAAACCTTACCTTTCTACTTAAACCATAAAGTTTAATTATATGGCATATGAAACTAAATCAAACATTATTTTCCGCGTGCGCTTGTGAATCATTTCAGTTTCGTCGATGAGTATGACCCAACTATCGGTGAGTGTCTCCCGAAGCGGCTGTAACAATAGAACAGTTTGTTATCAGTTTTTACATTGTATACTATATCAATGAAACTAATTAATAAATTTAGCATGTTTAGCCCGTTCATAATCAAACTCTGAACTATTCAATTGCGTTTACACTTATCTAGCAGTTGTTTATTGCCATTTGTACAATAACACTATTGTTCCACTCTAGCCACCCAAACGTCTTCTAAGTGCTTTATTCGCCTCTCACCAAAAGAGTATATATATAGCGTCCCTAGCTGATATAACTGATACTAGCCATCTTTAAGCAAAATGCTAACGGGGATGCTGCAAAAGCCAGTAGCAACTAGAGACCCATGAGAGTTGCCCGAACAGGGTTACATAATATGAACCGGCCATGCGTGTGAGCTTTGCAATAGACATAAGTGTTCCTGTTCTCGGGCCTTTGTAGTTGCTCTGGGCGTTACCTTTGTGGAGGAGGCTTTGTAAGCATTACAAATTCATATATTTTTATACACATATACACCCACTGTTTATCTTGCTACCACGGTCTTTTCGCTGGAAAAGACCTAGGTGGTACTCACTGTAGCTGTTAGCTGCTTACCGGCTTTCGCAGTTTTGTAGCGATTCTTTTCTAGACATGGATTCAGAAGTGATGTATTCTGCAGCGACAGTGGTATCTGCGTGGGTCGATGATAATATAGGAGGCAGACATAGGCCATGTGGCATTTGACGTTGACTAGCATATGTTCGTTGTGGTATTATGTGGAGATGTGTTTGAGTGGGCGGGCAATTAACATGTGGAGACTACGAGCGCTGTTGTTGTCATCGGTTTGCACTAACGTTCTTGTTGTTTTCGTGGACACGATTGCTGCTGTCGCTGTTGTTGTTTGTGTTGATTGTGCTTTGCAGAGGATTCGTACCGCAAGCAGGTGGTCATCGATGGCGAGACGTGTCTGCTGGACATCCTTGACACGGCTGGTCAAGAGGAATACTCAGCAATGAGGGATCAGTATATGCGAACTGGGGAGGGCTTCCTCCTCGTGTTTGCTGTCAATAATGCCAAGTCCTTCGAGGATATCGCCATGTACAGGTGAACACAAAAACATTCGCGTGAGAACACGGATACGACATATAGCAAAAAAAAGTAAATAGGTCCAGCCAGTATTATTTGACTTATTCGTTTATATTGAATCATCTCTGTTATCAGCCTTTGTCGCGACTGCTATGCGACAAATTTGACATTTATAAACAGAAACCAGGTAGAAAAAAACTATAATAATTTTACTGATGGAAAAAATATCCGTCTTAACGGTTACCTTCTGTCCACTTAAGAAGGCAACGAAGACGTTACAAAATTTACGTATGTTTAAGGCAATAGAAATGTACCCTTTCAGACTTGCTACACTTTAATGCGAGGTAACTGTTGCACCCAATCTACTTGTTACACATACATGAATCCGGTAAATCGTACTATATTTAGAAGCACATAGATCAGTAAAATGTAATCCTTTTCAATCGTTTACACAGGGCTGGTTGCTTAACGAATTTCCACTGCGCTTTACAGAATACTTAAATTCAAACCGGACAGTAGTTAAAGGCATTACATCGAAATAGATTCAGTGGCGCTCACTTTCGAAATGTTAATCATTAGTCATTGATCCACAATAGAACGTTGTGTTTCACTGTGATTGTGTAATTTCGCACGTGACGCATCATAAAAGCATGCGGCCACAAGACTCATGACGTTGTTTGTCGAAAACAATCCCCCAAACGATTTACATAGCTTTAAGAGACGATTCAGTTTTACTGTCCAGATAATCGTAACATCAATTATATTTTCTAATTAGCCCTAGGAGTCTTTGTGTGACGATTTTAGAACTCGGGCTAAAGAATATTGTTCGATGAGGTTTCCCAAGTATTATTATTCCTTTCATGGTGAGTTCTTCGCTGACTCGGTAATACCACCTGCATCTGAAATAAAGCATGCGGCTTGATGGACAATATCAATCAAAACTTTTGTTCTGAACCTCTTAGTTTGGTCAACCAATACTTGAAGATGCAGGGTCTTTGCATTGCCCGATCTTTGCCTGCACCAAGGCATGACCTCTTTCTCTCTCATATATTTTGTCATTGACCTTTCATTTCTATTGGAAGGCGTGCGGTAGAAGTAAACATTACAAAACAGTGTGATGAAAGTAATATCCTGGAAAATAGAAGCCCCATAACGAAAATAAGTGAAATGATTTGTGGTGTAACTCCCTAAAAGACAATATTAAAATTTTTTTAGATTTTTTTTTTATTTTTTATGATTTTAATATTGTCTTTGAACACAGCGCCCGATCCGAAAATTCGTGGATTTCGTACTTATACAGAATATAAAAATACAATACTGCAACGGCTTATTTAAAGATTTATGATACAATCGTTTTTCTATTTTCAGTTTTTTTTTTCTTTATGAGCATAGATTTAAGCACGTGGTAGGTGCATTTAGTTTTTTGAGAAAATTCAGTTTCAGCAGGCAGTGCTAAATTTAAATGAACGAATGAACAAATTAGGGAAAATTATATGTGGAAATCACATAAAGTATATCGGGCAAATAATAAGTTCACGGAGCCATTATTTTCTATTTTTTTCTAGTTTTTGGTTCGCTATAGTCCTACCTGCCTGTGTAACGATCCAAAGCAGTTATCGAAAATTTTCTGCCTTTAAGCAGACACTGCACACTACATTTTCCTGGAAATGATCTATTCGTCGCAGACAATTTCCATATGTATCTCACAGGCTTATGAGGTAATCTTTCGCCGCGAAGCTTTTATTCGCGTTTCCAATCCATACGAATTAGTATTAATCATCGTCCGCTTCCTAAAGTAGCACCATCCCCACCTACAGGTTAAAAAATTTGAATATTCATTTGTCGTCTTTTGCTCTCGTTGACGTTACAGAGAACAAATAAAACGCGTGAAGGACGCTGACGATGTGCCAATGGTTTTAGTCGGTAACAAGTGCGATTTGCCTTCGCGCATCGTCGATGTAAAACAGGCAAGTGAACTAGCCAAGAGCTATGGTGTGCCATTCGTCGAAACTTCAGCCAAGACCCGTATGGGGGTCGATGAGGCATTCTATACGCTGGTTCGGGAGATCCGCAAAGATCGTGAGGTTAAAAGCCGAGAAAAGAAGCGAAACCGTTCGAAGATCAAGAGGAGATGCACAATTTTCTAAGGAAGCAAACAAATAAAAAGGACATACAAATGAAGCTATATTATACTGCTAAAACTATTAATACTAATAAAAATAATGAAGCCATTTATTGCCTCTGCTTCTCTCCCCTGTTATTTGTACTATTACTATTAATATTATTATCGTGCCCATGAAAAATAGCTGAACCTGGTACTCTGTTGATATGTTCAATTGTCTATATTCTCATATTGTTCGTTTAATTCCTGTGAGTTTTAACTTCAGTGAGTTCGCTCATAAAGTACGCGCACATTTACTTTTGGTGGTTCGATGCAGCTTTGTGTCCCGTGAAGCGCAGGCATTGAAACGCATCGGATTCAAGCGAACATCCTTCTCTTGTGTTTATTTTCCTTGAGCTCGCTGGACCTTTGGTCCTCGTAGCGCTCATTTTTTCATTAGTTCTTGCCTTATTAATTTCAGCTAATTAATGACCATTCTTTATAATGCATGTACACGCATATATATAGATATATGCGCGATGAATGATACCATCTTAAACACGGCATGTTATATTACTATAATAGTTATTTCCATGAGTTTAAGACAGGAATTGAAAAAAAAAAAGAGATGAAGAATAAATGGAGGCCGGGTCGAGGGCCCTCGCTACCGGTATATGTAGCTTGGTTTATCTAGATAGAAACGACTAGTGACGAACCGCAGAGAAAAATCAATGTTGTGGACACACGAGCGTATAATGGAAAAAGCGTTAAGATGCTAAAATGGGTGTACGTCGAGCCGAACACAACAATAAGACATCTACAACACAAACACAAAACCAATTAACAGACAACCGTTCGTAGGTTTAAATAATAAAAAGAGAGAAATGTTATTTTGAATCATGAAACCGCCGCTTGATCTGATCCATGGGCAAGGGTGAAACAGAGAAGATTTCAGAGCAAAGGATTGGGTAAGTTTTGGCAATGTATTTAGTAATCGGTTTTCTACCGTGCAACAAAAATATTGCACTTCGTTGATTTTCTAGTACAAAAATCTCCCTGTGAAGTCGATTATTCTCTTATCGCTGGTGAGGTCAACTCAATGAGACAGCTAATGATCTTTCTGGGTTAATGATATAAGATACTATAAACATGATTTGTCTGTCCTCCGTTTTACTATGGTTTTCATAGCTACGACCCAAATTCGACTAACTGGCGAATAGTATTGTATTCTTATTAGGGAGTAAGTTAGATTCAGGATGTCCAGAGACGTCGGAAACAAACCGCTAATTAAAAGTTGGGTATACTCTGAAATTCAACTGAAAGTGAATGAAAAAGACACCCATGGTTTCGCAAACTTGCCGAGAAAAATTGCATCCGTCCAGTTATTACTAGTGTTGGCAAGCATTGATTTTTTTAGAAAGCTAATGTAATGTGCCTGGCATAAAAGAGACTTATTTGCCTCAAAACGATATGTAATGGAAGAAATGCGGTAACTATCATTTCGATGTTGAACGAGGCCTACAGGTAGCGCGCTCAGCCTTTTATAAGATTGCCTGCATGTTTCGACTCAGAGTTTTGAATAAGACAGTCTGAATAATCATGATGACTTGATGCTTAACAGAAATATACAACAAAAAAATGATATGTCTCTATTTAATCTGTTACGAGTTTTTTGTGCGATTTTCCGTAGTTGCTGTCGACAAACAAAAGTGCTGAAAGAACACATCGTTAATTGTGGAGATTGGTCGATACAACTATGTCCATTGCAATTAGGAAGCTATCGAGATTCTACGAGCGGAGAAAAGTCGCCGGTTTTTTGATATCTTATAACATCGTCTGCGTTGTGTTGAAGAACATTGAAGTAGGTTTTTAGATTAGTTTTAGTACAGGTGCTGTCTACTTAGCAATTAGTAGGAAAGACTGCGGCGTACAAACAAACCCCTGCCAATTATGGGTTCTTATTGACATATCTGGTAATGACTAATGTGTCAAGACAGCCGTCGATTGTCATTCAGGGTTCCGAAAAAGTAATTTCTAGGCTGCTCATTTATGCCATTGGGATACCAGGTCCGACTATCACTCTAGGAATAACATTTGAAAGGTGTATTATAATAAATCTATACGGAGAATCGGAAGGGGTCATCGTGGCAAAGTTTTGCTTGAAGCTTTGCAATAGAACATTTCTATGGTGTGTATATCAACGAAAAGAAAGCAACAATCAGGGTGACACAGCCTCGTTCCATTTGTCGAGGCAACACTAAATATCAACACACTTTACACTTATTACAGAACGAAAGTAGGGAAAAATGGCTATAGGATTTTGACCTGCCAAAACGCTTTGCCGAATAATGATAGGAATGAGCTCCGACCAGTGCCGTGTAACGAACATTCAGAGTGACGACAACACGTAGCAGCTATAGAAATTACTGCATAAGACTTATTCAAATTATTATACAAATTGTAGAAAGTCATTTGCGAAACAGAGAGAGGCATGGCTGTGGTGTATCAACAAACAACGGAGAGATTGGCCGTCGTCTATTCGTTATATATATGGGTACGACGAGGTTGGTAAAAGTCGACCAACAGAAAGGTCTCTGTTCGGTTAGAATGAGTCCGGAAAATGTGCCGAAGATGGTTAAGCGGTAGTGCATGTATATTTCAAATGGATTCATCGATTTCATACTACTATGAAATAATGAAATGTCCCTATTATCAATTTGTATAGATAGATATTGATTTTGTATGAACCACTAGGTCTGATTCGTTGATAGCACTCATTGGTGACGCGAAAATTCATTGACAAAAATATGCATCACCAACAAGGCAAATAAAGATATAAATAAATAGGGGTCAAGTGCTAGAGTAGCGAGTGGTTATCGTTTTGTCTAAATAAATCTAGAGTTTCCCACATCTGCTGGGAAAGAACAGAATGATGAAAAACGTGGCCACATAAGAAAGACCGACAGGCGGCTTAGGATACTGACGGTTTCTTTATTTAATCAATAAACGTCGCAATCAATCCAGCCTCATCCGAAATGAAACTGCGTTTCTCTTTGAAAACGAAATGATGCAGAGGGACGAGACACGCGAGCATGTCGGACCTTTCTTGTTCCGGATGTAAAAATTGGCCATTGGGTGAGTGTAGCGGAAACGATAGATCAAAGAAAAGTAAATTTTTGAGACCAAAAAGAAGAATATATAGTAAAACACTCTACGACGTATGGTACGTACTTATTTGCGAGGATCGCCGTCGAAGAGTGACGATTCAGATGAATGTAACTTCGTTTACACCGGGTATTACGTATATATATAATCATAAGTGAATGTTTGCGTGATGAATGGAAAACTAAAACATGGCTATTTACAAAACGACGAACCCCGGTTGCGCCTGCTTCGGACGTTAAACGAGTAACAGTAATAATAACGTCTGGTTAAGTATATCTCATTTTGTTCTTTCTGTCATATTTCCGGCATTCGCACATGTAATAACAATTACTATTATGAATAAATTGTTTATTTATGAGTTTGAATATTAAGACCAAACTATTCCGTTTACGGCTCGTCGGTACAATGAACCTTTAATGTTAGACTTGTCGACACTGCTTGTGTATCTACTTCTCGTGCACCCGATTAAAATGGCTGATTCTTATGTGTTTTTATAATTAAACGTAGATTCTCAATGGTGTTTCAATGGCAATGTGATAACGTTTAGATAAGTGGACTTCGTGAAGAATAATATTAGTAATAGTCATTTTGTTTGGTAGCGGTAGTGGTTTACTGCTAAGGTTTCGGTGGAAAAGCTGACTGAAAATAGTTACGAGTCCAAACTGAAAAATTAACGGTGAATACTCGACCATTGCCGGTTGATATGAATGTAATTTATGTGCTTTATCTTTTGTTTTCTATTTTTAATAGTTACCTATTGAAGTGTGAACCAATTTTGGATTCTCACTTAAAAGTATTTTTTTGTAATATTAAAGGATAAACAGCAGATATAATGTTCGAGAATTGTTAGATTCGTCATTAAGGCACGTCATAGAATACCGGTCAATTAATTGCGGGTTGCTTAGTTTCCGAGATTCGTGTCAGCTAATTACACCGTACAAAGTTGTGTAAAGTTCTCAGGGAATATGAAAAGCTCACGCCGATAAAATCGAGGTCGTCCATCTGTGTCTACCATTAAACTCGTGCAAACCTCGCAAAACGGTGCCTAAAGTGAGAGGAGCCGCCTTGGTTTCAACCTGTGCAAGGCATCGTGAGCAAAGCATGTCTGCCTAGGATTGTTTCGACAACCGGGTACTGCATTTGAAATTGGTCGTCATGGAAACAACGCGCGGCAACGACGATTGTGGTGTCGAACATCGTATGATCTTTGTTTTACTACGAAATGTCGCATATTATATAACACGATTCTAATTATTACTAATATAACAAACTAAAGTAAATTAAAGGTGACAGAAGAAATTACCAAAGTGTTGTATCCTAAGTTGAAAAACGCTGTGTAGCGACTACGTTTGTGTTTGTATAGAGGCTGATCAGAGTGTGTCACCAAAAAAACTGTGTGCATTTTGGTCAATGTAAAGGACACAGAACAGTACATATAGTGAAAGGTTCTTCAATACCTTAAATTCATCAAAGGGAACGATATCGTTGAATTCAAAGCCAACATGTTTTGCCTTCGAAAGCAATAACAATCCTCGACTTTCTTGCGATGTTTATAGGAGAAACGATTAAGCCTTGTACGAGCAGAGATCGTTCAATTCGGCAAACTACTGCGATGATCCCCGGTAATATGTATTAATTAAAACGTTATCGGGGTGTGGTACGCACTTTAATTACTATTAGGAGCCGTACACACATACAAACAAAGCTTATACTGACTTAATGCTAACATGAGAAAAGCGTTACCTTAGACACGTAACATGTGACAGGCGCCGACAATCTTTATTTTGCTTCGCTAAGATAAATGCACATTCGCATATTTTTCTAATCGATGAAGCCCCTAGAGAGTACTCCGCATCCCCACATAGATGCACCCCGTGTAAGATACGTTCTGTACAAGGTCTAGACAACTTTTAATATTTACCAGAGATTAAATGTTGAACGCGCTAAAAATCCCGTTGAAGGTCTAAACAAAAGGAGAAACTGCAATCAATAACATGATGTAGGATGTTATAACTATATATATATGTGTGTGCGTGTGTTTAAATAAAGTGAATGATGTACTTAGATTTTATGTTCTTATTCTAAATAAAATTACTGCCTTTACGCCAAATTGTCAGTCAAAAATAATTTAAAAAAATTCATTTAAAAAAAAAGTTACAGATACCGAGGCTGTGAAACGGTAGAATTGCATTTATTATGATATTCTAGGAAGCGTTTCAAATGTTCAGCGGGTGCGTTAAAGGATCAATCGAGACATCTGAGAGACTAGAAATAGGTCTATTTTAAGTGATGAATTTAGAGTTGGTTTTGCATTTCTATTTTTCTCTATAATCCAAATAAATATGAGATCCTTTTGATTCAAAACTTGACCTTTCTTCTGTCTGTTTTCACTCAGTCTGTTGTTAATCGCAGGGTCTGTCCGCGTTGTCAGCAACCGCAGCTATCTAGGAGATGGTCAAATCATGGACTGATGCAAAGTGCTCGTGTCCTGACAGGATTAATATTCGCAGATGCTGGAAATCTCCGTTAATTTCTGAAACAGTCGTTTTCTGTAAATTTCCAGCCGGAATCTCTGTGAACGAAAAATTTCAAAAGGAACAAACTCGTTTAGATTGCTCTCTATCGTGTCTAACTTAGTTCCAGTTCAACGCATATTTTTACATTCTGAAATTTTTTCAATCGCTCCGCACGGATAATTTATAAGTTTATTGTGCTGCAGGAAATTCATTTGGTGAAGATTGTGCCTGATCCTCATAAAACGGGTAAAAGCGAGAGAGGTGACATATGGACATATATGCCTGTTCCTGGATTCTCAAATGTGATGAAACCTAAACGACGCTAATTATTAAGATGCAGGGGTAGAAGATCAAATAACTTAGTAATTAACTAGGCTGTTAATCACGAAATGGCTGATTTTTCGTTTGATAAATAGTTAAGATTTCGTTTCTAACTTTTTCTCTCGATTTCAAAGTTTTGTCCTGAGTTAGGACCATACATGCAGGAATTTCAGGCGTCAAAAAACACTATTTTGTTGACTGTTGACTTGTAAATCACCTTGTTGTGTAATCTCCTCGAAGTTTCTTGGCTCGCTTTCGGCAGTGGCCTCAATTCTCAGTTCCTTTACTGCAATGGTAAGAATTACGGTGCATTAGTAATGTACAGGTTTGGGATAAATTAAAATACATTTAGTCCTGTAAGGTTGCTCTTAGGCTGAATTACATTTGGCCGGTTTATATCAGTAGATCGATAAATCTTCGACAACAAATAATGGCGCGTTAGAGAGTCTGCTGTCAGCGAACTATCGTTTCGTTTCGTCTCCATAACATTTAACCTGTGTGAGTGACTAAATCAGGCCTTAGTTATGGTGTTTGTACTACCATATCATAGACAATCATATATTTTTCGTTCTGTTCGAATCAAGGGCTGTGCGATCTATTCATCTATGATGGTAACAGATCGCAGATGGTAATCATAGGTCACGCAATCAAGCGCGGTAGCCCGCATGATCAACAGGTCTCATCGACAAGACAATAGGACTACTAAGTCCCTTTTGCATTTTCCTTTAGAACTTCATCAATAAAGGGCTAATAACTACACTCGATTCGCTGCGACTACGATTAGAACAAATGGATCGGACCCCCACTAGTGTTTTTATAAACGCATCGATTTTAGGAGCTGAAAGCATAGCCCTTTACTTCGTTAGCTTCCGCGCTGGATAGATGTTCGCTCGGCGAACATTAACAGGGTTGCACGACTTTCAGAATCCCCAGGCACTTCTGGGCCTATGTGTCAATAGCACTCTCCTCATCTGTAACAACTTCGTTACACCTGTCTGGACGAAATATCTACATCGCAATACTTATTGCTGATTATTCTAGACTAGGTGGAGTATGGAGAACATCGTACATACATGTTTCGATTCTGTTGTAGAGGGCATAATGAGGTAATAGGCGGAAACGGGGGCCTCGGGAGTATGTGGTATCGCATTATCCTAAGCTAACTATGCTCAGGCTTTTATTCGAAGTGACTATGGTTTTTATGAAAACGTGCCGCGAAACAGCGTGTATTCCACATGCGATCCATCTGTTGGATACGTGTGTTCGCAGACGTACCGTTGCATGAAAAAAATTCGAGGCTTTTAATGAAGCTTGGCTGTTTGAGACTCACAACGAACGATTGAGGGTAAGTGCCGGTGGTCGTCCAGAATACAGCGCCTGTGCTAATACATTATTTAATGAAACAGCAGTAAGTATACAGAAGCCACTGAACTCTTATATGACATGAGGTCGTAAATCAATAAACTAATTATTACGTTGATTAATGGCCTTATCGTTTTTTAAAATCTGTTGTTAATAGCTTCAACAATTAAAGACGGGCAATTTCAATGAAGTATAGAAGATAAGCTGTGAGCAAAACTTTAATTGTGTTCACATGTACAACACAAGCTAGCTGAAGACCGACCAGCTTAGTATAACATTTGTATAATCATGTTACGGACTAACCTGTTCGAAATGTTTTCTGACGGATGGGAGCTATCATAACTCGAAACCATGGTCACGCTGAAGTCCAACGTCATTATTACTAACAAGCAGAAGCAACAAGCGCTTTGGAAATATCACAGTTTCCCAGCGCGGATATAAGAACTTTTACAGAACTCGCCGAAAGCCGAACTTTCCACAGCATAGGAGTAAGTACGTTCTATACGCAAAGCAGTTGCGTTCCCATGACAACTGGATGCGATGCGCGTTAATACCTGCAGTGGCGCCCCCTTCCCCAGTGGGGCGCGAGTCGACTCGCTGATTCTACCTAGAGCATATTGGGCATCCACAGATACATACGATAGAAGTAAGCTGAATTGGTAAAGACATAGCGCATTTAGTGCTCATAGTAGTATAGCAAATAAATGTAGAGAAAGCGTAACAAAAGTTACACTAGTACTTGGAGAGAATCTTGCGCGCGGGATAGAGCTTCAAAAGAAACACACGCGGTAAACAGCGACGTTTGGGTAGGTTAAATTAGTTTGTAATAATTGGTTATATAAGCTCGATGCTTCCGAGATTTTCCGTAAGCGAAAAAGCTATACCGAACTTAGCAAATTGTAACAATATAACTGGAAATTAGTATATCTGTATATTAATATATGTAATACGTCGTTTAGTCTGACGCGCGACATAGTGAACTCTACTTTATAATTGATGGGTTTGGATCGACGGTCCTGTAGTGAATAGTACCTGCATTAGGTCACCAAAGATTCACGGTAAATTTTTGCGGCTAGACTTTCGCTTCGGAGTGTGCGAAACTCTAGGGTCGGCAGAACTTTGTGGTTCGCAGGCATCCTATCCGCCAATGGTGACTCTCTGCGGTTACCATAGAGAATCAATTTTTAATGACGTTTGGCGCATGAATGTATCACTGTTCTAGTGTGAAAGCAAAGGAGAACAAGCATTTTTGTGGCTCTGCTTAAATAGCTAAATTCATTCGGTACCTATTCGGCTTTTTTTTTTTTCGTTTTTTATTTTGACCGCAGCGACTAGGTGTGGCATAAAGCGTTGATTACTAGAAGCATTGATGCTCGTAGCAGCTGATCCTTTAGTGAGTAGGTGTTGTGGGGCGAGCTGTCTCCAGCGGCTCCGGAGCTTCAAAATGGAATTCATATTTGTAAACTTTTCGAATTTTCCTTTTTCCATGGTTCACTGCGAGCCGTCTGCTCAGAATCCGAGTAACGATACTCGAATGAACGATCTCAGAGCGCAAGTTCAACTCGAATGAAAAAAAGTGTTATGAAGTGTCGCGTTGTTATTAGAAATGTCATCGTCAAATGTGATATTTATGTTCGTCACGTTCCGGACCGAACGACCTAATATAAAAGGCATAAGATACATTGATCATACGACCAACCGTAGACGAACATTCTCACGTAAATTCTAAGCACCAAAGGTAGATGAAGGTGACCACGCTTGCATTTAAGTGGCGACATTAAAAAATATTTCAATAAGCTTGAAACCATTAACAAAGTTAGCACAAATCGTATTTTTTATTTAGTAATGGTGCTACGCACGACATAATACACATCTTCGAATGGCTACACGGAGGATTATATCTGCTTTAACGGGACACTGTGGCCTTAAGGTGCTTTATGACTACATAAGAAAAAAACGTATATCAATTACAAGGATCTCAGTTCCTCGAACAGAATTTCCGTAAGGGCTGCCAGAAACTTAAATAACGACTACACGGGAACTTCCTCTTTTCAGGACGCAAGCAAACTGTAAGGCTTGTTTACGTTCTTCGTTGGTAGGTCGAGCCGTTCTAGGTGCCGATTGAGTGTGAGCGGAGAATAATAAAATTAGAAATAATACTAAAAATCAATTACCGAGATTTATGGCCTATGGCAGTGGTGTGCTTCAGGCTGTTTTTCCGCTAGTAAGAATTGCGTAAATTATTCCTACTATAGGCTACATGTGATTTATCTGTCCTGGATCAGGTTAATGACTCATTTTGTTCTTGCCTCCAGTGCTATCGGCCCAATGTCTTCAAGGAATTCCATGTTGAGTCAATAGGGAGTGTTTTGTCCACGCTCCGTTTTGTTCATACTGTTCCATAGTTATAGCAACTCAGTATTAGCTCATATATTTGTCTATAAGCTCATTGTATTTCTAAGAATATGGGAAAATACTCTCGATAGACAGCTGCAAAAGTGCAGCTAAACCCGTACCCACATCTATCAACAGATGTCGAAATACTTGCAATGCTGGATACATTTTCAAAGAAAAATAATGAAATTAGGTTGCCAGAAAGAAGCACACTTCATACCGCCACGGCGAGAACCTCGCCGATCTGCCATTGACAGTCGCTGCTAGCCGAAAAGAGTATGACCAAAAAAAAGGTCGTTTAGTTACATGACGCTCATAAACCGTCCCACAGAAAAATTTCTATTGGGCTCAAGAGATCTTTTACAAAGCGGTATAAACTACAAGGCCTAATGGAAACAAAATTTGATCGAGAAAGACGTGATGTAGCTATTTCAGATCGGCAGTTTCGAACTGGTGCTAAATAATTTTCGGTGGTTACTACCTAAACAACTAACATAGCGCCACTAAATGGAAAAAGCTGAGGACAAGCATGCGCCAAAAAAAGCAATGTGAATAGCTGTAAATACAGAACTCTAAACATTTCCAAAGTAGCATATCTTGACAGAAGACCTGCATATCTGTTTTACAAAGAAGAAAAAAAAACAGTGTTGTAGAAGGGTGTAAAAAAGGCAAGGAGAAAGGATAGACATATAGATACCGTTGATAAATAGGACCCGGCGCCAACTATTGGAGGCAAGTTAAAGCAGCCTCAACTTACGCTCAGTATGAAACACAGTAATAGTAATTCTGCAAAAATGGTCACATTTTCTGATAGCGTTTATATGAAAATTGAAGTAGATGCAAGTCGATTGAAGAGATGCCTTCCATTTACAAACAATTTTATACTAGGCGTTTCATATTCACGTATCGATCATTAGTTGGACCATGTTTTTTGGTTGAACGAAGTGAAGCAGTAGATACTAGAAGGTGTTATTTATAATAGGTATTGTAAAGTAGGCAATGGCATCGGCAAACGGCCACCACTGTTTATTACTGCCGTCAATATCAAGTTAAGACAAAGACGATATAAAGCGAAGCCATCTTCTTTTAGGAAAAGAGCAGGTTAAATGTCGGGCATTTGTGCAGGAAGGGTTGTGTGAGTGCGCACATCTTGTGCTTTATTGAGAAAGAAAACTATCGGTTATAAAGCAGTTTCTGAGCACTAGCTAGCTTTATGAGAATCCAAAAAAGACCTCTATATCCCACTATAAAAGATTCACGATAAGAATTGGTCTAGATGGACCGCAAATTTATTAAGGAAAGATACCAGGCGCCATTTCTAGTGGTTCTGGATTTTGTACACGGTTATTAGAGCTCTATTCAAAATGAGATCAACTACATTCTACATGTTGGACGTCTCTAACACACTGAACGTTTATTCGACCATTTTCCCGCCTGGTACTTTTTGATTTTTTCTTGTACCTTTGAATATTTTGCGTGTTTTGGGCAGTCTAATTTAAGGTGCGCCGTTTTTTAAATGCTCGATGGATGCTTAAGGGAAATTTGTTTCCGCTGATTCGGAGAATGAATTTTAATAAATTACTTGTGAGCGATTTGCGCCTCGAATCGAAGCCGCGATCGAAGCCGGCGGCAGCTGAATTGAACGAACACGTTCATCAAGGATATCTGCACCCAGATGTTCATTTTTGCTTATTTCGAACGTCCTGCGTAGAATACCTGAATCATACTTGCTACCCGAAAATACTCCTGTCGTATAGTAGCATACATGTAAAAGTCCGTCAAAAAAAGGAGTTTGAGAAGTATCAACAAGCACCGAGATGTGTGTAAACCTACTCTGACGCCAATAGGATAAGTAAACATAGATATCAAATTGGCAAAAAGCAAACAGCTTTATCAATGCTTTGTCGTTTAACAATTACACGGCCTTGATAAGGATACACGGAATTGTCAAGTTTCACTACTGGAAACGTTCTTGATGAATACCTAGTTCTCGCATAAAAACCGCTCCCCAAAGACGATAGGCATGGTCTCTGGATCAATGAAGCGAAACGCAAACGTCAAGAGATGCTCGCAGACTTTAGTGGATATACTTCGTTTGGCGAAAAATAGAAGAAAATATCGACGTAACGCGTCAGTTGTTCCTATCCCGAAAGGACCAGGATTACGCTCGTCCTTAGACAAAACGCAGCTGTATTCTTCATGCGCGTTTAATCAAACAGACGATTCGAAGTTACTATATGGAAGCTTGCTATTTCCGTCAAACTAGGAAAACAATAGTTGATTTTAAAGATACCTTCGAGAAGCTATACCAAATAATATTCGCATGCCGAAAAAAAGTTCGACCATACTGATTCACACGTTTTCACACAATGCATTGCCCTTATAAACATTAGGTACGCCCGAATGATATACGCACGGTACAACAAAGATAAGCATAAAAGCCACGATAGAAAAATTCGTGTTGGATCTATTTAACAATTAGATCGTTCTAGTGACGGACGATGTGCTGATAACTCTTGTAACAGACAGACAAGGCATTTTTTAATTTAGCTATAACATATTCTACTGAAAATCGTATGAACGCAGATCATAAGTAAAGGATTTCTAAAAGCAGCACTGAGAAAAGAAGAACACTGATTTATTCCGAACGGTGGCGCCTGATCATATTTAAGCACAGACGTATAGAAATGCATATTTTCGAAATCATGAAATTACATCGATTTGTTGCCAGATCCCATCCTTAGAATGATAGGTATAATAGTATGTGGGTTGAGAATTAGCTGCCAGTTACGCATTTTGAAACGAAAGTTAAACAAATAGTTACGCTAACTGAAATTGAGCAAACAATCGCTATGACTTGAAAGGTACGGCAAAGAATTGTCTCGAAGCGCCAACATTTTTGGGAAGAACCATTTCTTCTGTGGAGCCGAATAGACATCGCTTGCAGGGCCCTAAGAAGATTATGATGTACGTTGTCAATAGTTGCTCTCTTTCTTAACGTCATGGACCAGAACTGATGAAAATATCCCCAGTGAATGATGTCATGTTATCTCTACTACTTGAACTCTT